GACATTGTTGACCGTCACTTTTTAGATTATTTTAAAAAATTGTAGTTCTGATAAATATTTTAGTTAATTCTGTTTTTTTTTAATTAAGGAGTTAAAAATGGAGTTTTGATAGTTCGGGATAGTTTGGTCAATCATTTGTTTAAAACCTAAGCATTCCTAGTGCTCTGGTGAAAAATTTTAGAAATAAATAAATAAACTTAATTTAAATATGGAAACTTTTTAAAGAATTCCTCTATAAATTTTAATAAAATTATTTTTACAAAATTAAAATTTTTTAGAGACCGGATTTTTAAAACGTAATTTACATATTTTTTTCTTGAAATATGTAATTATTGTTGTGAGAAAGACAAATACTTTCTTAAAATATTTATGGTTACAAGGACTTTTTAACATTTATTAGAATCTATCTTGGAAATAGTAAACTATACTAAATGTTTTTTTTCTATTTTCTCCTTATTTTGAATATTTTTCATTTTTCAAAAATCTTGTCAATTTTTGAATATTTTTTAATAAATTGTGAAATATTTCTTAGTTATTATTTTTAGTAAAAGTTTTGAAAAATGAGAATTATTTAACTACCCCTCTTACTTTTTTCTCTATTTTTGTAATTTTATGGTACAATTTATTTTCAACTACCTATTCTAAAGTCTTTACAATTTAAAAATCCGGTCTCTAATTATTTTACATATTTTTTAACCACATCCTCTCTATTAAATATATATAAATTAATAAAAATCCGACCCGCGTTAAAAAAACTTCTTTTTTAATTTATTTAGTTGTTGATGTTCTTTGTCGAATTTGTTCTGCCTGACTGCTAAATTCTAAAAAATAAAATTTATTTTTTATTCAATTATTTATTTAATAACCTTTAATAAAATCTTTAAAAGCATTTGGATCTTTTAAACATTTTTGTTGTTTGTCTTGTAAATGATATTTACATGCATCTACCCATAAACGTGCACAACCTAATTTTCTGTCTTTTCCGTCAGTAAAATTAAATGTTAACCAATATTCATTCTTTAATTGGGAAAAATGAAAATTAATTTTTAATTAAAAAAAGTTCTTAAATATTTCGGATATCCGTTCGGGTTTTCTATTTGTTCGTTAAAAAATGGAGGATTACTGGCTTCCTTTTAAAAATTTCTCCCTTAAAAATTATCAATATGAACTAATTATTTATTTAATTTTCAGAATTAAATCCAAAAGAAACTCTCAAAAATGCTAGTTAAAATTAAAAAAAAATTAAAATTTTTGAAAAGAATACCTATACAAATTTCCCAATTAATTATTTAATTAATTTACCGATTGAAGAGGACCAAAAAAACTTTTAGGCAAATCCTCAATAGTAAATATTTTACTAAAAGTCATTGTCCAATGTCCCTTTGGTGGAGGGCATAATTTATTTTGACGAAGAAAATCCTCAGCTTTTCGATATAAAATTGGAAGAAAAAAAAACAAAAATTAATTTAATTTTTTAATTTAAATTAACCATTAACATATTTATGGGCACTTTTAACAGTTTCTTTACATTTATCTAACATATCACAATAACGACAAGAACCTACACCATCACAACCATCCTTTTTTTAAATTTTAATTTTATTTTTAAAATATTTATTATTTACTAAAAGATTCCATCCTTGACAAGGAATTACTTGCCAACCTCTACTATTTAATTTTCCATTAACTGCATGTCTGACCTTTAAAAAGAATTTTTTGGATTAAATTAATTATTTAAAAAAATAAACATTTAATTTTTAGGTTTTATTTTTTCCAATTTAATAGTGAAAGGAATTTTTAAGTCAGTAAGAGTTTAGCAAAGATTTATCCACCGGGCAGGATTAACCTGCGATCTCCTCGTAGTTATTGTAGATGCTTTCGCTCACCACATACAACAGGTGCTCTGCTACTGAGCTACCAGGGCGAACTAATGCTCTCTTTATCCTTACACATATTCGTTTAATTCCCGCATAAGCGTTTTAAATGCTGGTGAATCATCCTTACAATTTCCAACCACAGCCTCTTATTTTTAATTAAAAAAATATTCCTTCTTAACCTCCAAATCCATTTCAATTTTGTCAATAGGCAAATCTTCATTAACATCCATCGTTACATTAAAAAATATCGGACCGGGAAAACGTGGATAATCAGGCCAAATAACAATATTAGAAACATTAACTACATAATTTGTCCATTGTTCACTTGCACATCTACTAAATTGCCATCCACGAATGACAATACCTTTTTTAATTTTTAATAGAAAATTAAATAAAATTTATATATTAGGTTGAGGAAATTTATTTTTAACAATAATTAAAAGCAGTTATTCTCTTTAAAAATTTAACTTACCATATGGTCCAGAGCTATATTTATCCCAAAATGGGGGTACCTTGAAGGTAAAATAAATTTTTAAATTTTTTTCAAAAAAACCCCGGGAAGTGCTTCATTCCAAGCCTTTGTAAGAACTGTTGCCCCTCCTTGCCGCTTTACACGAGTCTGATCTTTTGCAAAAGTTGTAATAAATATTGTTAATAAAAGGATGGTGATGGAAGGCCGAAGAAGGGGAGGAATAATCATTTAAAAAAAGAAAGGAAGAGATCTGTGTTTTTAGAAAAATTAAAGAATTATTATTAAGGGAGAAGAGAGGGGGAGGATAAATAGTAGAAACAATTAATATGTGGATATTTTTGTGGATAATTAATTAAAAAAGGGGATGATGATCGAGAGGATGATGACTAATAATATAAGGAGATTTAAAAGGAATAATAAACCAGAAATTAATGGAGAAAGCGAGCAAGTTAAAATATGTAAATAATTAATGTGGAAATGAAGGTTCTTTTTGTCAAATGACGTACTTTAGTAAATTCGAAAAAAGAAAACTGGCCAAAACTTGTAATTGTCCCAAATGGGGGTACCTTGAAGGTTAAATATTTTGACGTTTTTTGAGATTTGGCATTTTTTCTCTATAAAAATTTTTCAAAAATTATTTGTGGAAATAAAATTTTTTATTTAAAATTAATAAATTTGCAATTATTAGAAGAAAATTAAATCATTCTACATTTTATTGCATAAATTCAATTTTTTATATAAAATTTTCGTCAATTTTATCTGCATATTTAAGTCATATTTTGAGAAATTTTACATATATCAGTGCATATTTTTTTTAGCTTTTTGCGGCCCCAGGAAAGGGCTGTTAATTTTAGGGATTGGAATATTATTGGCATAAACTAGAATAGGAATTTAAAAAATGAAGATGTTTGAAAATTGACATTTTTGAACAAATTATTAAATTCTGAATAAAGGTGAATTTAAAAATTTAAAGAATTTATTATAATCAACTAATTAAATATCAAAACAAAATATTTGGAGAGATCTTTCGGATGGAAAGAATAATATTGGGCATTGGATTGAGAAAATGTGTAACGACAATCTCCATTTTAAATGAATAAAAAAATTCAATCGGGTGTGTGTTTGGTTGATATTTTCTAGCAAAGGAGAACACACAATAACAGGCATTTGGAGAGAGTTTTAAAAGAAATGTGAAGATTTACGAACAAGTGATCCATTGAGCGAGATGACCACCACAAACCTTTTATGTGTACATTTAAAGGAGATTTATAAGAAAGCAAAGAGAAATAAAAATCGTGTCCCCATAAAATGTCGAATCCATAAAATGTCGAAAAGTTTAAAAACCCACAAAATGTCAAAAAAGGCTATAAACCCACAAAATGTCAAATAATACTATAAACCCGCAAAATGTCAAATCATATAATGTCGAACCCATAAAATGTCAAAAAGGCCAAAAACCCACATAATGGCGATAGAATTTTTATTTGTTATTTTTATTTGTTTTGTTTGTTTGCTTTGATTGTTTTTTGACAATTAAAGGTTATTAATTGTTCCCCATCTTTTATTTGTTATAATAATTTTTCTAAGGTGGTTAATTTAATCTTTTAGATGAATATCAGGCTTAAACTCGCCGAGTTACAGAAGTCAAGAAAACGGCGATTTCCAATCGATGAATCGTCAAGATTTAATCAAGAACAGCAACAATCTGAGCCTTATTGTAACTATCTCAGAGATATGTGAGACAAGGATTTGGTTTGGTGGTCAATTCTTCGCCAGGCATTCTGCCAACATTTCTCGCACATTTTGTGTCAACGTATGTGGGTCCTACTCAAATTGAATTGCAATTGGGATTAGAAGCTTTTCAAAGAGGGTCCAAGTACATTCAATACAAGAAGTTGATGAAAATAGTTATAATTTTTCAGGTTTTTTGTTTTGTTTTGTTATTTTTGTTCTGTTTTTGGCGATTTTTTATTTGTGTACTTATACTGTTTTATCGATTCGGTGTTTTTATGAATAAAATTGTTTTATTTTTCCAGCTTAATTTTGCTCAATACAATTTTTAGATCAGTGCTTCTCTTTTTAGGTTTTTTACGTTTATTATCAATTTTTTAAAATTTCGCCTTTTTGACATTTTGTGGGTTTGTAGCCTTATTTGACATTTTGTGGGTTTATAGCATTTTTCGACATTTTGTGGGTTTCTAGCCTTATTTGACATTTTATGGATTCGCCATTATATGGGATTTGACATTTTGTGGGTTTTTGGCCGTCTCGCCATTTTATGGGTTCGCCATTTTATGGATTTGACATTTTATGGGGGAGCCATAAAAATATTAGGAAGAGAAAATATGATGATGATAATAAATGAAAATTGAAATTAATAATCTTTAAAATGATAATTAACTATAAGTATTTGTAAAATTGAGGACAATACAAAATGCCGGTTTATGAGCTCTGTTTTAGACCAATACTGTAATAATTTATTCAAAAAAAATTTCCGAAACGATTTCCTTATATATTTGATTATTATTAATTTAATTGAATTAGAGAAAACGATTTATTCGTGTCTGACTTTTTGTCAAAGAAAAATTTATTTTTTTTATTTTTATTTTAGTTATTTTATCTGAATAAATTTTAATTATTAAAAACAATAAATGACTGCCCAATCTGATGACAAATCTCGAGCTTTGGCAACCTACAAACGAAAGCTGACGGAATGCCGTGAGATTGAGAATAGGCTTAAAGATCTTCGTGTTAAAGTAATTTTTAAATAAATAATATTTTATCCCTTCTTTCATAAATAATTTTCAGGAACGGGAATCACAAAAATTATTTGACAAATCAGAAAATGATATTCGTGCTCTCCAATCTGTTGGCCAAATTGTTGGTGAAGTTTTGAAGCAATTAACTGAAGACAAATTTATTGTTAAAGCAACAAATGGTCCTCGTTATGTTGTTGGATGTAGACGATCTGTTGCCAAAGACAAACTTAAACAAGTACATATTTCTTTTTTCTTTAAATTTTTCTTTTAAAACTTTATTTTAAAGGGTACTCGTGTAGCTCTTGATATGACTACAATGACTATTATGAGACAATTACCCCGGGAAGTTGATCCTCTTGTTTATAAAATGAGTCATGAAGATCCTGGAAATGTTTCTTATGCTGATATTGGCGGTTTAAATGAACAAATTCGTGAATTGAGAGAGGTTTTGGATTTTTTATTTAAATTTTTTTATTCAAAATAATTTTAAGAAATATTTTTTAAAATATTGAAAATAATTTTTATTTAATTTTTAAAGGTTGTCGAATTACCTTTAATCAATCCTGAATTATTTAAACGTGTTGGTATTACTCCACCAAAAGGTTGTCTTCTTTATGGACCTCCAGGAACTGGAAAAACTCTTTTGGCTAGGTAAATATTTTTTAAATTTTTTATTTAATTTTTATTTTTTCAGAGCTGTAGCTACTCAACTTGACTGTAATTTTCTTAAAGTTGTCTCTTCAGCAATTGTTGATAAATATATTGGAGAATCTGCACGTATGATTCGTGAAATGTTTAATTATGCCCGGGATCACCAACCTTGCATTATTTTTATGGATGAAATTGATGCTATTGGTTTTTTTGTTTCTTTTAATTTTTTAAAATAATTTTTAAAGGGGGCCGCCGTTTTTCTGAGGGAACTTCTGCTGATCGTGAAATTCAACGTACTTTAATGGAATTACTTAATCAAATGGATGGTTTTGATTCTTTGGGAAAAGTTAAAATAATTATGGCAACGAATCGACCGGATACTGTAAATTTTAATAACTTAAAAAATTAATTTAATTTTTGTTTTTTTTTCTTAACATTTTTGCCTTCAAAATTTAATTTTAATTAATAACTTTTAAGTTGGATCCAGCTCTTCTTCGTCCAGGCCGATTGGACCGTAAAATTGAGATTCCTCTGCCGAATGCACAAAGCAGACTTTCTGTTAGTTTTTTAGTTTAATTATTCCTTTTTACTTTAGTATTTAATTGTTATTTTTGGATATTTTTTGTAAATTATTGTAAATGACAGACTGGTTTTGTAGATTTTTTTCAGAAAAATCCTAGGGATAGAAAACTCAATAATTGAGAATATTCCCCTTAATCCCTAATTATGATTAAAGATTTAAAAAAAAAATTTTTAGGTTCTTAAAATCCACGCTCAACCGATAACCAAACAAGAACCAATCGATTACGAAGCAATTGCTAAACTTTCTGAAGGTTTTTCTGGTGCGGATTTACGTAATGTTTGCACAGAAGCTGGAATGAATGCAATTAGAAAAGAAAGAGAATATGTAATACAAGAAGATTTTATGAAAGCAGTTCGCAAAGTTGGAGAAGCAAAAAAATTGGAAACAAAGTTGGATTATAAACCTGTTTAAGGGAACGAAAATATTTTTTGTAAAATTGTCTGACGTAATAAAAATGTTTTTTTCAAATAAATTTTGTGATGAGATTTGTAGATGTGTGTCTCTTTAAATGTAAAAACTAAACTAAAAATCCTTTCAGAAAAATTTTTTTTGAATTTTTTATCAAACAAAAACAAAAGAATTAGCGACACAGTGTGTTGGTTGGGATAAAAGGGTAGTGGAAAGAAGAGTAAAATAAAGCCAGCCTTTAAAAAGTAATATATAATCAAAATATCTCGACGACGAGTATTGTGGTGGTGGTTTTTAATGTTGAATATAAATGTGATAATTAATTAATGAAAGGAAAAAAATTTTTGAACTTAAAATTTGCACGAATGTTCCAAAGCTTTTTTCTTAAAATTAAATTTATAATCTTTCATTAATTAATTTTCACCCACAATTACAAATATATTTTATCGAGAATAAAATAAATTGGCTGTTTAGGTGGTGGTGTTTTTATCGGTTATTTGCCGCTTTTTGTTTTCTCTCTTTCGATCCATAAATCTTAAAAATTCTTTTCTTTACCAAGCTTTATCCACTTTTTGTTCTTCTGCAGGCTCAGTCTTTATACCACCACCTCCTCCTGGTTGTTGGTCAAGTGCTGGAGCATGAGGAAGAGGAGGAGGTGCGCCTTAAAAAAGTAAAGAATTAAAAGCTATGTAAAATTTTTTGACATTTAATTTGAAGTCCTTTGGCAGTAAAAGGTTTAGTCATTTTGGGTGTTATAAGTTTGTGTTCGAGATGTGTTCAAGGATATGTTTTATAGCCCTGGAGCGAGAATGTGTTGAATAAACTCTAAAATATGCCCCATTTCTGATTGTTGTCGTCTCTATAGCAGATTAAAATTTAAAGTAAAAACCTCCTTTTCCCCCTCCTTGACGACGTCGCCATCCTCCTCCAAATCCACCTCCCCCTCCATTAGCTGGCCGATTAGAATTATTATTGCCTTTAACATTTTTGTTGTTATGCTCTTCACCGCCTTCTCCTTCGCGGGCAATTTGCTTCTTTCCAGCATCTCCACCTCCTGATGCTCGGCGACGATTATGACCTCCTCCACCACCACCAGGAACTCCTTGCTGTTGTTGTTCACCTTGATTTCCACTGCGACGAAAACGACGTCGCACTCCTCCTCTTCCTTGTCCCTTCTAAAGTTTTAAAAATATTTTTAAAAAATTTAACAAAAAAAACCGGTTGTTCTTTTCGAGGCTGTCCATCACCACCACCATTCGCATCAATAACACCTTCGCCAGGCGCAGTATCCTTTCCTTCTCCAGTCCCACCATTTTCACCAGTAGGAGCACCAGCACTTAGACGATTCCCACGAGGACGGTTGCGAACACGATAAAAGTTGCGACGTGGATAACGACGTTGCTGGCTAGCATCTAAATTTAAGAATTATTGAGATGTTTTCTAAAAATAAATTACCAGCTGCATACTTGGACCCAACAACATTTTGTCCTTCCGGTCCTGTAACATTATTTGCTTCTGGACCTTTAGTTCCTTCAACGACGTCGAAAAGTACCTAAAATCTCTTAATTAAAAGTATGTACTTTTAAATTAAAATAAACCTTTTCACCATCACCCAGTGAGCGTTGAGCCTTTTCCGGATTGTTCTTTGATATAGCAGAGTTGTGGACAAAAATATCTTTTAATTTATTATTAAAAGTTATTTAGTTAGTTGTAAGTTCTAGGCCGAACCGAAGAAACGAGGATTTTTCGGTGCGGATACCCGAAGAATTTCAGTAATAACCGACCTAACCTTATCCAAACACACCCCATATCCCCAATTAACCAGTCTTATAATTTAAAAAACCTCATTTGTATCATCACGGCAAATAAACCCATAACCGTTCATAACATTAAACCATTTAACAATGCCAGTGACGCGCTCTGCTACAATTTTCTTTTGCTCTTTTTGCTGTTTACCATTTGTTGGAGGAGAAGATATAGTCGAGTCAACAACGTCTTTGACTTCTTCTTTAACCTCAACTGCAGTTTTGGTATCGCCGTTTTCTTTATTATCGGCCATTTTGATATTCTGGGCCTTTAATATTAAAAACAAGTTTTGAGAAATTAATTGGCTAATTTAAAAGTAAACTTCCAAATTTAAATATTTTTCTTACTTCTCGTATCTTTTTTTGTTGTTAAATTGCCCGGGCCTTTTTCTGCTCGGTGACAATGAGCTTTTTGATGTTTCTCCACGAGCTCTGAGAGCTGTGTTCGTAAATGAATTTGATCTAAAAATTTAAATTCAGTTTATTTATTAATTTAAGAAGCATTTCTTGAAACAAAACAAAAAAAAATTCCAGGAGAGGTTAGAGAAAAAATTATGCAGATTTTCCACACTATTTCTATTCTCTGGCATTATGTTTATTTATAATTTAAAAGGTTTTCCGAAATTGTTACAGTAATTTTTTGTTACGTATTATTCATTGTTTTACGAGGTAAAAAAATAATAAAAATCCTTGTTTTTCTTCAAAACAATTAAATTTAAATAAAAATAATTATCATTTAATAGTCAAAATAATTTAATAACCGAAAAACAAAACGTGGAATTTTTTATGTCGATGTGGCAAAAATAAAAAAAATATTGAACGATGTTTGGATTGGAAAAAAAAGACAAAGTTATATGTTGAATAAATGAATCGACATGGAAAAGAAAAAGAAACTTTGAAAAGTTTATTTTCTACAAATTTACGGCGCAAACGATTTGGCGTCAAATCTGGGCATTTTATTGAAAATTAAAAATAAATACACAATGAAAGGGGGAGTCCTTAAATACATTCTAAAAAATAATTTAAAGATAAGCTAATCTTATCTATATAAAAATATTCTAAAATGATAAGATTATTTTTTGATCAAAGATTCTCGCATTTAAAATACCTTCAAACCTTGTCTTACTAAGACAAAATTTTTTATTTAAAATTTTTTTTAAATAGTGTGCTTTATTTATATGTAGAGGATTTTTAACTAACAATAAGTAATTTAGGTTTTAAAAAATATTTTTTTGACATAAAAAACATTGTTATTAAGCTGCAGGCGCCGAATTAACTCCCTACCTCTTTATTTTCATTTAACTGCATCAATAACTGATTGACTATTGAGACACGAACATTAAAAGGTGTTTGTGTTATTTATTTATTAGCAGTTTTTAAAAGTTTATGAAACGACCTTACACTTTTATTTCTAGAATAGAAAAATATCAATTTTTCTTTGTTAAAATGATTATTACGTGTCAGGTTCAGAGGTGTTTTGAAACAAAAAAATCTTCGAAAATCGAAAAATAATTTTAAAAACTTGGAAAATAATTTCCAGATTTTTGTCAAGTATACTTCCGAAAACAAGTCAAAAATCTTTTTAACGCCGCAGACGAAAATTTTGGAATGACAATGAGCCAAAAATCTTCCTTTTTGGCGCTAAAAATTAAATTTTTTCAAAATTTCGAAAATCGAAAGAAAAAACCCTCAAAAATCGAAATTTCGAAACAACTCTTGATTTGCCCTTTGCTTGCTTTTAAGAATTCCGCATTTTTGCAAAATTCACGTGGCCAAATTATGGAGCTGCCAAAATTATTTAAAAAAGGGCGGTTAAAATCTATCATGGATAAGAAAAATTATTCGCTAATCAAAAGAGTCTAATTTTCTCTATTTTATTTATTTATTTTTTCTCTTTTAAAAAAAATTTTAAAAATGAATATTATTTTTATTTTGATTTTTCTTTTGATTTTTTATTTAAATATTTTTGAAAATAAAATGAAAGTAAATGGAATGTTGCCTCCTCGTAGTAATTTTTTTCTTTTTTTAAATTAAAAATGAGAGACTAAAAATAATTCTCGTTAATTTTACCGGTCAGTATTCATACGTAATACCGAAAAATATCGTCGCAGCACGGTACCGTCCGGGCTCTAACTATAACAAACATTTTTTACTAGACTTTATAGAAAGTATGTAGTCTCTAATAATTTTAAATATGTATTTTAGGTGTAAAAGGAAAGGAAAAAGTAGGCGAAAGTTCAACTTCCTCCCATCAACATCAACAACTTCAATATTTCAATTTTGAAGAAATAAAATTTTCACTTTTTGAATTATCCCTTTTTGTTAAAATTTTATTAAAAATAAATATGGAAATATTAAAAATAAATTATAATATGGAAATTTTGGAAATAATTAAAAATTGTAGGGGAATAGTTTTGAATGAATTGGGGGGAGGAGGATATATTGGTCGGCAATTAAATAATCCTTTAATTTTTGTAAATTTGTTTACAAAAATTGAAAAGGTTTGGAATTTTTTTAGAAAAATTTAAAAATTAATTAAAAGGTTATTTTGTATTATAATGCTTTAATACAAAAAATTGAGAAATATAGAAATGAGGATTTACTGGAATTTTATGATGAATTTGGTAATGAAATAAATAGAGAAGAGATTGAAATTGCAATTGAAAAAAGATTTAATTCGTTTTTGTCGACAAAAAATTTATTAAATTTTAGAGAATTTTTTGAAAATTGGGGGCTTTTAGTTAATGTAAATGAAAATAATGTTGAAGAAATGGTTAAAAATGCTAAAGATATTATTTTGTTATTAAAGTAATTTTGAAATAAATACCGTAAATATCCTAATAGAAGCCCTAGGCTTATATTTTTCAATACCCCTCATTGGGTGGGCTTCTAATAGGGACGGGCTTCTATTAGGATATTTACGGTAATTTGAACAAAATTAGAATTTTGAAATAAATAAGGGGAAATAAATTTAAAAATATTTTCTTTTTCTAGTCATGACAATTTGTATAATCTTTACAAAGAATGTGCAAATATAACAATAATTGAAAAAAATATTTTAATTTTGTGGCATTTGATTGGGTTTGCTCGAAGTTTAATTCGTTCTTTTATTTTATTTCATAATCAAAATAAATATTATGATAATTTATTAATTGAACGTTCAAATAATAACCAAGCAATACCTCGGTAATTATAATTAGTTTGGTAATTTTAATATTCCCCCCTCCCCCCTCCAAACGCAGAAATATAAAAAATTTATTTAAATACCTATTTTCAAAAAATATTAGCATGATAATTTTATGGTAATTTTTAATAAATAGATAAATATTTGTTTTTCAAAACGGATCTAGTAAAAATCTCTTAAACTTGAGTTTATGGATCGTATCTAAGATTGAGGGTCAAATTATGAGGAAGTTTCGTTCTTTTAATTTTTTTAAGCTTCGTTCTTTAAATCACTTGGCGAAAGGAGTGCCAAAGGATTTTTTGGATAGAGTAAAGTAGAGGAGTATCCCATAGAGGAGTATTCCCTTTCGAATATTTTGAAAAACTGGGGGTTTCATTAAAAAATATAAAAATCTTGGGGCTCAGAAATTGATTTAATACATTCTAACAAGTACTTTAATTCTTTAAATTAATTTTAAATACAACTTTAAAGGGAAAAGATTTCAATTTTTGGATATATCCAAGCTTATGACTTTTTAGAGGTTAATGCAAACTATTTTACAAAAACCCTAGAAGATTTGCAAGTTTTTTATGAATCGGAAGTTGATTTTGAATATAACAATTCTCATTTTAGTAAGAAAATACACTAAATATATTTAATATTTTTGGGAAACAGACCTTTTCCTAGGAGAAGTATCTATGAATCCGTGCTTAAACAGATTTTAAAAAGCAAAAGGGCACACCCCTGCTATGTATATTTTTAAAAATTAGTTTTTTCTTGGAGTGTTTAGTGTTTGTTTATTCAACTTTTTTTCGTATTCACGCCCTAAGGGCGCTTGATTTGGCTGACAGATTAAATTAGTTGGTACTTTATGGATATGTCACCCCCCCTCCTATTTTAAGTCTCAGAGTTTTGCTTAAACGTAGAAAATGGTCAGAGATTATTTTCTTCTCCGTGTCAATCATTTTTCTTTCTTCAAGCAAAATAAGTGAAATGTGGTAAATGAAGAAACGAAATGAGTGAAATGTAAGTACAAAATATGAGAAAAGGCAAAATAAACAAGCAAAATACTTGAAGAAGAAGAAAATGATTGACATGTAGAAGAAAATAATCTCTAACCATTTTCTACGTTTAAGGAAAACTCTGAGACTCAAAATAGGAGGGGGGTGACATATCCATAAAGTACCAATTAGTTAACTCTTTTAAGTATAGCAATAATTCCTTTATTTTTAATTCCTTTATTTTTTTATAGCTCGTAATCAAGTATTAATGTCTCTAAAGGAAGCTGAATTAGAAGAGGGTATTATTTACCCAGCAACATTTTCCCCTTTCGAAGCAATTGAAACAAACAGAAATGAATATTTTAAATTCATTTTGCATTTGTATTATCGACATAATGAACGTATAATTAATTTTTATTTAAATACAGTAAAGGGGGATTGATCTGATAGAATTTAAAACGTTTAAAGAAAGATTAAACGGTCTATGAGAAGATAAGATAAATCAGAAAATTGTTGTGTGTAAGCAAAAGCCTTCCAGGCACTTAGAAAAGTTAAAGGTTCGATTCCTGCCCGTTGGCTAAACTTTTGATAGAATAATAAATTTTAGATTTTGATTTTAGTTAAAAATAAATTCGCTATATTTTAAAATAAATGTAAGACGTGCTTAAGATATGTAAATAAATATTAGTTAAATACCTACATATTCCCCCAATATTTTTAAAATTTAGTGTCACAAGAAGAATTATTACCAACAAGAGAAGAGTGTATTTGGGTTATAAATAACCCAGCTTTATCTAATCAAAATTTTGAAAATAATACTATTTTATCTGTTAAATTTTATGATTTTTATTACAATATTTTCTTTCCAAAACTTCAATTAAAACTTGAACAAAATATTGTAAATTACTTTATTAATGAAATTGTTTACAAAAATGAAGAGAATAGAGAATATTTAGATGAAAATATTATTGAACCCTTAAAACTTGCAACTGGTATAATTGTTCCTCCACAAATACATTATGGACTGGTTAATTATGTAAATTATATTTACTTTTATTTTTTAAATAAAAACAAATTTCATTAAAAATATTACATAAATTCTTTGGGAATTTTAATTTTACTTAATAGTAGACAAAGGTAACTCGGAAACCGGGTAAATTAATAAAATCCGGTAGAGTTTTATGGGGGTTTAACCTAGAAAATCTTGCTCGGATCAATTTTCAAGAGAAACATTAGATACCGCACCAGACAATTTGAAAATGTCGTATTCTTATTTAAACAATAGATAGAAATCGCTCTCAGTTTAAAAGAAAGGTTTTTTGCTCGAGAGATACATAACTTATTGAGAAAAAAAATATTCAAAAAATCAAAAACATTAACCAATTTTTATAATAAAAAATAGATTTACAACGTTTGTTCAACAAACTACAATCAACTTAGAGGTATAAAACATGGAGGACAGCAGCAACATACTAGTCGAAGTAGTCAACATGAAGGGCATAGTAGTGGCCAGGGAGGAGGTCAAGGTGAAGCTGGTAGAGGAGGTCGAAGAGGACGTCGACCTAGGGGAGGGCATTAAATATTTTAGGAAATTTTGGAAGAAATTCTAGGGGGATTTAAAAGAAAATATTCTTTAGTAAACAATTTTTATGGGTGTTTAAATTTTTAAATTTTAAACAATTTTCGTTTTTTATTATAGAGTTGATAAATTTTGCGGAAAAAATTTTGCGGACAAAATTAAAAAATCTCACATTGGAATTAACTGGCGGAACAAGCAATTGAGTAATAGTTCCTCCTTGTGAAGAAAAACGATGAAGCCTCTCATCAGTTGTTACATTCCAAACAATAACAGAAAAATCAGCACTACCAGAAAGTAATAGATTTGGATTATATCTATTGCTTTCAGCAAAAGGATAGAGAAAACATGTCACAGAACTAGAATGACCATTTTGAAGAATTTTGAATGGGGTGGATTCTAAAAAATTTTAGAAATAAAAAATTTTTTAACAGAAAGAAACCGTTATTGTAACCATCCAATAAAGCAACCATTATTACTTGACAAGCACTCATAGTCTAAAAATTGATAAAGAAAAATTAATTAAATTCCTCAAAAAAGAAAAGAAACCATTATTGAACCGTCACTTCTTCCAAGAAACAATTTATCTTGTGTAGACACATAAATAGTGGCTTGGATGGTGGATTCAGACTGAAAACATTAACTTAATAAAAAACTCAAAAAAAGCTGGAAAAACCTCAAAATTAGCAATTGCTGGAGGTGTGAAGGAAAGTCGACTCCAAGCGTCAGAAAGACATTGTCTAATTGTTGGTTCATAAACTTTAAAAATTAAAAACTATTTTTTAAATAAAAAGACAGACCTATTGGACGTCGTGTTCTCACAAACTCGCTAACCAACAATTCCAAATTTTTTGGAACATGCCAAAAACTAATTGAAGAACTTTGTTCATCCAACCGATAAGTAATTTGGCGATGAGTTTTATCAAAAGAAAGTTTTGAATCGAAGAAAAATTTAACCGGGTTTAAAAGAGGCTGGAAAAATTTTTTGATTTTTTTTGGAAAAATCATAGAAATTAGAAACCTGTAAATTTGGAGAAGAAACACTTTTTAAAAGAGCAAACAAAGGGTTGCTCAATTCCGGCAATGTTCGAAGGTTTCTCACCAAAACGCTCACGAATCTGTCGACCAACCAATTTACTTAAAAGAAGATTTTTAAAGAAAAATTAACTAAAATAAACCTTCTAGGTAACTGAAACAAAACAATTGTTGAATCAGCAAATCCAATAGCAACTTTGTCAATATCAACAATCATTCCTTCTAGGGCTTCAATAGCGCATTCGGAGACAACTAATTGACCTAAGGTGCTGGGATCGATAACCTGAAAAAATTTTAAAAATTAGGGTCATATGGTGATCTTTGACAAAGCCTAACGGGTCCAAAAAATCCCCTGTCGATTTCGACATTTCTAAAGGTTCCGCAGCTCTGATTTCAGAAGCGGTTGAGGAACCAAGGTATCAGGAATACGAATGGGGATCAAAAAAATCAGTGGCCCGCTAGAAGTTTTTAAGGGAAGGTTAAACTATTAAGAGATATTTTTCGGCCTTTCTCCTTGCCCGCTTATATGGCTAAAAATTCTTAAAATCAAATATTCAATAACCTGCCAAGAATTAGCACAAACAACTGCTATATTTGGGTATTATATAGCTTAAATCGGGTTCTACTATTCTGGGGACTATATTAGACTGAATTACATTATTTTAATATTTATTTATTCATACACTTTATTCTCCATATAAAATGGGATACAATAATAAGGGAGAGAATTGGCTAGGCCAAAACTTCTGATAATGAGGAAAAGGTTGGGGTATTTATAGAGACAAATTAAGGGTCAAGATATAAACAGAAAGTGAATAACAAAGATAAGATAAGAGTCAAGAATTGGATGAGAATGCCGGGAGACCTTTATCATTAGAAATAGGTCAACTTATATTTGCATGTGAAAATGCAAATTGTTTATTTGATTAAGCGAATGCAGCAACAACCAACATCATTCTAACATTCTTTTCTGAACAAGTTATACTATGTACATTCCTCGGTGCTATAAATTTCGATTCTTCTTCAAATAAAATATTTGTTGTGTTATCCTTCATATTTAATTCATTTAAGGACCAAAGCTTGGCAACGCCAGATAAAGATACACCAATTAGAACGTCTAAAAAGTTAAAATTTTAAAAGTCAAAACTTGAAGAATTACCAATCTTGTCGTTTGGTTTGACCAAAGTAATAGAATTCATCCAATCTGGTTCAGCACGTGAATTAAGAGTATAGAGGACATTCAAATCGTGTGGATGAATTGCAACAACATCGGTATAGTCGCCAACGCAAAAGAGAATCTCATGGAGATTTTTGCAAGCCTTAAAAGAAAGGGATTACTTCAAGAATTTTACGGCAAATTTCCAAAAATAAGGAAAATCTGTCAGAAAAATAGACAAAAACAAAGCTTACGTAGGGCTTCATTTTCCTAAGAACATAATTCGTTCTCATACTATCTATTATTCTCATACTATCTTCTGAACACGAGATGAACTTACTGGAAAGAAGATTAAATAAAAGGTTAAATAAAATAAAATTTACGATGCAGAAACAGAAGTTGAATTAGGAGATATACAGCTTATGCAAGTTTTGTGGGCCAACATAGCCATTTGTGGTTGGATCCATCCAAGTGATTCGTCTACCATCCATTGCATTACAATTCCATCTTCGCTTCCAGTTAAAATTATTTTGCCATTTCGTATTGATGAAATTTGTTTAATTCTGCTTCGAGGAGGCTTAGGCCCCCATAAAACAACAGGCACTACAAGTCCTGATTTTTCAGAAATCATAAATAAGGAATCTAAAAATCAAGAAACTATAAAACGAAAAAAACTGACAAATCATCAGGTAAAAAGAATCACTACGACAAATTGACATTTTTAGTTAATATGGACGTTTTGAATTTTTGGTGTTTTAAAAATACACTACGACTAACAGTGGTAGAGGATCATTGAGTACCACTCGTATTTGGGCCATATTTGGGCCATAACTTTTTGGGTTTTGTATCTATTCGAATAAATCTTCTATCATTCGAAAGCTCTGGATGTGAGGATTATTTTCGCCGACAGGATTGATATAATCAGATCATGCTACAAAAAGTTACATCTAGATAAATGCGCGCAATCGTGATTTTGATCTTTATTTAGCTATAACTTTTTGTATGATGATCTTACTAAATAACACCTGTTGGCGAAAATAATCCTCACATCCAGGACTTTCGATTGATATATTAATTGTTTAAATCAATCAAGAATCAAAAAAGTTATGGCCCAAAATATGGCTGGGTACTCAACCGGCCGGTACTCAACCGGCCGGTATTCAACTGGGACGTCTTATTTTTTACTATAAAAGCCATTTTTAGCTAAATTGATGTCTTTCAAACGGAGCACCACAGTTCGGCGCGCACAGTTCGGCGCGCACGGTTCGGCGCCCACGTTTCGGCGCGTCACGGTTCGGCGCGGCACGATTCGGCGCGACACGTTTCGGCGCCCGTCAATAAATTTTCTAAAAAAATAAAAATTTTCTTGTTCTGTGATTCTGATTTTTGTTCGGAATTTCGGCTGGGTTCTCTTTAGTGTTAGTAGAGATCGGCACGGGACGGGATCCTGCACGGGATTTTACGGGATCCCGTCTCAGAATCCCGGGTTTTGAGATAAAAACGGATTGCCTGGATTCCGGTTTTACGGGATTAATCCACGGGATCCCGTCCCGGTCGAAACACATCAGTCCAGCCTACTGGAGCCGTATTCAGAGAAGGAGGTAAGGGTACCTGGTAAGTCCCCTTTAATCCTCCAAATCTCTCGATATAACATTAATCCCTAAAATCCTTCTTTATTACCATTAAAGCCACTTAATCATTTTAATTTAATCCATACTTAAATCATTCCAAATCAATCAAGATCCATCCAAATCAAACAAAATCCCCTTAATCCCCAGATATCCATTTAATCCTCCCAAATTTTATAACAACAGATAGAGGAGAGTGTTTTACATACTATAGGGAAAAATCGGAATTTTAGCTTACCTATCCTGAGACTTATAAAATTTAAAATATGCTTGATTGAAATAATCAAGTCTACTATCTTCCGATATCCCTCCAAATACCGTAAATCCTCTAAAATATGCCCCTTCTAGAGGTCGATCGAAAAAAATAAGCCCCCTCTAAAATAAGCCCCCCTCCTAAAATAAGCCCCCTCCCCCATAAAATTTTTAATTGTTGATTAATTGTTGTGTCCTCTCAGTTGAGTCTCCATGGAGGGATATAGAAGGATTAGAAGTGATTAAGAGGGTATTTGAAAGATTAACAGATATATAAATGGATCAACGAACATAGATATTGAGGGATTTGAGGTGATTAATAGCGATATCGGAGAATTTGTAGGTTTAATGGGAATATATGGATAGTGAAGATTAAGGGAGATTATCGCCAATATATATTATGTAAAAATTTTTTTAATTTTTTAAATCTTTTATAGATAAATCTTTTATAGCGCCGCAGGCGAAAATTTTGAGAATTTTGGAAGACCAAAGTGCCAACACAATGCCCAAATTTAACACAAATAACGCGAAAAGCAATGCGCCCACCCCAGATCGGAACCCACTAATTCGAAAAACATTCTTCGTAGCTGTAACAACTTTCCCTTATTTAAAAATATTTAGAATTTTTTTATATTTTTTTGAAAAAATTTCACTATGGGCGCCGAAACGTGTCGCGCCGAATCGTGCCGCGCCGAACCGTGACGCGCCGAAACGTGGGCGCCGAACCGTGCGCGCCGAACTGTGCGCGCCGAAACGAGGTGTACCGCTTTCAAATAATTTTTACAACCTTCTTTTTTAGTGTTTATTTATTTATTTAATCTGGTTTATTCTATTTGTTTAAAGTCTTTATTCAACTTTATTTATGTCAACTTCTTCATCTCTCATTTCTGCGGGCATTGCCAGTTCAGAAGACGATTTTGCTGAGGAATATGATACTGAAATTGTCAAAACGGTTTTTTTTAAGTTTTCTTTTCATCAATTTTTTAATTTAAGGTAAAGAACCACCTGCGTGCTTTCAATTTAACCGATGAAGGACTTCGAAGGCTTATGGACATTTTGCAAACGAATTTAGTAGCTGCGTTAAAATCAGGTAATTTTATTAATATTTTTCTGAATTAAAAGTTCATTTTAACAGAACAAAGCGGTATGATGTTGCCGACTTTTATTACTGAGACGAATACTACAATAAAAAGCCGTGCGATTGCTCTAGACATGGGTGGTACTCGATTGATGTCGTTTGTTGCAACAGTACTCAAACAATTTTTGGCAAAATATAATTTATTGGACAATAATTTGCCTTTGGGATTCACATTTAGCTTTCCATGTCATCACAATACCAACTCAATTACTTCAGCTTCGCTTGTTGCATGGACTAAAGAATTTTCTGTGGGTTTTTTTTCAATAATGAATTAAAAAAACTCAATTTTAGGCCTATGGTTATACAAATGAAGATATTACCAATTTGCTTATTGATGCTTGTCTTAAAGAGGATATCAAACTGGGAATTGTTACAATTATAAACGATACTGTTGGTACTTTACTTGCCTGCTCTTTAGAAAACGAATGCCAAGTTGGGGTTGTGCTTGCAACAGGTTTCAATGTTGCTTATATCGAACATGGGGAAAATGTTTCAAAGCTTAAGAATCTTCAAAAAAAGGGTATGTTTTTGTTTTCTTGATTTAGAAAGATTTTATTTTTTTAAGTTAAAGAAATTTCAATCAACACTGAAGTTGGTGCATTTAGTGATTTGGAAGCGTTGGAACCTTACCGGACTAAATTTGATCGAATGTTGGATGACACAACTAATAATAGAAGGCGCCAATTATTTGAAAAGATGGTCTCTGCATTATATTTGGTTAGTTACCCTTTTTCTTAATATGGTGTGTAACAAAATTATAAGGCACCCACAATTTTTTCCATATTACAAGTTTTTATTATTCATATCAACTTGTAATTTTTATATATTAATTATCCTGTTACTAAACCATTATTTCCAAAGTTTTATCATTTTATGTTGAGTTTAAATTTTTTTATGACGCTTTTTCACTAAAATAGGTGTAACAAAATTATAAGGCACCCTAACATTTTTCAATTTACAATGCTCCAAAAATTCTACAAAAATTCCTGTAAACATTTCCATCGATAATGAGTCTAAAAGTAAAAAGTTCGAAGTCTGTAACTTTTTTCTTCATTGAGATCTCAAATCCCAAAAATCAACGGGAAATCGGGGTACAGTATTTCAAAAAATATTTTTACCCCCTAGAGCTTAATTAAAAATTTTTCTTTTGAGCTCATTTGAAAGCCCATAAAATTTGCTACAAAATAGCCCGGGTCTCTTTTATTCTAAAAAATTTTTGTTCGGCGTACATCGACTTTTCATAAAAATGGCCAAAATCTTCTAAAATACCCCAAAAATGATAACTTAAAAAATTGCCCACCTTCAACTCAATGAGTTCTTTATCAGAAAACTTGAGACCCGGGCTATTTTGTAGCAAATTTTATGGGCTTTCAAATGAGCAATTAGAATAGTCGGGATTAGTTCTGCGTGTGAAATTTTTTTTGAATTAGAAAAAAAAGAAATTTGCACGAATAATGATTTTTATTTTTAATTAAGGGCAAATTATTCAAGATCGTTGTAGATGATTTGTTTAAAAACAAATTGATTTTTAAAGGAAAGCCAAATATTATTCAACAGCTTCAAAAGAGGAATTTTTTTATTACGCCTACCATGACCGAAATTGCTGAGTATGTTTTCATTTTCTTTTTTTTTAAATTATTTATTTTTAAGAAACTATCGAATTTATGACAAACCACTTGGACGTATTCAACAGCTAGTAAATACAGGTTTTTTGATTAGCTGTTAATTGAAATCGTATTATAATGAATTCTTTGCCCTTTCCATTTTACATTAGTTAGGGGCGGTATATGGGGTTTGATGGTTTATCCTTTCGGATCCGTACTCTTCCCTTTGTGTATCAGCAATTAAAAATTTAAGATGGAACTTCATTAACTGACTGCAAGGTTTTGGCAGTTGTTTGTAATTCAATTTGTTCCCGGTCTGAATTGCTTGCCGCTGCTGGTGTCGCAACAGTTTGTCGATTCATCATTGGAGAAAATATCACCGTTGGAGTTGATAGTTCAATATTCTACAGCGATTCTGGTTTACAACGATTTGAGAAAAAAATTGAATGTTTTGCTGAGGCAGATAAAAAGGTTTAGTTTTATTTAATGGTAATTGTTTTAATATATTTTTTAGATCCGACTTCTTCGAATTAATGAGGGTAGTGGACGGGGAGCGGCCGTGGCGGCCGCTTTGGAGGCCAATGCTATTGCTGAAGAAAGTTTGTGGTCGTTTTGCTCTGTCTTATAGCACAAAGCCAAGAAGTTGTACCGCAGCAAAAGGAAAAATATTTGCCTCCACAAATGCGTAAAAAACCTCAGGAACAATAAAATAATGATAGATGGTTTTATTTTTTTATAAAAATTGTTGGGAATTTATTTGCTTTGTTTGACTGTTATTCCTTTTAAAAATAATGTTTTTTGGGGTATTTGATCAAAAAAAATTTTTTTTTTCTGTTATAATCTTTTGCAGGAGCATGAATATTTTTTTTAATTTTTGAGAAGTTTTTCTTTCAAAATTCAAAAATTAAGAAGCCATTTTATTTATTAAAAAATTTTTTCGTTTTTTTTTCTGGTCCTGCAATATATTTAATTTTATTTTCCCTTTTTTTCTTTGTCGGTCACTTTTGTGAACATATAAAATATCATATTGTCAAGTTTATTGTCACTACAGTTGATATTTTAGACCGGACCCAGACGAGGTCTCGATCAAAAATCTTGCCTCAAAAATCTCCCTCAAAAATTTTGAATTTTTCGAGATCTCGATTCTCGTACTATCATTCCAGTCCAGTTAGAAATAATTTTTAGAAATGATTTTTGAGATAGTCCCTTTGGACTTCTTGACATTTGGAGAGGATACGCACGGCGGGTTAAATGCGAAATCTGGTGGCGTTGTGTATTTTTATTTTTTAAACTACGCCAAAATAGCGTTAACACTATTTCTCTCTTCTTTTGCTTTCTGTCTCAAGAAACGCAAGCCGTTTGAGTGCCGATTGTATGCCAACTTCATCGCAGAGTTTGAGTGTCAACTATCATTTAGATATCTATACATTTTTGGCCATAACTCATCTCAAAGTGGTTCTAGAAATTTAAATTTTGCATGATTCGACGTAACTCATCGAACTGCATCGGATGGTACCAAAAGCCTGAGCTTTTGGTCGAAAAAATAACCAAATCATCATCGAAAAAATTATCAAGATTTGTTAATGCTTAAATTTTATGAAAAATGCTTGAATATTTCTAATTTTTTTTTCAAATGATTTTTTATATTATATTCTAACATATTGTTAGACAAAACCAAAATCTGTTAGAAAAAAACGGAGATATGACGTTTCAAAGTCGGTAACCCTAAAACGTGACGAGAGTAATGCTAAAAACGTGAGAGTAAATAAATGAAAAAGAGGAAAAACGAGAGAGTGTGACGAGACGGTTAGATTTCGCATTTAACCCACCGTGACCTATGTATTTGAAGCAGATTCTAATATAAAAGCACATTTTCTAATAGAAGCACACCCCTAGCATGTCGACTGTAGCTTTTTAAAATAATGACAGCTATATTTTTAATTTCAAAAAATTTTGGACCTCAAGAAGCCAGATTTCTTCCTCTTTCAGCGCCGCAGGCGAAAATTTTTTAAATTTCGAAGGCCGTAGGCCAAAAAAATTCACTTTTCCCAAACCCTTCCCCAAATTTTTTCCTTTTCCCCATTTCGGGGGGGGGGGGGAATGCTGCGGGCCTGAATTTGAATCTTAATAAATGGAATTTTGAGTGGAAATTGAAAATAAAAGCATTGAAAAATAAAAGCACACTCTCTATTTGAAGCACACCCTCTAATATAAACACACCCCACGAGAGGAAATAGAAGCGCATGTGGTTCTAATAGAACATTTAAGGTATATTGGTTGTTAACAAACTAGTATATAACGTTATGTTTAACTTTCACTTTATTTTATATTAGATAAAGTAATTTTTAAACATTAAAAAACGATTACTATTTTTCTTTATCAAACACATATAAAATGTGCAACAAAAAATAAAAACTCTAGGACACAGGGATGAGATAGTAACTTGAACAAAATAAAAATACAATAAAACAGTTAAAAGATGATAATTTTTAAATGATACTTTTATCATTCTTTAACTGTCTTATTGTTTAAAATTTCTTTAGTGAATATTTTTAAAAAATAAAATATAATTTATCCAAAAATTTTTGAGTAGCCTAAAAAAATAAAAAACACGTGTATTTTATATATCTATTTAAATTTAGTCAATTAAGTATTTATCTCAAATAATTTATAATTAGCCCTTCTTTGGAACTTTCCCAATAAAGTCAGCATGGAATGAACCAAGATAAAGAAAGTCACCGTCATCAGAAGCCTGAAAATTGTAAAAACTTTCAAAAATATTTTTCTTTTTTTCATCCAACCTGTGAAACTCCTTGAATAACCGTTCCTGTTGGGTCATGATATGAACGAATAATTTTACCATTTAAGTCCAATTCTACAACCATTCCATATTTTTGGGCGACTAATGTTAAAATTGATGTAAGATAACGCTGAGGGATTATCTAAATGTAAATAAATTTTTGAAAAATTGTTTTTGAGAGGGAAGAAAGAGGGAAAGAATAATAAAAATGAGATTTAAAATGCATTAAAAAGGTGTCCTATTAAAAATCGTATTCCAAACAAACCTGTACAATTCCCCATCGAATCCATGGATGGCCACCCAAAAAGTCCATGAACGAGATAAATTGATCAGAATGTCTAACAGCAGCCATTCCGACAAGAAAAGATTGTCCAGATGAGGAAATTCGAATATTATCGGGAAATCCAGGCAAATTTTTGGTAAAGACAGAATGTTGTCCTCGTTTAGGGCCACTGTGGAAATACCTATAAGGAATAAAATAAAAAATATAAACCCTCGTAACTACTTTTCCCGGTTAGGTGGACAGAAATTACTTGAAACAATTTACATGAATACTATATTGCCTTTAATATATTTCTTTCAAGCAAAACTTCGGAAATATTTCACAATCATTGATGATTTATTAAAAATTTAATAGTTAAAGTAAATAAAAACCTAATAATTTTTGCACGAGAACATTCTGATACAAGAAGAGATTCCCCATCAGGATGAAGTTGAACGCCATTAGCAAACCCCAAACCATCCAAAGCAACCGATGGCTTCGGTTTTAGATTTCTATCAAATTCAACACGAATGAGTCTAAATTAATTTAATTTAAAAAAACTTTTAAAATTTAAACCTTCCAGTCGATTTTCCTTCAAAAAAGTCATGCATAAATCGGCGTCTGTCCCAACGTGTAGAAGAATGAGAGAAGAAGACAGTAAATGAATTGCTATCATTTCTTCCATTTAAAATATCCAAATCATTAGCAAAATGACACTTTTTCTCTTCAAGTGTTTGTTCATTAGAGAATATTTGATTAACAGTTCCTATAGAAAAAGAAGTAAAAACTTTTAAAAATCATTTTTACCCTTTTCAAAGTCCACAGTGTATAATCCACTATAAGCTTCGGCTACAATAAATCCCCTTTCGTTAAGACGGCGAATTCCCAATGGTCGGCCACATTTTGGTTCTGTATGATATGTCGCTCCTAAATTTTAAATTAAAAAATTTTTCAATTCCCAATTATTTGGTAAAAATCTTTTTCATGTAATTATTCGACACTCACATCATAAAGGAATTCTGTCTTAAAATAAAAAAATACCACAAGCAAAAGTCTTCTTTCCAGGTTTAATTTTCAGAGATTTTTCCACAATTCCATTAACTATTTTTAACAATTTTCCATCCCAAGTGCCAGTGTAAATAACTGTCTTCTTTCCATCCTTTTCAACAACCAGAGATTCTGGCCCCAAAATTTGGCCTTTTAGAAGCATTTGAGCATTACGTAGATAATTGTTGGGTTTTAATGGTCCTTTGAGTGAAGGTGGTGGTGGAAGTCTAAAATTGTAAATATTTGAACTTAAACTAGGAGTCAATGCCCAGCATCGAAATAGAATTAATTAAAAAAACCTATAAACAACAGGTTCAAATTCCTCATTTAGATAAACAAAAACACCAAAGAGAGCAGTAATAACAGCAGTAATAACAATTAAAGTCTTCCAAAAACAAGCACATTTACTGCGTGTTGATCTAATGGGAGGTGATGGGCACATAATATAATTACTAAAAATAAAAAAATATAAATTCTTTAAATATATAGGTAATTGTTAACACTTAGAGAAATTGTCTATTGATTAACAAAAAGAAAAATGATATAAATTTATGAACACAAAAAAAGATAAAAAGTTAAAATATTTTTTTTTGCAAATTAATGTCGAAATAAAAATAAATTTTTTAATCAGTTATTTGATTAACATATTCAAGTACTCCTTTCCTCACTAAATTCTCACAATCCTGTCGAGGCAATAAATGAACAGCACCTTTTGCTAAAACAACAGTAATTCCATCACTAGTTTCAAATTGGCCGCTATCCTTTAAAGCTCTAACTTTGACCTGAGAAAATAAAAATTTTGTCTAATAAAAAATTTTTTAACGAAAAATTTAAAAAATGATTATCAATTCTAAACAAAAACAGGGATTAACGGCCATTCCCGTTTTTCCTATGACAAGGTGATATAAATCCAGAAACAAGAGGTGAAACGAGAACATAAAAATAAACAGACAAAACCTTCTTAAAATTCCCCAAAATTTTTAATTTAATTTAAAATCTAACTATTAATTTATCAGGAGGATCAACATAGTTAAACAGATTAACACCTGCAAAATATTTTTAAAAATATAAAACAAAAAAACTTTAAAGACACCTACCATCTCCCCCATTTATTTCCTCTCCTTCATTTTCTTCATCTTCTTTTCCAAATTCATTTTGAAATTCAAAAGTAATTTCATTATAATTTTTAAGCCATTTATGTTCATGTTCTGACATATTGTTTTTGACTTTTTCTGGTATTTGACCTCCACATTTCCATCTCATATTTTTTATTCTCTTCATTCGTTCATTTATATAAGCACAAGCTTTAAAAAAATATTTAAAAAATTTTAGAGAATAGCTCTGAAAGTATAAAAGAAAATATGGTTTTGACCTTTTACTTAATTATATATTAAAGTTTTAATTCACCCAATTTTAATATAAAATAATTAAAAATTAACTGCATCGTTTTATTTGATCAATAGCAACTTGTCTAATACGAACCAGTTGAAAAACTTGATCTTCATTTTCTTTATTTGAACCGTCTGTTTTTGATTTTAAACTGAAAATTAATATAAAAATGATATTATTGCATTATGTCAACATTTTCCTTTCTCCTAAAAAGGAACAAAATATTTTAAAATTCAGATCTATTAAAAAATCTCAAAATTTTTGAGTGAATCTCTGATAGTTATGTATAAGTCAGACGAAAAGGAAAATCCGTGCAGATAATGCGGTAGAAGAATACAAGTTTTGGATAAAATTTTAGTCTAGAACATTCAAGAGAAAAAATGTTTATTACAAACTTGTTAAATGTGAATATCCAAACAAAACAATGTTATCGGAAGATTATCCCTGCCCAGTTTCACTAAAATAAAAAACACAACTTACTCCATAAAAGAACGAACATTTTCATTATAAAGATCGATAATTTGCTTGGCACATTTATCAACCAATTTTTTGTTGTATGGAGGCAAAACATCCGGATTGTCGTGTAAAGACTATAATTTAGTTTATAAAAAATTATTTTATTTAAAAAAATATTAACTTGAACAAGTTCAAAGCCAGCACTAGCAATTTGTTGCTTTTTTTCTGTCATTAATATTTTTAACCCCAAAAAACAATTTAATTATAAAATAGAGAAAATATTCATAAATATTTATTTATATTAAATACATAATAAAAATTCATTCAAGAGCAAAAATAATTTTATTAAAAATAAATAAGTGAATGTACCAGAATAAGAAAATAAAACAATCGTCTCGCCACATTATATGTAACGCTATAGTACATATAGTTATAAAATTAGTATCTGTTTGGATTAAAATATTTAATAGTGGAAGAAATGATAATTTAACAAACCTGTAAAACTTCAAATTAACTTATCAACTAACAATTTTTCTCTAATATTTTCTAACAATCCCATACTTGCTCCAATTCGAAAAAGTTTAGGGTCCAAATTGTTCCTCCCCAAAATTCTTTCAAATAAAATTATATATTGCAATGCTTGTTCAACTGAACGAATACAACCAGCAGCCTAAAATAAATTTTATATAAAAAATTTTAATAAACTAAACCTTAAATCCAACATTTTTATTTGTATTTTTATAAAACTGGGCAATAGCTGAACACATTATATATGCTGATTCTAATGTTGCATTTATTGTTTCTTTGCCAGTACTAGTTTTGATAAAGTCAGCACCTAAAAAATAATTGAAAAATATTTTTAAGATATTCATGAAAAATGTTCATGTCATAGTAATATTTTAATCGAGAAATTAAAAGTAACATTTAAATTAAAATTGTTATCTAATTTCAAACTATTAACATTTTGTGTTATTTCAGTACAAACTTTTAATTTAATGAAAGAAATTAATTTAAAAAAAGTATTTTGATAAAATTACCAGAATACATAGCTGCCATACTTGCTAAATAAATTGCTTTGTTTGAACCAAGCTCACCAACCGACAAAATAATTTTTAATTTTACTCCTTTTGCAGCATCTCTAATCCTAACAAGTTCTTCAAATAATAACTTCCAATTATTCTCAAAAATAGCAGTTCGATTTATGACTGAATCAATTTCTGTTGCCCCATCACGAATCGCTAATTGAATTTCTAATAGTCGACTTTCAATGTGATACTGACCAGATGGAAAGCCACCAGCAACTTTAAATTGTTTAAAAATTTAAATAAAGATAATGACTGGATTGTGACTTTTTTGTCCTAATCAAAACTGAGTTAGTTAACCCACAAAATTAAGTCGTAAACAAATAAGGAATTTGTACAACGATTAAATAATTAACATAGGAAAAACAATTATATCTTAATTTTTATTCACCACTAGCAATAGTTAATGAGTTTCCAATTTCTTTAATGGCATTGCAGGCATCCAAAACTCTTGCAGGATATACACAAACAGAAGCACATTTTATTTGGAGGTTCTAAAACATATTGAAAATAAAATTTAAATATAAATCATTACTTGTTTAACTGGACTAATAGCAGAATTAACCAAATCATCAACACGAGATTTTGTATCATCACCCATTAATGTTGTTAAATCGATAAATGTTATTAGTCGCTCAATTTCTGAACGCTTGAATATTAATATTTAATAAAATAACGCCTAAATAATCATGTCAATATTTAGAATCCAAAAAAACTTTAAGATTATAGATTAAATAACAAACTATTTTTGACAATCTTTTTGATTCTTCTATTATTTCGTCCTTAAGAACTTGCGGAATTTCAAGTAAAACATCATCAGTTTTCAATTCTTCCAATAAAAGATTATAATTTTTTGAATAATCGGAAGAATTCATTAAAACAGCGTTTAAAAGATGTAAATATATTTTGTTTTTTAACTGTAGGAAAGAAACATTTATTAATTGAAATTTTAAGTTTTGCAAGTCTTTATCATCAAGTAAGATAAAATCAATAAAAAGTAATTGTTGTACTTTAATACACAAAATATTTTTTAACATTTAATATTTTTTTCACTAGACAAAATAAATGTGATAAAATATGTGACCATAGAATCGGTTATTTTTTTTTGGCAATTGACAATTAAATAGAGGAAAATAGGGGCAATGAGTAATCAAATGATAAAGAAAATAGTTATTTAAATTTTTAAACATAAATCTCGAAAATTAATATTTTCAAATTAATGTTTAATAATTTCTTTTAAAATTAAATAACCAGTTTCCAAAAAATATTCCATGATTTGTCGAAATTATTTGCACCAAAATTAAATAAAAATGTGCTAACAGTTGAATACGCAAAAATTATAGACAAATAGACAGAAAAAAATCCCACCAAAAAACAAAAACATTCAATTTCAATTAGAATTTTCTGTCTAAATGCCTTAAATAAAAGTGGAGATACAATGAATATATTTGGTAAAATTAAATATTTAAACTAAAAAGTTCATAACCTCACAAATTATTCTTCCATTATGGCATGCTTCTGTTGCTCTTCGACAGCGTTAGATGGATTCTCTTCGTCCTTTTGACCCTAAAATAAAATTAATTAAAAAATTGTAATGCAATAAAACCTTTCCCTCATCCATAATAACCTCACTCTTATCTCCCTCCTCTTCAACTTTCTTTTCCTCAACCTCCCCACCATTTTCAATTTTGTCTTTATTGTCGATATTTTTATTAGAAACAGCCTCCTCTGTCTCCTTTTCTTCTTCTTCCTGATCAGCCCCACCACCTTCCTCATCTTCAGTCGATTCATTCATTATTTGTGTATGATCCAATTCTCCACCTTCAGATTCGTCAGTATCGCCAACTTTGCCAGATGTACGTTTACGTGCTAAAATATTTAAAAATATAATAAAAACCTTTTAAAATTTTCAGACTTATCAAATGCCAGTTTATCCAAACCAAACATATAATTTAAAAAATTCTTAAATTACATACCAACATTCCTAACTGTTGGCCCATCAGTATTCCCTTCAGTTGTCTCTGCATGCGCTCTCTTCCTACGAGGAGATTTTGCCGTCTCATCAACTAAAAATAATTAATTATAAAAATAAAATTCTATAAAACCTTTTCCTTCAGAAAATTTGTCAAAATAACTTTTTGCTTCAGCAAAAGTTGCAAATTTTTTGTGCATAGACTTTGGAAATCCTTGAGTCTAAAAATGATCAAAATTGAAATAATTAGTAAGAATGACGAAAATACTTTATTATAACTATTTAAAATTTTTAATGTGAAGTAGGTGACAAATATGGCAATATTTTGAATAAAAAATTTAATCATCGAAAAACTGCCAGGAAAATTACTTTGTATTTCATAAAAAATTGAAAAGATTAGAATTTAATTTAACAAACTTTAAATTACAAAAACTCTAAACTAACATTCTTCTTGACAGTTTCAAGATCCTTAAATATTCCAATCACACGACCACGAGCAACTGCATAGAATTTATCGTCAGTATCAGTCTCCTTAGCTTCAACTAAATTAATAAAAGAAATTTAAACAAATTGATTAAAATATTACATAAAGTTGCATCAGGTTTAGACTTCTGAACAAATTCTTCTGCATCTTCGCGATTTTTAAACTTTTTGTAAACAGCTTGAGGAAATCCCTTCATTGCTGCCATAGCTTCCTAAATTTAACTAGTAAAATATTTAAAAAACATAACAAACGAAAAAAACAACAAAGACCATCCTATAATACTTCCCAACCCAATTTTTCGATTATAAGCAAAATCATACAAACCTTATATGTTGAAAATACTCCACGATTATATCCATAAGCAACACCATAAAAGAATGAAGGCTGATTTTCAGACATTTTTTCAAAGAAAATTTTAATAATTAATCTAAAAATCATTATTATGTTTAAAAGAAAAATTTGTGATAGTAAGGAAGGTAAATACAAAAATTTACCACTTAAAAATAATAATACTATTAACCAAAAACCCTGTCTATTAATGAAAAACCATAAAATAAATAAAATATAAAACAAAATAAAATTGTTAATAAACATTAAAAAAATAAATGTCAAAAATTTATACATAACTGTACTAGAAATTAAAATAAACAACTCTGGAAAATAATTATAAAGAGACCAGAGAGAACTTTGGGAATTTGCAAATATAAATTTTGAAGATTTATATTTCTTTGATAAACATCTAAAAAAATTTCAATTTTCAAATTCCCAAATTTTAATCAAAAATCACATAAGTTTACAATTCGTTATTTATGTATGGGAAGCTTGAGACGCAATAAATTCATCGGCAGTTGCAATAGCTTTCTCTCTTTCTTCCTTCTGTTGTTCCAAAGTATCAGATACAGCAGCGGGGGCTCTACCTAATTCACCAGCAGTAACCTCCCAAAGGACTTTGTCAACCTCTTCTTGGGCTAATTCTTCCATATTTTCTGGTTCAAAAGATTCCATCGTCTCTTCAATAATTTCTTCAATTAAGCCCATTTTTGTCATTTCTTTGGCCATTTCACGCATTATTTGCATTACTTCAGGCACCTAAACTAGAAAATTAAAGATAAACAGAACCCCAAATTTTATGCCAATTTTATTTACAAATAATTTCCCAAACCTTAACCAATTGCTGCATTGCCCGCATTACTTCAGTCGATTGTTTTAACGTTCCAGCCATTCTGATTGTCGCCAATTGGTGTTGCATATTCATAATAATTGAATTAATTTGAGCTGAAGTTGCATGAAGTTTGGCAACAGACTTTTAAATTTTTTGATATATTTAGTTCTGTCCAAAGAAAAAGAAAAAAAACCTTTTTTGAATGCACAATCGATTTAGCCAAAACAACACAAACATCTCTATCCCCCTTTTTGGCTGCTACTTTAATCTCCCTTTTAACTTTTTCTTCCTCCCTTTGAATTGCATTAATTTGACGATTTAAATGTGAAATTTCAAGTCGAAGTTTTCTTTGCAAGGCCCGGACCTTTAAAAGAAAATAAAAAATAATTTTCAAAAAAAAGAAGGAATTACCTGTTCTTTGGGATCAACTTTAACTTTTCCGAATAAACCCATAATTGTTATTAATAAATTTATTTTTGTAAATAAAAATTAGCTAAAATTCTAAAGATTTTAAAAGCAAACAGTTTTTATTTTGTAAAGAAAGGAAATTTTATATTCTTTACCAAATAAACTCAAAAAGAAAAATCTCAGAAAAGTTGAAATAATACGAAATAAATTAATCAAGTTAAAAATATTGTGAAACTATTGATCGAGACCTGCGCCAACCCACCGAGCTTTCTATGTTAAAAAAGTTTGATGGGCAATGACAATAAAACAATCAGGATACTTTCCGTTAATAAAGTTATTAATTTGGTAAAAGTTGAGTTTGTATGAGACATTTTTCACATTTTTCCACCTTCCTAGAAAAAATGGGGAGTAAGTGCTTTTTCAATATTTTTGAGCTTTTCCAGTAGATAATCAAGTGTGCTGACATGAGACAGAATATTAGTTTAAATTTTATTTATTTCGAATCCCGAAGAATTCGAGCTACATATCAGTTTCGCCATAAATGTTTTACTTCTAATTTCAAAACAGAATTCGACCTAGTCGAATTCGTGTCCGGGATGCGAAATAAATAAAATTTGAACTCATTCGGATTCTGCACAATTAATTACCTTCTGACAAACCTCAAATTTATCGAAGCAGTTCTTCGTCATCTTTTCTAAGGAGATGGAGAAATAAGAAAAAATGCGTCATACAAACTTAACTTTTCCATTAATTTTAAAATAAGCAAGATGTGTACGAGAAAGAAACATTTAGTTTACAAAAGTAAAAACAAAATAAGAAGAGATTAATCAAAAACAAACCACAATTGTAAACAAAATAAACAACAAAAAAAAGTAAAATTATGAGTACAAAACGGCGCAGGCCAAAACGACGCGACCGAAACGGCGCAAGATCAAAGCGGCGCAAAATTGAACAAAATCGCGGCGCTCCTTCAATTCAGCCCATTGAACAAAAACTCCCCAATTCGGCACACCCATAATACGTCCCATCTCAAAATGCCCAACAGAGTAAAAATACTCAATTCGTCTAACTACCCTTCGATTGTTACCCGGGTTTGAAAGACTAATTTGTAAGAAACTTTTTTTGTTCCTCTCAGTCAACGATATGGTTTTTTCAACCAATGCTATATTTTAATTATAGAGTCCACGGTACAGTTCTGATAAAAAATATCTGGATCTAAATATTCTCTCTACCCACGCTCATATCAGAAGGAATAAAAAAATTTTTGATCTTTTCTTTTTTTTAAGATTTTAGTATAATTATGAAGCTAAGATTTTAGGCTACAAAATTAGAGCAAAATCGGACAAAAATATGTAGTTACATATCACTCAAAAAACATGCGATAACAAAATCGGACTAAATTTAAAAGTTTAGAAGGGATATTAAGGAATTCTAAATAATTTATCTGTTTGAATCGGCGCGCCCCGAAAATGTCCTACCCCGAAAATGTCCTCCCCGAAAATGTCCTAAAGAACAAAAACCCCGAAAATGTCCTCCCCGAAAATGTCCCATACTAAAAATGTCCCATTGAACAAAAACTTGGGCAAACCCGGAGAGAAGGGTTTGCCCGGAGAGGGTTTCCTCGAGAAAAATTTTAAAAATAGGAAAAAGGAATTTTCTAATGTAAAAAAAATGTGCTGATTACGAATCTGACCTAAGATTTTGAAAAAGTCGAATCCCGAACCTAAATCGAATTTCGAATCCCGAACCGAATTTCGAATATGCAAATGATAGCTCGTTCGAAAGAGCTCGTCGAGCTGCATCGAATGACACCAAAATCAACGTGAATGAACCTAATTTGACAAAGTTATGACATAAATCGCCGACTCACATAGATTTAGTTACGGTTTTTAATTTGCAGTTCGACGGATTGAGTATATATACCCAGTTGGACATTTTGAGATCGGACATTTTTGGGGCAGGACATCTTCGGGGTTTTTGTTCTTTAGGACATTTTCGGGGTTTTTATTCATTAGGACATTTTCGGGACAGGACATTTTCGGGGAGGACATTTTCGGGGTTTTTGTTCTTTAGGACATTTTCGGGGTTTTTGTTCAGAAGGACATTTTCGGGGTAGGACATTTTCGGGCGCAGCCGTTTGAATCTTATCGGCACCAAATATTTTTTAATAAAAAAATTTATTTTCACATTTTCATTACAAAATTTACATCTTGATATTGCTAAACTCGCGTTAATTCCAAAAAATAAGTAAAATTATTTGGTTTAAGAGGCATATTTTATAGATCAAGTAAATTCCTTCATCAACTCCTCTTTTTAATTATAATCCTTCATTTTATTCTCTCCCTTCTATTTACTTCTACACAAAATTATTTTCTAAAAATACATTCCAACTTTAAAAAAAAGTTTTGAGAATAAATTACTTTTTTTAAAAACAAAATTTTCTTTATTTAAATGTTTAATATCCTCTTCAAAAAAAAAACAAATTTATTTTATTTCCTTCTTTCTTCTTGACATTTTTATATTTGATTACTTTTTTATTTAAATAAAATACCTTTTTTGGCTTTTAAATTTGTTGCCAATTTTTGAAATAATTTTTTAATAATTTTTATTTAAATAATTTTTTTTCTTTTAATTAAAATTGCACTATTAAAACACTATTAAAATTTAAATATGTATAGTCTTTTAAAAAATATAGCCAATTATTTCTTTTTAAATATTTTTAATTAGTTTTTAAAGATTTTACAAGTCTTTTTTTAAATTTAAAAATCTTTTAAATTTATTTTCTTTTATTATAAATTGATTACAAATTATTGAAAATAATTTGTAAAATTCTTTTAAAATTTAAATATAAAAAAAGCAAATTATGCTAATTCTCTAAATTTCGATAAATTTAAAAATTAAAGTTTTTTTCTTAGATTTTAACAAATACTTTTAGTGTAATGATTGTAATTATTTGAATTTTTCTGTAAATCCAAATATTATTTCCTCTTAATTTTTAAAGATATAACAACCTAAAAGAATTTTTGTATTTATTTATTTTTTAATTAAAATTGTTTTTAGAAAAAGTTAAATACCGTATTTCTTGAAATAGTACTCCCCCCGCAAATAATACTCCCCTTTAGAGGAGAATTGAAAAATAGTACTCCCGGGAGTACTATTTCAAGAAATACGGTATTTAACTTTTTCCAAAAACAATTTTAATTAAAAATTTTAATAATAATTTTAAACAATATTACCTATTTCCTCAAAACAATATTTTACTCTTCCAAATAGTCTTTAATTAACTTTTAATTTACAAACATTTCTTATTTATTTTTTTTCTAATTTCGTGACATTTATTTTTTTCAAAAATTAAATTTAAAAAGAAACAAAAAATGCAAATAAATAATTTCTAAAAATAAAGTTTTCGTCATATTTTGAATATTTTAAAAAAATAAAATTCTAAAAATATTTTGTGCGTAATAAATAAAAAAATAAAAAAATTAAATTTCCTGGATTAACCCCCACCCAAAAGTCTCTTTTTAACGTAAAAAAAGTCTTAACAAATAAACAATTTTTTTGTTAAGTCACAAAACTTTTTTTTGTTTATAAAATTTTATTTAAAGAGAATTTTCTTTAAAAAAAAGATACTTTTTTGTTTAAAGGTTTTTCTTTTAAATTTTAAATAAAATAAAATATTTAAATATTTTTTTGCAGACCTTTTTTTTTAATTTTAATAATAAAAGTATTATTATCTTTTTATTTTAATTTACTTAATGTATTTTTTTGTTAATAAAAAAGTTTTCTTTTAAATTATTAACAACTTGTTTAAAAATCTTTTTCCCACAAATTTTAAGAAAAAAAGATTTTCTTTTTTTTTTAATAAAATAAATTATTTTAATGGAAATACTTAAGGTCAAAAAGAAGTTTTGTCTTTCCAACTTTTTTAGATTTTAATATTTAAATTAAATTATAGACAATCTTTTTTCCATAAAATTTCTTTTTAATATTTTTTAAGGAAAATATTTTTAAAAAAATTAAAAATAAAAATGAGGCTTTCTTTGGCATTTCTCCTATTTTCCCTAATTTTATTAATTAACACAATTAATTCAAAACCCCATCCAAACGGCCTTCCAATGGTACGGCGGGATGGGAATGGGGGCGATTTGGATGATTTACTGACTGAATTTAGAGCAAAAGGGAGTAGAATGAGGTAAAATTTGAAATTAATTTTTGAAAAGAATTTTTAATTTTCAGATTTGGAAAACGTTCCTCTTCTTCCTCTCCTCGTTTTTCGTCATCCAGTGCTGACGTTGATTTTATTGAGGCACCAATTTATTACATTCCTGACCGTTTTATGTGGTTTCAATAAAAGAAAATATTAACAAAAAAATATTTAATTTTTCTTTTTTAAAAATTTCATTTTATTTAAAAATGTGAGGAAGAAATTGTGAGAGAGAGAAAAAATTAAAATTTCTAAAAAATTTTTCTTTTTTTGTAATTAAGAGAAAAAGTCCTCAAAATATTACTCTCGACAATTTACTTACAAAATATTATATATACATACAAACAAATTATTATATAGAACAAACAAGTTATTAATTTAAGGAAAGGTTACAAGGCTTTTTAAATAATTTCTTCCTTCTTTATACATCTAGGGATTTTAAGGCATTGGACAGAAAGGACATCTATTCGCACAGCATCAGGCAACCACAGCATTCGAGATACTCCGATCAGACACCTAATAAATTTCGTTTTTTAAATTTATAAGAAAATTTTCCCCTTCTTCACCATCCAGGTATTTGTCAACACCCGAGGGGCTCCTAGCTTTTGGGTGAGGTGTTTCGCTATGGCCGTCCGCATTTCCCCTCCAATGTAGCGTCCACAGCAGGTCCATTTGCGAGTACGAATCTTCGCACGACAATTAGGCGCATATCTAAAAATGACACATTTTTTAAAAATATTTTTAAAAATATTTATATTTACTCACACACAATCCCATATGATTTCCCGCTCCATCACAGGTTCCCCGGAACAACTGAAGCCAATCCGTTTAGGTTCCTTACGTTCACCCACCTTCCACTTGTAGGGGAACGCTTCCAACTTTTCAACGAAGGCCTCGTAATCATCCCGTCGCTCGAAGTAGGTTGGCGGATCAGCCCAGATAGACACTAAAAAAGTAAAGATAAAAACAGTTAAATAACAAAAACGAACTTATTAGAAGAACAGAAGAAGACTTGAGCCTGACGAGTGGTAGATAGTTTTGGTGAAGTAGGAAAAGCAAAAACTGTTTTTATAGCAAAATTTTTGTTAGAGTTATTTTGTTATAATTTTATTAATTCTTTATAGGTTAATTTATATTCTTTTTTACAATTTTATAAAATTTTTAACTTATTAAATAGTAATTTTATTAAAAATATAGGTAATTATTAAGAATATTAAAAAGATTATTATTAAAATAATTAAATATTTTATTTTTGTAGTGATATGACTGCTCTGTTGATTTAGTTAAAAACAAAAATCAAAAATAAAAAAAATATTAGCATGATAATTTTATGGTTTTTTTCTTTTTTCTTTCTTCTACCAAAACTTTCTGTTGAATTGAAGGCTTGTTTAAATAATTTATCTTTTTGTTTATCTTCTAAACTCATTTGCAAAAATTTTAATGCGGCAATGTTGAAACCAATTTGATTCTAAAAGTGAAAAAAATTTTCGTGTTTTATTCATTTTCGTGTTAAATTTAAATAAAAATCTTCTTACAGCAGAAAATTCAATAATTGTTGGGACAACTGTCTTTAATTCATCAATAATTGGAAGTAATTCGATTTAATGAACAATTTGGTTGTGATGTATTCTTTTTAATAAAAATAAATTCAAAAAAATATTATTTTTTTAACTTCAAAAACCTTAATAAATAAAAAATAATTCTTTCCATCAATTCCGTTTTGTAAAATTGTTTAATACATTTACACAATTCTGTTAGTAATTCAGGTACATAAAAGAAGGGTAATGACAACAAACATTTTTCAAATGATTCTTCCATTATATGTACTTTCAGTCTAAAACAAAATAAATTTAAACAAAAATATAAAACCACCGATTTAATTGTTTACATACTTTTTATTGTTAGTATGGAAATAAAACAAAAATATTTTTTTAACAATTATTTAAAACTTTTTCCTTCACTTCTAAAAATATTCTTTCATTTTCTTTATTATTTTTAATATATTTTCTATTTGCAACAGCATTTATTTTCAATTACACCTGTACAGCAACACACCCAATTAACAATCTAACAACTCTCCGTCTTGCATAAATACGTTTATAAGTATTTTGGTAATTGTTCGGTTCGTACCCCCCACTCATTTTTCCTTCCTCAAAGTATTAAAAAATGGTCAGTCAATCTTAGGTTATAGAACTCGTTGAGCTGTGTCGGATGACACCAAAATCAACCCCAGGTCTTAATTTTGGGCCGAGATATAGGTCCCTGAAATTTGAAAAAACCATAGGGGGTGTAAGCTCAATTTTTGGGCTTAGAATTCGATTAAACAAATAATAGCTCATTCGAAAGAGCTTGTCGAGCTGATTCGAATGACATCAAAATCAACATAATTGAACAAGATTTGACAACGTTATGATATAAAGTAATCCTATTTTAGTCGTGAGACGCTTTTGCAAAACCTTTCTCTTTGCACAGGCTTTTTGTCTGTATCTCGGCCCAAAGTTAAGACCTGGGGTTGATTTTGGTGTCATCCGACACAGCTCAACGAGTTCTATAACCTAAGATTGACTGACCATTTTTTAATACTTCGAGGAAGAAAAATGAGTGGGGGGTACGAACCGAACAATTACCAGTATTTTTGTCAAGTAGAAACACTTCTTTAGATAAACTTGAAAAAGAGCCGGTTGTTGGATTTTTTAAAGTTAAAAATAATTGAAAATACAACAAAACACAACAAATAGCCGGTGTAAAGAAAAATAAAATAAATTCAGCCCATTTATAAATAATCCAAGAACGGCGACTTGACCAAGGATTTATACAAATTGCTAAAAAAATATTTTTTTTTTGAATTTTTTTCTGAATTTACTTAAATGTTCATTATTATTATTATTTTCTGACAAATTAATAAATAAATTAATTCTTCTATTAAATAATATATTTGGAAGAGAAAATAATAAAACAAAAATCCAAATAATTATAAGTGAATAAATAGCCTTTTTATTTGAACATAATCTGCGAGCTTGAAGAGGATAACAAATTGCAATAAATCTTTTTTTTTAATTAATTAATTTTTAAATAATTAACTAACAAAAAACCTTTCAATACAAACAATTAATTGACTTAAAATTGAAGCAAAAAGGAAAACACATTCAAAATATCTAATTAAAGGGCAACCCCAACGCCAATTTATAAGCCAATGTGGACGACCAATCCAAAGAGTTGGGGCCTATTGTAACGAAGTTAAAGTTAAATTAAATAAATCTGCAAGAGCCTTTAAAAAATAAAATTATTTTAATTAAAAAACAATATTGAAAATATAATAAAAATAAAAAAATATAAAAACAATATAAAAACAAAAAACAATATTTTTTAATAAAAAAATATTTTTAAATTAATAAACTAAATTAATTAGCATTAAATTCATTGCAGATTTACACATTTTTCTATTTCCAATTACAAGTCGATTTTCCGAAAAATTTGGGGGTGTCGAGGTTTTTTGGAACGGACTTTATTTCCAAATAAACCACCAAAAGATAATAAAATAAAGAAAAATAATAAAATTGGGCTTAACCAAGTCGGGAATTTTTCGACAAAAAATAAAGAGGAAGAAGACATTAAAAAGTAAAAATATTTATTTTTATTTTAATAAAAAAACTTCTTTAAATATTTAAATTAATTGAAAAATTAAAGTAATTTAGAAAATTTAAATGAAAAAGAGAAAATGTTTTTATAAAATAAATAAAGCAATTTTTAACAAAATAAAACAAATTTAATTTAAAAAAAATAAGAATATACACTAAATAAATAATAAAAATAATAATTAATTGAAATAACTCACAAACATTAAAAAGTTATTTTTATTTAATTTTCAACAATGTTCAATATTTAATAAAATTAAATTTTTTAAAAAATATTAATAAAATTAATTATTTTTTAATAAAATTAAATTAAATATTTAAATATTTTTAGTGTTAATGGCATTTTATTTTTTTAAATGTCAAGAATTATTAAAAAATAAATAGAAAAATCATTGATGGGTAAAAAAAGAAAGAAATAATTTTGAAAAGAGTAAATTTTTTACAAACTTCGTTAGAATATTTTGAGAGAATATTTAAATTTATAATTTAAATAAATAAAGAGGAGAATTTATATATGTATTTAATAAAAAAAGTACCGAAAATTAAATAATTTTTTTAATTAAAAAAAAATAAAAATTTATAGGAGAAAAGTTAAATTAATAAAAGTTAATTTTAAATAAATATTAATTTAATTTTAAATTGAAAAATGAAAAAAAAATTAATTTAATAAAAACAAACTTTTTAATTAAGACATAAAAAATTTATTTAATAAATATTTTATTTGTTTAGCTAAAAATACAAAAACTACAGGGTGCGGCAAATTTAGCGCCGACTTTATTTTTTGAATAACTTTCTTCAAACTCAATGAAAATTGATAATTCTTTTTTTTATTTGATTTCCAACACTCTAGGAAAATTTTTGATACCAAATATTAGAAATTTGGTTTACAGATAATAAAGATATGCCCGAAATAGTCTATAAATCGCATTAAGAAACATATTTTTATGCCAAAGTTCACTTTACCATAACTTCGTTAAAAGTCATCCAATCTTACTAATTTTCGAAAATTACTAATCTCGACGAGGAGCATCGAAAGTCTATAATTAGATTTTTGAAAATTTCACCTAAAAAAGTCAAATTTAACATCAAGTTCCAAATTTATCATTCAAAGGCCCATATCTCAGCTCAAGAACAAGATAGCAGAAATTTTATCTTAGAAAATTTTTTGGTTAAGTATGAAAATGACAGATGGACGGACACTTTTCCCCTAAATTAAATGAAAAACGAAGATAATTGTTAGTTTAACTAAAGTACTCAAATGTTTTTAATTATTAAAATTCGGCTTTCGATAATACATATAATGAAAAATAAAAAAAGATAAAGACTAAATTATTGAATCTAATTTTTAGATAAATTTTGTTTTACTTTTTTATATTTAAATTTGTTTATTTAATAATTTAAATAAGAACACATCCAAATAATCATAATAAATATTCAAAGAAGAGATTTCCTATATCCGCCAACTTTAATTTAAAAGGATTAACTAAGGGTTAGAAAATAAATATATGTCTAAACTTTATTTATTGATGCGTAATAATAAATTGGATAGAAAAAATGAATAAATACATTTTAAAAATAAGTAGAAACTTGTTGTTATTTAATTGCAATAATTAAATCCTTTAAAAGGAACTAACAATTTTTAAGTAAATTAATTCGAAGAAGACTTTTTTATAAAAATTAAAACAACATCCTTTTATCAAATAACATACATATAAATATTTATTTATTTATTCATTTATCAACCTTCATTAAAAGTTTTTTTTAAATAATATTAAAAATATTTTCAATGTATTCCTCCAGATTTCTCTATTTTTGTACTTAATTATAAAACAATCAAGTATCTCTAATCAAAATAATTCAGGTTATTAATTTAAAATTATTTTTAAAAATCTAACTAATTTTATTTACGTATAATAATAAATATATAAATCTCTAAAATCTGCGGAACAGATTTTTAGACGATGGAAAAGAATTGGTTTCCCTATGGTTGCACCACACTTATATTGTTCCCTCCAGCACCTGTACCTGCACAGGCTGCAGCTAATTTGTAAATATTTAATAAATATTTTTATACTAAAATAATTAATTTATTAAAATTAAATTAAAATTTTTTCTTTTAATTCACATAAAATTTTTAAAAATTCCTTATATAAAAATTCCTTTAAAGTCAACTAGTGCAAGGTCCACAATCGTTCCAAGAACCTCAACCTGTTGGCAACAATTAGTAAGTAATTTATCTTAAATTAATATGTGAAAACAATTATAATTTTAAATATTTTTTGTTTAATTAATAATCAACCAGAGCAGCCACAATATCAAGAATCTAATCAGCAAACTTTCCAAGAACAATCTCAGCAAACCTTCCAAGAACAGCCTCAAGAACAACCACAGCCTCAACAAGACCCACCACCTTCTCCCGAAAACCAAGAACTTCCGGTAATTCTTCGGTTTTCGCCCCCCCCCCTACTTTTTCGTTCCTCAAAGTTTAAAAAATGGTCAGTCAATCTTAAGTTATAGAACATGTCGAGCAGTGTCGAATGACACAAAAATCAAAAAAATCCGACTTGATTGGACCGAAATACAGACCCCTGAAAATTGAAAAACCACAGGGGCGAAAAACCATAAGGACGAAATTTTTACAAATAATAGCTCATTCGAAAGAGCTCGTCGAACTGAGTCGAATGACAACAAAATCGAGGTGATTAAACAAGATTTGACAAAGTTATGACATTAATTATACCTATCAAAGTCGGCAACTTATGTCATAACTTTGTCAAATCTTGTTCAATCACCTCGATTTTGGTGTCATTCGACTCAGGTCGACGAGCTCTTTGGAATGAGCTATCATTTGCACAAACTTTTTTTATTTCAAAAAATCACCCCTGTGGTTTTTCAATTTTCAGGGGTCTGTATTTCGGTCCAAACAAGTCGGATTTTGTTGATTTTGGTGTGATTCGACTCAGCTCGATGTGTACTATAACTTAAGATTGACTGACCATTTTTTAATACTTTGAGGAACGAAAAAGTAGGGGGGGGGGCGAAAACCGAAGAATTACCGAACTTCCTCCCTACCTCAACCCAAGGAACAAGTTATAACTATATACTTACTGTTTAAAATATTAATTCGACAATTTAGAACCTCCAATAAATACAATACCTCCCCCACAAGAAGTTGAATGTTCGAATCATACCGGACCAGTTATGAAAAAGATGTAGCATCTTGTTACCTTTCGAATGCTATGAAAACTTTTCGAATTGGTTGAAAATCAAGAAAGTTATCATCAAATAATGAATCACCCTTTGCTCTGCGATTATTTGGAAGGGTACAGCCCAAGTAGGCGCGCGGCCATGTAGGCGCAAAGCCATAACTTGCTTCAAAATTTCCAAATCTTTCAAAATTTAGTATTAAACGATTCCTCTCATCGAACTAAAGAGAATGGTACCAAAATTATTAAGGTCCAGAAATTTTTCAAGTAGTTGTGGCTTTGCGCCTACCTGGCCGCGCGCCTACTTGGGCGTGTCCCTATTTGGAAGTATTGGGACAAAATGTCATTTTTAAATATTTTTAAACATTTCGCCAATAATTATCGATTATTTGGTCCGCGAATAGATGGGGTTTTTCAAATGTATTATAAAGCGATGGAAATGCTTTTTTTTCTCATTCATTTCTAAGTTTGTGTTGGATTGATTTTGTACATTTAAAATTTAACTAAGAGTTTTAACTGACCTAATTTATTCAAATAGGGTTAAATTTTTTAGTACTTTGCTTGTACTCTTTGTTTATTTATTTAATGATTCTCTTATAAACTTGTATTTAGTAAATACTTATGTATTCTTTCTTAAATGATTAATTTTCAGTAAATAAATCGTTAAACAATAATTAAATTGTTTTTAAATATGGTTAGAATTGTAGCAAAGAATGTTCGAAAGTTACTGTTGACTTCGTTGGCGTCTCGTGGAATCACTTCGTCAATTCAATTGCCTGCTCTTATTAAGCCTAAGTTCACCAAGGTTTTTTTTCTAAGAAATTTTTTTTTAATTTAAAACAAAGTTCAGTTATTCATCAACAATCAATGGCGAAATTCGCAGCTTGGAAGAACCTTTGCTATGTACAATCCTGTGACCAAAACAAAAATTGCTCAAGTCCAGGCGGGTGGGACAGCAGACATTGACTTGGCCGTTAAGGTTGATTATTGCTAGCGTTTAGTATTTAGGCTCGTTAGTTGTGTTTGTGTTGTAGTGGTTGTGTTCTTATATAAGGGTTTATAGGAGTCCGGGTTCGAATCCTGTTGGTAGTCAACTAATTTATTTGGCTATTTTTGAGTTGTTTTAGCTCAAATAGGTTTGTATAAATCTACAGAAGAATGTAGAAAAATTTCCTTAATTCTGAAATGAACTGAAGTTGGGAATTTTGGGGTTCTAGGTTCGAGTCCTGTTGGTGTTTAATGATTTTATTTGACTGCTTTTGAGTTTTTTTAACTCTAATGCGTTCGTTCAAATTTTTCAAAAAAATCTTTTAGGCAGCCTGTGATGCTAATAATTTCGGCTCTGACTGGCGCCGCTTGGATTTTGCTGATCGCGGACATTTACTAAATAAACTGGCTTCCTTAATTGAAAGAGATGCTTTTCAACTGTTTTGTTTGCAAACAATTGACCGCATTTGGGACATTTTAAGTATTATGAAGAAATTTGCCTTCAAACTCCCTCAAATTGACAGTAAAGAAGTTGAGTACGAGTTGGGTCTTCATTTGCCACATCAGGAAGGTGAACAGAAAAATCTCAAAAGAAAACATTTGAAGATGGAGATTGACATTAAATCCACGATGAACATTATCAAGAAGCCACTTACCGAGAAGATTTACGGACTTGGCCCCTTTAATTTTAAGTATATTTGCATGTAATTTAAATTATGTAAAAATATATATTGATTATCTCAAATTGGACCTCTTAATTATTTCTCAAAATTTTTAAAATTGTTTTTGTTTAGGAAGAGTTTGATAAAAATTTTATTTCATCATTTGTGTAGCACTTTTTTCCGAATAGGTTGTTTTTTTTTTTTTTTTTTTTTCTTTATCGAACACAAATAAATAAAATGTGAAACAATAAAATAAAACTCCTGGATCCACATGGATCACTTATGGAGAGGTATCATACAAAAGAAATCAATTACAATAGGAAAATTTTTTAGAAAAAATGTTAATTTAAGAATAAACTAAAAAAAATAAATAAATGGACTCCACAGAAAAAAAAAATATATAAATTAAATTAAATGCATAAATGTCAATGTATTAAAAAATATAGGTATCATAAAAAATATTTGCATAAGAATAAATTTTTTAATGTTAAGTAAATGTTTAAGTAAGAAAGTGAACATTCGTTAGGATTTTTTGTTAATTTTATATTTTCCATTATATTTTCAGTCTAAAACAAAATAAATTTAAACAAAAATATAAAATCACCGATTTAATTGTTTCCATACTTTTTAATGTAGCCAAACCACTTTCAGAATTTTTCGTTTCACCAGGAACCTAAACAATTATTAATTTTTTATTTGGAGAAAACAAACAATGTCCTCCTCTTCTATCATTTTCTTCTCATAATCTTCTTCTCTTTTCCTTTCCTCTTCTTCCTGTAAAACAATTAATTCATCTGTCAACTCCCAAACACGTATAGATTTATCTCTTGAAGCAGAAATCTTTTAAGAATTTTTAATTAATTTAAATAAATAAAAATAATTTACCAATATTTTACTATCAAAATTTTGAGCAATTGCATCAATTTGATCAGTATGGGCATTTAAAGTTTGAATATGATTAAAAGTTAAAGCATCCCATTGCTTAAATTATTTATTTTTAATTTCAAAAAATAAAAACCTTCAATTTTCCATCACTTCCAGCAGACCAAAATAATTTTTCATCATCAGCCATATTAATACAAGATTGAACACAAGTCACGCTAAAAACAAAAAAATAATGTGAATTATCCAAAACATACTTTCCATCATGAGCAAACAAAGAACGATGACAATCTCCAAAATCAAGTCCCCAAATTCGCACAGACTTATCTCCAGAACCAGTAATTATTAATTTGTTATCCTTAAATAAAAAAATAAATCTAATTTAAATAATAATTAAATCTTTAAAAAATTACATGTGAAATATCAATACAATAAATGGGCAATGAATGCCCATATAACGATACAAAATATTTAAGGCTGTCCATAAAGAAAACTCTTGAAGTATTGTCTAAAAGGCCAAATGCAATAAATTTGCCATTTGGGGAAATTGCAGCGCATAAAGGTTCATCTTGAAGTTCTAGTACACGCTTGGATCGAATTGATAAATAATCACTGAAAATTAAAAGAAAATAATAGGAATCACTAAAAATTGGTAAGAAAAAAGATTTGAAAAATAAAAAGGTAAAATTCAAAATAATATTGGTTTACCGATCAGAAGAATCTTTTGCTCTTTCAAAACACCAAAATCTTGCTTTTTTATCCTGACCAAATGAAACAAATCCATCCTAAAATTAAAAAAACATTTTAAAATTAATTCAAAGAAACCTTATTTGGAAATGCACAAAGTCCAGTAATAGAATCATGAACAGAATCACTTTTTTCAATTAATTCACAAGTTTTTAAATTAAATAAGAACAACGATCCAGTCTAAAAACAATTAAAAAGAATTTTTTTATTGATTTTCCTACTCTAGTTCCCAAAATTAATTGTGTATCATTAGCAAAAAGCAGAGCAGCAGAAATCTGTTGAAGACCATCAGCAATCAATTTATTTAAAGATACCAATTCTTGTAAATCCCAAACTATTGCAGATTCATTTGATCCAGTTACAATTATATCAGATTTTGAAGAAATTGCAAGAGCACGAATATCCGTTCTATGAACACGCTAAAAAAGAAATTTAAATAATTATTTTTTATGTCAAAAATAAACCTGTCCCAAACTAGTTAGAAGAAAAGACTCTGTAGCACTGTTTTTCCAATCAACACGAATAGAAACACCCAAAACATTATTAGATTTAAGTAGACAATAAAACTTAAAAAAATGTTTAAAAATAAACTTTTCTTCATTGTTACTCTATATTCTCTTGTTCGTCCATTAGGCAAAACAGTAAAAGAATCACAAATATCAATCCATTTAACTTTTGAATCAGCTCTGTAATCCCCTATTCTAGCAATAATTGTTGTAATATCTTTGCGCACTTCATTTTCCAATTTTAACATTTGAGTAGATAAATCGTCTTTATTTTCTCTATTAAATTAAAATTTAATCTAATAATTATTTATTTAAAAACATACTCATTTTCTTGAATTTCCAAGCGTTGGCGGAGTTTTCTTAATTTTCTTCTAAATCGTTTACTACTTTCCTCTTCCGTAAAATTTCTTAAAATATTCTTAAAATAATTAAACAAACAAAAAAACCTGTAAATATCAACCAAAGAATCAGCACCTACACAACATAAAATAGCCTCATCACTAGAGACACTTAATTGAAGAGCACGGCCTTTAGCTTGTCGTAAGAGTGAACCGCGTTTTTTGCACTGTAAAACTTTCTGAAATTTAAAAAAACTTTCTGAAATAAACACTTGATTTAAAACCAAATATTTTTGGCAAAAACGTAAAAATCCTTTTTAACACATAGAAATAATTGAAATAAAAAAATGTTTCAAATACTTACATTTGCTTGATCCTTTAGTACATTTGCTTGATCCTTTAGTAATTCATTATCATTATTGTTAACATCTTCTGAACATATTCTTTTTACATTCAAATCATCTAATATTTCCTCATCATCATTCTCTTCTTTAATTTCTTTATTCCATTTAAGTTCAAATACAGATAATTCAATTTCAGAATTTGCAACAACTAGTAAATTCTCCTTATTTAGAAAAGCAAATGAATATATTTCTGATTGACTTTCAGCAAGTAAATAAAAACAACATTTGTTTAGAAGACTCCAAAAGCGAATCTGCGTATCTTTAGAACTAAAAAAATTTTTAAATTAAATTTTAAAATTTAATACAAAATAAGTGTTCAAAGAATATAAATCTAAAGTTAAAAAAATTTTATAATTAAAACCTCGAAACCAGATATAATTCATTCTGTACAAAACGCAGGTGAGTTATTGTTCCTTTGTGGCCAAATAAACTGCAAATACCAGATTCATTTAACACATCCCATAGAGCAATAACCGAATCCTAGCAATTCCTAAGGATATTTAAAAATAACCTTTATCTCCAAACCTTTCCTCCACTAGCCAAGATAAAACCATCGTCACTAAAAGCCAAACAATTTACTCCTGTTTTGTGTCCATTAAAAACAATCGGGGGACCTTAAAAATAGATTAAAAAATGAAAACAAAAATTTATACTTTCATCCTCAATTTTATGTAAATGTATAGAACCATTATCATACCCAACAGCAATTTTCGATTTATCCTTCGTCAATGCAAAAGAAGTAACGATTCTTCCTTCAAAACGAATTTGTTTTGTCTTAAAATCAAAATTATTTTTACATATAAAATCCTTAAAAACCTTTGCCAATGTTCGCATATTGTAAAAAGAAACATTTTCAGCTGCAGCAACAGCACAAGTAACACTATCAACAAATTGAACCATTCCATTAGGAGAAGCGAGTAAATTAAAAAAGCCCGATTGTTGAAATTTTAAGAAGTCTTTAGTTAATCCCATGATTCCCTTGGCTTGAGAATTGACAGTAAATAATTTTGAACAGGGAAAAAATAAAAAATAATTAAACGGCAAAGCTTAAGCCGCTTCGCCAACTACTAATTCTAATTACAAAAATTTTTATAAATTATTGAAATTTATTCATATAAATATTATGAAAATATAAAAGAAAGTATAACTTGTGTATTATTGGCACGCAAATAGAATGTTCGCTACACATGAATTTTGGATTTCGGCTTTTAAGTAGTTCACTTATAATTTAATATTTTTAATTCGGTCTGAAATAAACCTAATTATGAGCCTTCAATTAATTAAACATTTGAGGTAATAGCTAAAATGTTATAGCTAAAATGCGTGCCGATAAATTAAGTACTAGTATCAATTAATGTTAGTTGTCTGCAAATATTAAATCAAAATGTTTAATTAACGTGTAGCAAAATTTATTTAAATTGTTCAACTGAGACATTGGAACCTAAAAAATATTTAAAAATAATTTTTTATAAATCAAAAATCTTTCACTTGTTGATCTGTTGGCCATGTCAAATTTGGTCCAAAAACAACACTTAAATTGTTTGCATTCATCAAATTCTCTTCAGAATGCGCCTCAATTTGTTTTAAAAATTCTATTATGCGTTTAAGTAGTAAAAGATTTTCGGGTGGCAATCGTTGAAGTAAATCACGTGTAGCATCAATATATGCAGGTTTTTCGATGGCAGCTAAAGTAATTTTAAAATTTAGAAATAAAATATTACTAATTTTTATATTTATTAAAATATTATAGAAAATTAATGGAAAATTCATTTATGGGGACAACCGCGTCATAAACAAAAATAATTGTTATCAAACTTTTTTCAAAAATAATTTTATAAAAAAATATTCAAACCAGCAAGAAGAGTCAATTCGGGATATAATTTATTTGTAATTAGCGGCTCTCCAAGAGAACGAAGAAAAGTTTTTAAAAGAACAGATGCCAATAAAATACTATTCTCCAAATCACCATTAAATTCTGGATCTCTAAGAAAATCAATCTTTTCTCCTAAAAAATTAAGATTCGTCAAGTATATCCTATTTTCAACATTTCTACCTAAATTAATTCTCTGTTGTAATGCTTTAAGTGTTGTAACATTAGCAGAACGACGAAAGATCCCTTTAGTTTGAAGTCCATGTTCAAGTAAAAAGTCCATCAAATCAGACGCGATTGGAGGAATATCACAATTTGGATTATGGTCCATAATACTATAAAATTAATAATTTTAAATAAATTTTTTTAAATATTTATGTGAGTAAACTTGACAATAAAAATTTGGAGGCGGTTAATTTAAAGAATTTATAACCAGTCCAAACATTTATAAGCATTTAGAAATTACTATATGTTTTAATTTAAAAGTATTTATTTTTCGACTTTAAATTAAAAAAAAAAGATTTCAAAAATAAATTCTTTGAATAAAAATAACTAAAAATTGAAAATAATACTTACAATTTCAAAGATACATTAAATTGTTGTGTTGGTCTAGGTGGTTGTTTCTCTACATTATTCTCAAAACTAGAAATAAAAGAAGATTTTGGAGATGATGAAGAAATTGAAAGATCAAAACTAAATTAAAAAAAATAAAAGAATTCAAGAAATATAAAAGAAATACTCAATAATCGGCTGTGGGAGATTTAAATTTGTTGTAGAAACAAAATCAGTCAATTCATTTAAGGAATTTACATAATGTAATTTCTTTTCAAATTTAAATGAAATTATTGGTTGAAATATACGCCAAACGAAACGAATAAATTTTGTTGGATGAACCAAATAGAGAGCTTTGAGATTTTTCTTGTATCTAAAAAATAATTTTAATTAAAATTTTGTTTAAACCTCCGATCCAAAAGTTGATAAACATTAAATAACCATTTATATGGTGGCTTATTATTAGAACGTAAACCATAATGAAAATAAATAACTGTGTAGTCCTGGTCGACAATTTTGTCTAAAGTAAACTGAACAAATCTGAAAAAAGAGAAAACAAAAATTTCAAAAGAAAAAATCAAAAAAACCTTAAAAACTTCAAATGATCAAATGTTTTGTTTGATGGAAGTCTATATGCATAAAATACAACAACCGGTCTAAAATTAATTATTTAAAAACATTTTTAAGTTTAACTAAAACCTGGCAGAAAAATCGCCTTCACCAAAAACATCAATAATTTCATTACTCGCCATATCAGTAAAATTTTCTCCAAAAGGATCCTCATTGACTCCACTTGGACCCAATTCATTTTCAAAATTGTCCCGTTCAAGAAACGATTTTTGTTGAGCAAATAATTGCTGTTTGAATTCTGTTGCAACAGCTAAAAAATATTAAAATAGTATATCATTTCCTAAAGATTTAAAGAATGAGAATTTTGTGTAAAAAGAGAAGGGAAAACAAAAACTTTATAACTGAATTGCTTGTTAACAAAATTCGAGTTTCCATTTCCAATATTTCTATATCTCATGCAATTTTACTCATAAACTAACAAAAGCTCATCTAAAACAAAAATTTAATTTAGCCCCAAGCAATAATTTAGTAATAGTCGCGCCTATCTTCGAACTACTTTTAACATAAAAAAAGTTTAACTGTTTATATCAGCGTCAGAAGTTACCAAATCATCATCAGCAAAACAATCGTCAACAATAAAATCATTACCAGTAGTTGTAGAATTCTGCATATTATACTGATAATATTTTTAAATTTATTAAAGTTATCGTCAAATTAAGAAAATATAGTCAAGAGCTAAACAAACTAAAAACTAAAATATATAAGCATTAAAAAATAAAAATTTATTGAGTATACATTTAAATTATTGAGATTAAAAGGTAAATGCCCAGCAGGGTGATAACCAATCATTTGATAACCCGAGGGAAAGTAAGGGGAAAAGGTAAAGAATGCCTTTTGGAGAATGCCTTTGCAAAAATAAGTGCAAGCTGGACATTTACCGGAATTAATTTATTGAGAGTCTGGGAAATTAAATTAATTAATGTAATAATTTTAAAATGCATTTCAAATATCAAGAAATATTCTTTTTTGATTGAAAATTTTCATCAATAGGATTTGCTTCATTTTTTCGATTGAAAAGAAAAACTTGTTCACGCAGTAAACATTCAATTTTATTTGGCTCATCATAATTAGTGACTAGTCCATGATTATTTTTGTTCAAAACACAAGCTTCAGAAGCCTAAAATTATTCTATTATGAAAGGGCCTACAAAGGGCTTCTAAACATAAATTTTAATTTGAGAAAATAAAAAATTTAAGTTAAAGCCTTACCCGTTTATATTCAGAAACTTCTCGCTTTAATTTAATATACAAATCATGATATGTTTGCAACTCTGCAACTTGCTTTGCTCTTTTTCCAGCCAAATCATTCAAATGTAAAATTTTTTCGTCCCTTTCAGCTAAACTAACTTTTAATTTCCTTTTAGCCTCCTCCACCCGTTCTAGGTTTTGATTAAGGGAAAAAATGTACTCATCACGCTCATACTCCTAAAATTAAAAATTTTGGATAAATACAAAACATGCATATACCTTCAACTCAGCATCCTCCAATTTGAATTTACGGTCTTGTTCGAGTGATGAGTAAGCTTCAGAGAGCTTGGCCTGCAAAGCTGAAAATTCACTACTCCATTTCTTCTCGGAGGCAAGAAGTAACTTTAAAATTAGCACGAATTTTAGTGTTAAAATTAATTACGGCGATATCTATTTACAAACTCAAGCGATTTATTCAATGTTTGTAGAGGTTGTCGAAAATAAAAAAACCTTTCGTGATTGTTCATGCATTTGTAATTCATCATTTCCCCTTCTCAAAGCTTTCTCGTATTCATTTTGTAAATGTTTCAACTGATCAACCAATAAATCGACTTTCTGAAGAGCCTCATCCCGTTGGAACATAATTTCACCCATAGTTGCTTCATTTTTAGCATTTCTGTTCTTTTCAGCTATTAAACTTTTCGAAAATTGAGCATTTTCAGCATCTAACTGCAATACTTTATCCTCTAGAAAGGCAACACGTTCAGACTGTGGTAAGAGACGTGAAATACAACCTTGGAGACTGAAATAGAAATTAAATAAAAAAAACTTGATATATAATAAACCGTTCATTTTCTCCTTTAACCTCATTAAGTTCCTTGCTTTGCAAACTATATAAATCATCAAGTTGATCCTTTTCTCTTCCAAGAGAGATTGCAAATTCTTTTAACCGTTTTACTTCTTGTCTTAGAGCATAAATACGAGAAACATCCTCTCCACGTGGAGAACCAAGAACTTTGTTGACCGGGGATTCTTCCAAATTTGAAAGGCATGGGCGTCGTCGTTCAACAGGAAGAGTTTTCCAAGAACGTGAAATGTTTACATCACTAACCGTTCGCAAAGGAGTGTTGAAACCAGCTGGATTTGTGTTCTCTTTGTCATTAAGTGAAGGCAAAAGTTCATGAAAAGGAATGACAGAGAAATGTCCAAAGCTATCCAATTTTTCTATCTAAAAAATTTAATTAAAAAAAGTAAATACAAATAACCATCCAAGCAATTTGTACGTTATCATTTTCATCAAGTCGCGTACAAAGCCCCAAAAACTTTTCATCATGTTTTATCCGAAGAACATAAATCAAAGCCAACAAAAAACACTCAATTGCATGTTGATCACCTTTATCAGCCAAATCAGGATCAAGACATTCAACAAAGCTATCGCCCATCTCATCTCTGATAAAGTCTACAGCGCTACGAAAATCAACATCATTAGCAATGAACCGAAGATCACCAGAATTGCTTAAATGAAGTTTAAATAAAAATTTTAAAAAATAAATAAACTTGAATTTGATGAGTATCGGAATTAAAATTTTGGCTTCAGCAATCGATGTCACCTCCTCAATTTGTAGATCTTCAGTAATAATGTTAAGCTGAAAAAGATAAATACTTTTAAAAGAGACCTGCAAAAATTACGAGAGATAAGAGAGCTTTTCTTCGTCCACTTTGCATTGAAGAAATCAACAAATAAAATCAATTACGAAATCTGAAAATCTAAATAAGACAATGAAAAATTCAAATCCAAAATCAAATATTGCTTTTCGATGAATTGGCGATTTAAATGAGAGTTAAGATTATGAAGTTACCAAATTGAAATATATTTAAAGCTATAATTACTTTTCGTCAATTAATATTTAGCCAAAGACATTTAGTTCAGTAAACATTTGTCAGTATTTTAGATAATTTTTTGGTGTTTCTTAAATTATTTTCTGATTTTTTAGATTATGCTATCTTTTTTTAATAGAACAGATTCAAAATTGTCTATATTTTTATTAATTATTTTGATAATTTTATTAGTTTTACAATTGTCTTACACTAAAAAAGATGTTCGAGATTATACAGAAGCAGAATTGGATAAACTCTACGAACAATGGGCAGAAAATGATTCAGAAAACGATGCTGAACAAGAAAATAACCCAAAAACAGTTCCTCCTATTGATTTAAATTTGTTACGGGAAAATGTATTTTTTATTAAAAAAAATTTTTTTTAATAATTAAAAAGGCTAATTCCCCAGATGATTTACTTAAAATGACAAAGAAGGGACAATCTGTTATGATGTTTGTTTCTGTTGCAAATCCTGTTGATAATTCAAAATCAACAAAAGAATTAACTGAAAAAATTTCTGCACAATGGCAACAATCTTTTTTTAATAATCATATTGATGCACAGGTTTTTGATTTACAAATTATAAAAAAAGTTTTACAACTTAGAATTATGTTGTGGATGATGACAGAATTTTATTTCTTTTTAAAGGTTTGTTGGCCTAAAATAAATATTTCTAATTATAATTAAAAAATTTTAGAAGGCCAGCAAGCTTGGGATGCTCGTGATTTTCTTATCAGACAACCCGAATGCAAGGAAATTCAACTTGAAGGTAGAACAATTCCCGGGCCTGCCTCTTCTGTTTATGATGCCAAAATAAACAATCCTGATGAATTGTGAATTTTTTTTTAAAATAAGTGTACTTATTTTGTTTTGCTTAAATTTATATTTTTAATTTAATAAATCTCATTGTTTTCAATTTAAATTAATTTTAGCTAACAAAAAGTTTTATTTTATTAGCTTATATATTTCAACTTTAATTCTGTAAAAAATAGTTTTTTCATTAATTTTTTAAAAAGAATTTTCAGAAAATGAGAGTTGAGAAAACAAAAACTCGCCGTGGAAAAAATTTTCTTGAAGATAGAGCGCCAAAATTAATAGAAAATGACAAAACAGCAATAATTATGAGAGGAAATAAAATGTCAGAAATTGTTGGGAAAGTATTAAATGAACTGTATTTATTAAAGAAACCTTTAGCCACAAAATTAATGAGGTTAGTTTTTTATAAATTTATTTAAAAAAATAAAATTTAAAGGAAAAGAGAAATCCATCCATTTGATGACGATTCTTTGTTGTGCAATTTCTCTAAAAAATTTGACAGTTCTCTTTTTGTTTTTGGGTCAAGTTCGGTGAGTAAATTTTTTTTGATATTGTTAGCCAAATTGTTTTTGTCTCTAACATACAGTATTTTGTTTTATTTTTACGTCCTATAATTTTTTTAATAACCATAACAACATGTGAAATATTTAATTTTAAAACAATTTTAGAAAAAACGTCCAAATACACTGACATTTGGCCGGTTTTTTGATTACCAAATGCTTGATATGGTTGAATTACAAATAGAAAAATTTGTTTCTTCAGAGGAATTTAAGGTTTTAATTTTCAAATAAATACAAAAAGTTATAGAAATTTGGAAGAAAGAGAAAATCCAATTGAATAAAATTTAAATATTTAGGATTTACAAAAGAAAACCATTTGCAATTAACCTTTTTAATTCTATTTTTTATTTAAAAATTTAAGGCTGCAGGGGTTACAGCAGGCACAAAACCTTGTATTATACTACAAGGTTCTTTGTTTGAATCAGACCCGACACTTCAACGTCTTGGCAATTTAATGGTAGATTGGTTTCGCGGTCCTGTTGTAGAAACTGTTAGGCTTCAAGGACTTGAACTAATTATTTCTTTGACTGCTTTGGATGAAAAGAAAATTCTTCTTCGTTTTTATAAGTTTGTTAATTGAATTTAAAAAAAATTTTTAAATTAATTTTTTAAAGAACATTACTAAAACGATCACCAAACTCTGAAAATCCAAAAGTAGAATTAATTGAATTGGGCCCACAAATTGATTTTAAATTGGATAGAAGTAAGTTGGCTAGTGATGATCTCTTTTCTACTGCTCTTAAAAAGCCAAAACAAGAATCTAATGTTTGTTTTTTTAATTAAAAAAATAAATTGGTGAAAAAAATTTAAAAATTTGACATTACTGGGGGAACTAAAAAATTACTCTACTCCCTCATACTTTATAAAAAAATTTTTTAAAGAAGCCAAAAGACAAAAATACAAAATTCGATGCTTTTGGAAATAAAGTGGCAAAAGTACATACAGGCAGACAACGATTGGATGAAATACAAACAAGAAAGGTTAAAGCTCTTAAAAGAAATCGGTCAAAGAGTGAAAATATGGAAGTTGATGACTAAAATTGTTTTTTAAAAATATTTGTTGAGGTTTATATAAAATTTTTGTTTTCATTATAAAAGATTTGGAAATAGAGATTAGGGTGACTGATACTTATACATATACGATACGTCCCTTAGGACACGTATATATTTCTTTAAAAATTCTGCCTGGGTTTTTAAACTCTAAAATTAATGGAAATACAAAATTTTGTTAAATAAATTTATTTAGACGGAAACAAAACAAAACTGTTTTAAATACAATTAAGATTAAAAAAATAATTTAAGCTTTTTTAACCAGTTTCTTTATTCTTTAATATTTCCGAATATTTAGGTAATAATTTCTTTAAAAATTCTGCCTGGGTTTTTAAACTCTAAAATTAATTTTTAAAAATATATTTTTAAACAAAAAATACATTTGTTGATTGTTCAGCATTTTTTCTTTGTCCAAATTCAAAGCAAAGACAAGTATTTTCTTTTAATTCTTCATTTGTCATTAATTCACAACGAGGGCCTATTCGACAATTATTTGTTATCTTTAATTGAGCTATTTAAATTTTAAAATTAAATCTAAAAAAATACTTTAATATCTGGTCCGATTCTACTTTGAATGCCAAAAACATTATTGTTGCCAATTTCTTGTGCATAACAAACTAAATTTAAAACATTAAAAAAATTTTTTTAATAGCCTGCTAAACTATATTAGCGAATAAGGGAAAATTTAAGGGGTTGTCTACATAAAGATTTGGAATTAAACATATGTGTGAAAATTTTAGTCAAATAATATTTTTATAATAAGTTGGGATTTTACTAGTCTGTAAAATAGACAATCTGTAAAATATTAAGACAATCGACGTACACATCTCGCAAAAGAAATGTTAGATTTTCAAAAATTCCAACAATATTTCTCTACTATAAAAGTCATTAGATTCACTTTAACCCTCAAAACTATCAACAATTTCACATCACTCCGTAGCTTCAAAACAAAAGGTAGATGCGTCAAATTTCTTCTATGGCATCAGCGGTTGTCGTCTTCGCCTTGTTCCAGCTTCTCGTATATTTTGGCAATGTTGGTGCAAAATCGGGCACAGTTGGACTTGGAGATCATACGCTGAAGGATGATGGCAAAGTTGAGCTCCATGAACAAGCCAAAGTAGCCGATTATAACTCCCTTGAGGCCTACAGAGCAACGTTTGGAGACAAAGCCTGCAATCTCAACTTTGACGGTGTCGGGAATATGTAAGTTTAAAATATTTTTCTTAATTTCCTAATCCATTTCTCTATACTTTTAGCGCTCTTTCCTATGAGAAGGACAAGCGTTGCACTGTAGATCTGCTCACCAATCAAGAGGAAGTTTTTAGCTTTGTTGCGGGACTGAAAGGGAGTACAGACGAACTTTATAAATGCTTGAAGGCATATAACAGTTCGACTATCATCAACAAGTAAGGGCTTTTAAAGCCTAAAAATAGGTATATTTTAATATTTTCTTTTTCAGTTTGCCGTTCATGTACCGTTTGACTCAGGCCGAATTTGATAAATTAGAAACGGGTAAACACAAGGACCAGACGAAATGTGGTGGTGATGGTGATTGTACAGACACGAGATGCAAACAGTCTGAGATTGTTTGGTGGAGGGATGAAAAAAATGTTCTGGCAAACGTCAGCCGAGCGGGTGTGTTTTTTATAAAAATTTGTTTTTTAAAATAATTTTTGAATCTATTTGTAGTTGGTAGTCTCTCTGCGTCACACAGTGAAATAATGATAAATGGAGAAGAATTGACATTCACTGTAACTGTCAAAGATCAGACAGAATGTCAGAATGAGCCAAACAATTGGGAAATTACTGGCAAGAATCCGAAACCTGAAATGAAGTATTTGTTGGTATTTCATTTGTTGCCTCAAAGCAGTGGAAGGATAATCGGCCAGGCGGAGGAGGATTCGGACTGCAATTTGGAGTTGGAAATTACTTTCGTAAGTTTAAATTCTTTTTTGAATGTCCCTTTCTAATATTTTTCTTTCATTTTTAGAATAGTAGTGACTACACATTGCTAATGAAAGGAGGAGAAGAAGCACCAATACCAACTACACCTCCACCGCCAAGTCAACCACCACCAACAAAGCCAACCGTCAAAGTAACCACAAAAGAAGTTAAGAACATAACGACAACAAAAGCACCGGAAAAGAAGAAAGGTGGCTCAGGTGGAACAGCGATTCTAATCGTTGGGGTTCTACTTGTTTTGCTGGTTATTGGTGGGGTTATTGGATACTTCTGTGTCTACAAAAAGATGTACGCTAAAGAAGCTGAAGAAGGAAAAGAAGATAAAGAAAAAGGAGGAGAGAAGAAAGAAGGTGAAGGAGGAGAAGCGAAAAAAGACGGAACAGCAACACCACCATCAGCTGTGCCTGAAATTGGATTGAAAACAGAAATTGGAAAGGATGATGGAAAAGGGAAGGATAAAGAAAAGAAGGAAGAAGGAGACGACGACGACGACAAAGAAGAAAAGAAGGATGAAGAAAAAGAAGACGAGGAAAAGGATGGAGAAGATAAGGGAGTAAAATCTGAGGGGGGATCACAAATGTCAAAGAATGAATCTGTGGAATTGGCAGATAAAGGAAAGAAGGATGCCGCCGATCCATATGCTGAATAGAAAGAATAAAAGGGGAGAAAACAAAAATGAAAAAAGGAAAGAAGTAAAAACGGAATAAATAAATAATTGATAGATAAATAAATATATTTTGTATAAACATTTCTCTCTACCTAATTATTAATTGTTGTTTCCTATATAGGCATGTTGTTTGTTGTTGTAATTATTGTGTTTATGTTTGTAAAAAAATAAAAATATTTTTGCCTACTTTTAAATTTTCAGTCTTCCCCTTTATCCAAAGAATCTAGGAGGGAGAAGGAAAAGGGGAGAGAAGGAGAGTAATAGAAGTTCGAAAAAAGTCAAAATTTGGAAAAAGAAAAAAACAAACCCGAGCCAATTTCAAATAAATTCTCATCACCAATTTTCATTAAATTTCCAGGTGGTCCTCTAAAATATTTAAGAAAAATAATTTTAGAAAATAAAATACAAATTTTGAATTATTGCAGTTTCTTCAACTATATTGTTTGAACCAAAAATAATTTTGCCTTCACCTGCATCTATAAGCGCCTAAAATAATAAAATATTTAGTTTTTAATTTTGGAAATCTTTTTAAAAAGAAAATTTTGTTTCTAGAAAGACCCACTTAGCTTTGAATTTAAGAGGAGAGGTGATTTAGACACAAAATTTGTATAATTTCAAAAACCTGTGGGTGTATAACAGTCCCAGCCCCAATAACAATATTTCCACCACGTAAAATAGCTTTAGCTACAACAACAGCTTCTGGATTTATTTCTACTTTTGGTTTATTTAATTGTTGAAGTGAATCATCAGCCATAATTTATTTAAATATTTAAAGAGAAAAATGTCAATTATTTTTAAAAAATATTTTAAAGGTAAAACAATTATAAATAAATTATTAAAAAATATTTTTATAAATTTATTAACATATTCACAAATTATAAATAAAATTTTCATTTATTTTCAAAAAATTTAATTCCCGCTTTAAAAAATAATTCTCCATTTTCATAAAATTTATTTATTTTCTCTAAAGTTTCAATCTTTTTCTTTGTTAATTCTAATTTAGCTTCTAATAAAGATTCTTGTAAATCCAACAAATTATTATCGGCTTCCTCAGAATCGTTTAATTTTAATTTTTTTGAAGTATCAGAATTTAATAAATTATTCGGCTAAAAAATATAATTAAAATTTTAAAAAAATTTTAATTTTAAATTTACTCGTTTTCTAGAAGTTAAAGATTGATTTGAATTTTCATTTAAATCAATTTGCGCAGTTGAGCTAGTAAAAGGTTATTTTTAATAAATTGAATAGTAAAATAAATATGCAACAATTTAATTTTAAAAAATTTAAATATTCTATTTACCAATTTTCTGGAGAAATACAAAAATTATTTTGGTTATTATTAAATTCCAAAGTGTCATCATTAATATTTGAAATTACTGCAGGTAATCCACAAAGAAAATTTTCAAGCATTCCATTAATTATTGGAGGTGATTTGCTAGAGGCTGTACTTGTTTCATCACTAAAATTATTTAATTTTATTTTTTTTATCATTTCCCTCATAAAATCTTCATACTTTTCTTTCTTCACATTTTGTTCATCATAACAAACTTTCGAAATTTGGTCTCTTGAAATTTTTTTGAGATATTTAAAGCATTCTTTAATTTGTTTAGTCGACACAATATTGTCGGGAAATTCATTATTCATAGCGGTAGTTACACGTTCCCAAGCAGCCGTTACACGTTTATTTGCTTCTACAGAACGTGTTGTTGGATGTATATCATCATAATTTTCATTAATTAATTCCAAAATTCGAAATTTCATAATTTTTGTAAATAACATTTTATTTTTTTGGAAAGTTTTCTTTTAGTAATTTCTATTTTCTTTTAATGAAAATAACAAAAGGCATCCAAAAACCTCCTCTCATTGATTATGTTTGTGCTATAGTATTTCCCACACACTGCATTTTTTCCCTCCCCGGGGAAAATCGATGGGGATTCGTGAGAAGAAAAAGGAATGTTTTAAAAAATTTATAAAAACGTTACAAAACGTCAGAGTATCAAAATGTTAAAAATACGTAGTTTTTTGATTGAAATAAATTTAATTATAAGTACTATAGTTAACAAAAATCAAAAATACTTATTCTAATTTTATTTTTTCTTGGGAAAGTTCGAAGAAGGGAGAAATTGTAATAGAAGGAATTGTTGATCATTTTAAATTTTATAAAATTCACCTAAACTTAAAAGTATCCCAAATTACGTAAAAAATCCCCTTTATTTTTACTAAATTTAAACTGGAACAATCAAAGAATTATAAAAAAATTTTTTCTTACATACAAAGACATCATAAGCATATATTTTTATATACAAGCAAACACACATTTAATCATTTTGTTTCATTTTTTGTTCCAAAAAATTAACTAACAAATTCCTGTCTACTGTTAACAAAATATGTTCATCTTTATTAAATTGAATAATTGAATGGTCTCTAAATTCAATTAATTGTTGACGAAGAACAGTTTCTGATGTTGTAGCAAATTCCTCTCTGAAAAATTAATTTTAACAAAAAAAATTTTTATAAAAATTAAACTTTAAAATTCGACAAAATTTTGGAATATTTAGAGAATCCCATTTAAAACGTTCGGAATACATTGGTGCATGAATTGCTAGTTGTTCAAGTATTTTTCTCATATTTGTTGTTGTTGCTTGCCAAAAAACATCCAAAGATTCTATTGTGTGTGCACGTCCACTAACTCCTTTTACACGATGATCTAAAATATTTCCATTTGAAGAAAATACTTCATTTCCATAACAATTTAATGTAGAGACTGGGAAATATAACCAATTAAAGGCATCACGGAGAGACTTTAAAAAAGAAGAAAATTTGGAATTTTATTTAAATTTTAATGAATACATATAAAAGCTAAATTATAATATCAATATTTAAATATTAACATTTAGGTTAATGAAATTATACGGGATTATTAGATCGTGGATTGGAGTTTAGATTAGGGAAAACCAAAAAACCAAAATTTAGGGAAAACCAAAACAAAATCATCGCTACTCCCAAAAATATAACAAACCAATATTTAAGCTTATGCTCCCTAAATAAATAAAATGTTGTCAACTATCGATATACAGAACCGCCCCGAGCCTTATTTAATCAAAAATTAAAAACCTGATCCCACAAAAGAGCTGCATTCACATGATCAACACTAGCAATTAAACGAATCCTCTTTGACCTAACAAGAATAGAAAGAGCTTCTTGTTGTTGTCTTGATCGAAGTTGGGGTGAATCAATATGATTAATTAAAATAAAAATAAACTCTTCTTTTGTTTTGTCAATTAATTCTAAAAATTTTAAAATAATTTAAAAAAATTAAAAAAACCTTTTGCCCAATCATTTATTTTTGTTTTAAATTTTACACGTGAGTTCAGTCCCAAATTAATTTCAATTTGTTCAAAAATTGTAGAAACTGACATTCCAGGAAATAAACCATCAACAACAAAGCAATGATAGGAAGACAAAAATTCTTGAAAATTTTCAAATAATTTTCGTTTAGATCCCAATCCATGTACCTAAAAAGCTTTTTCTAAATTAAAAAGTTTTTCAAAAAATACCAAAATATTAAATTCTCCACTAAAAAGTAAATTAAACCATTCTTGAAAAAGATTTAATTCCTTTTCTTTTAAAATTAAATTTTTAGGTAAATAGTCATCCAATTCCTAAAGAAAAATAAAAAGTAAGAAAATATAAACAAAAATCATCAAGCAAAAAAGAAATCAAAAATTTACATTAAAGCAATGCCTAATTGCAGAAATGTTACAATCAAGAGGTCCTTTTCCTCCAATCTTTTGGACTTCGAGTTTTCTGGTTGAAGATTCCATTTTTTGTTCATCCATCAAAATATCTTCTTTTTCTTCCTCTTCTTGTTCAGAATCGACTACTCCAAAGTTTAATTTTCTTAAAATCAGAATAAAATAAAAATTAAAAGCCAAAAAAACCTTTGTGCTCTCCCAGCTACTCGACTTGGTGATTTTCTTTTAGGACTAAAATAATGGGTCAAAGCTGCGTCTAAAACATTCATTTGATATACCAAACGAGAAGGTGAAGGCGTTTGGGGTGTTTGTTGCTGTCCGTTCCTTTCATCTTCTCTTCTCGGATTTTTTGGCGGCTAAGTTTATTCAAATTTGTTCGGAAAATTTATTAAAATTAAAACCGTTGTTTGCATTGACTCATCCATTTCAAGTTCCATCCCGGCGCATCCACGTTTTAACATTTTTTGTAATTTTTCAAAAAGATTTATAAAACTTTTGTCGAACTAAACAATAAAAGTGAATTTTTATAAAAAAAAATCTTTAAAAAATCAAAATAAATTTTCATTTAAAATTAAATTCTGAAAAAAAGAAAAATAGACATAATGCCAGTTTTTTAATTTTTTAAATAAAATTTTTTAGATCAATCAATTTTCCAAAATTCTATTGGGCTCCGGTACAAAATATGGAATCGTTAAAATATGGAATGGTTAAAATCGCGAATAGGCTAAAAAGGGGTTAAAATACCGAATCGTTAAAATATGGAAAGGTCAAAATATCGAATCGGGTAAAAAAGGGTTAAAATATGGAATCGTTAAAATATGGAAAGGTTAAAATGTCGACACGGTCAAAATGGGTCGAATGTCGAATTCTCTTTTCTGCCTGAGTTCACTGTACTTTACCGAGTAAAACCGGACCGGATAAATCAAGCATAATCGACCGGCTCCGGTCCGGCATGATCGTACGGATCCGGAAAACATAACGCGATCCTGATACGGAAAAATTAGAGTATCGTACACTAGTTTTTAGTTAAGACCTAAATTTTGTACCTTACCGTATACAGACGGAATACCGAAAAATACCGATTAGCTTTTAAATTTTATCGGTCGGCATTCCTTACTGTACTACCGACACGGAATACCGAAAAATACCGTCGGTATTACGGTACCGTCCGGATTCTAGTTTTGGCGCTATTTTTAAAAAATTCGACATTTTGACCCATTTTGGCTGTGTCGACATTTCATCAATTCGAGATTTTAACGATTCCACATTTTAACCCTTTTTTACCCGATTCGAGATTTTAACCATTCCATATTTTAACGATTCCACATTTTAACCCCTTTTTAGCCTATTCGCGATTTTAACCCATTTTTACCCGATTCGAGATTTTAACCCTTTTTTAGCCTATTCCATATTTTAACGATTCGATATTTTGTTCGGACACGTTCTATTGGCACGGTGGGTTAAACGCGAAATCTAACTGTCTCGTCACACTCTCTCGTTTTCCTCTTTTTCATTTATTTACTCTCTCCTTTTAAGCGTTACTCTCGTCTCTATTTTATGTAGATTTGAGGTTGCCAACTTTGATCGAGTCCCTAAGAAGTTCTGTATGTTACTTTTCAAATCTGTCTGTTATTTTTATTTTTCATAGTCTAAAGAAGCTTTTGGCAAAAAATTATTAATTTATCTGGTTTTTAGCAAAAGTTACTGGTGTTTATATTTTAATAATTTTAGTGACCGATTTTTAGGGGTTGCTTTAAGAAAAAAGCAAAGCTTTTGGTACCATCCGATGCAGCTCGATGAGTTACGTCGAATCTTGCCAAATTTGAGTTTGTAAAGCCAAGTTAGACTGAGATATGGCCAAAAGAGTATGGATTTTTACCGATTTTCAAAAATTCATAACTTATCCAAAAATGCATATTTTCCGCTCAAATTTTGCAAGATTGTATATCAAATGTAGGACTAAAATTCAAAAAATTTTGAAGAAATTTTGACCAGGGGTTCATTAGTTATAGGTAGTAGGGTAACCAGTTGGTCAACCTAAATAATAAGCCAATATAACATGTGCAAGATTTACATAGTTTTTGTTTGTTTTTCATCCCTGATTCGCATAAAACAAAAATTAGCGAAAAAGGACGACTTTGGAGAAAGTTATGGCCTAAAATAGGTCGAATTTTGCTGATTTTCAAAAATTCATAACTTCGTTAAAAATGCATATTAGCTTCTCAAAATTTACAGGATCGTTTATCCACCTTAGGACTAAAAAATTACAAAATTTGAAAAAATTTGGGTGAGAGGGCCAAAAGATATGGTGTACGGAATTTTCGTCTCTGGAACATTCGTCTCCAAGACTTTTCGGAACTTTCGTCTCCAACATTTTCGGAACTTTCGTCTCCAGCGGAATATTCGTCTCCAAGGAAATAAACGGAATATTCGTCTCCGAAATTTTCGTCTCCGCTAGGAATCTTCGTCTCCAGAAGAAAAATCGGGCAATCCCGGAGACTTTGCAAAACTTGATCAATCACTGTGATTTTGGTGTCATTCGACTCAGCTCGACGAGCTCATTCGAATGAGCTATTATTTGTATAAACTTTTTTTTGCTCCAAAATTACGACCCTATGGTTTTTCAATATTCAGTCGTCTGTATCTCGGTCCAATCACGTCGGATTTCATTAATTTTGGTGTCATTCGATGCAGCTCGATGAGTTCTATATTATTTTGAAAGACTGACCATTTTGTACAATGTCCGGGGTCAAATATTCGGATTCGGGATCGACTTTTTCAAAATTTGAGCGCATATTCGTAATAGGCATATTTTTTAACCGGGAAAAATCCTTTTTCATATTTTTAAAAATTTTTTCGAAGAAACCCTATTCTCCGGGATTTCCCGATTTTTCTTCTGGAGACGAAGATTCCTAGCGGAGACGAAAATTTCGGAGACGAATATTCCGTTTATTTCCTTGGTGACGAATATTCCGCTGGAGACGAAAGTTCCGAAAATGTTGGAGACGAAAGTTCCGAAAAGTCTTGGAGACGAATGTTCCAGAGACGAAAATTCCGGCACCCAAAGATATAGGATTTAACCAATTCCCCCTCTAAATGACAGTTGACACTCAAACTCTGCGATGAAGTAGGCACTCAATCGCACTCAAACGGCTTGCATTTGTTGCGACAGAAAGCAAAAGAAGAGAGAAATAGTGTTAACGCTATTTGGCGTATTTTAAAAAATAAAAATACACAACGCCACCAGATTTCGCATTTAACCCGCACAGTGGTTACACTTAGTTGAAAAAGAGGACATAGCGTCAGAAGAAAAATACCTGTGCGCTATAGTGTCTATCTGGTAAGTTAGGCAACGGTGAGCCAGTCCTCCCCTATTTTTCCCAGAGATTAAGGTTCGAAACCAACTAGTCAAATTCGATTAAAAATGATTGGAAATAAACCAAATATGACTAAACATCAGATTTTAAATATTTAAAAAATTTATAAAAAATAAAAATATTAAAGAAAAGGCTAAATTTTGAAGTCTAAGGGCTAAAATTTTCTTTTTCCTCTTGATCCTCTTCTAAAAGCTGTCCTTCATCAAGACCCTCATCATGAATAAAATTCCATAGAAGTTGGTGTTTGAGCATTCCCTCCAATGCCGTCATCTGGTCTCCAGTATGCTTGAAACGATTCATCTTAATTTATGGATTTTTATTGAAAAATAAGGAAAAATACCAGAAGGTTGAGTTTGGAGTGTAAAGACTCAAGACACTGGTCACTTAATAACCCAAGCCATCGTTGTTCCTTGGCAAAAATCACGCAATGAAGCAACCAATGTGCCTTCGGAGTTGTTTTGCCGAGAAAACTCTAAAAACAAGGAAATTTTTAAAAGAAAAGTAAAAATTACATGCAAAATTTTGACAACCATCTCACAAGCATAGCTCAACGTGTTTAATCCATCGTCACTAAGCTCTTTTGCACTTATCTGTTTTGAAAATAATCGAAGATTAACCATAAGCCTCAGCCATTGAGTTTTTTGACCAGAATCTGCAATAAGTTCGCTCAGTTCTTTTCGTTTGTCCAGAATTGAAATAACCGCATCCCCTAAATAAAAAATTAAATTTTTTCACAAATATTTCTTAAACCTATAAATTGATGTGTATGTGGATCCGCTTTCTTATCGATGATTCCAAGTCCCATTTCTTTTGCTCCAGTCAAGTCCCAAAGTATATTCAATGCTCTGTTGACAAGGCCGTGGAGAATATGCATTGTAGGCGGGATGACTTTGAAGTGATTAACAGGCAAAAGAGGTTCCATTGTGTAGGAGTAATTCTTTTCATCTTCTCCAAACGTACGCATAACCCCAATCTTGTTTAATTCTTCTTTAGGTGCCCTACACAACGTGCAAGGAAAATTCGACGAAGGGCCTTGATGGCCAAAGAAGTCTTTTAGGCATTTTAAATCAGTTATTAGCATCCTGAATTTAATGAATTTTAGGAGTTTTTAGACATTTTTTTCCCTTACAAACTTACCATTGTATCTTAACTGTTTTTTCAACCCCATTCACCAAAACAACTAAACTATCAATTTGTTTGATTTGTTCCAAAACAGGTAACTATTTGCTCTCGTTGTTGAGATAAAAAAGCCAAATTTAGTAACATTCGCCCAATTGTCACCACCTTTGTCACCTGCAATTGCACAGTTGATTTCATGATTGCTCATAGTTAAAGTGCCTAAATACAAAAAAAAATAATATCTAATAATTAATATTATTACCTTTCATAAACAGCCTCTCAACTCGTCTAATTAATACTTCTTTAATATTCGACAAGTAAATTGATGCCCCACTTCTTTTGAAAATTGCCGCTTTTGTTTCTTCTGATTTTATCTTTAATATTGCTCTTGTCCCACAAAAACAGTTAACAAGCCTTTTGTCCAGTGCTGACTTCAATCTTTCTCTCTGTTTCCATGAAATTCCAACTTCAAGTGTTATTTTTAGATCTTCACTTGGAGTTAACTTCCTTAATGAGATTGGAGACAAAAGACTAGGACTTCTTTCTTGCAATACTTTCATGCCTTGCTTCTCTCGACGTCGAGCTTGGCGTGAACTTAACTCATTGTAGGGTTTTCGAGGTGTTGCCGCTGCAATACTATTTTTCTGTGAAAGCAGTTTGCTTTTCTCTTGTTGCAGCTGGTGATTTTGTTGTTGCATTAGTTGAAATTTTAAAGACAATGCAGTTAAATTACCCAGATCACACTGGATTGAGATATCATTTGAACCTAAAATTATACATGAAATTGTGCTTAACTAAAAAGAAACTTGGAACTGTTTGGGTTGAAACATCTTTTGTTACAATTGGAGTCTCTGTTGTTTGCGTGGCCATTACTTTAACCTTTATTGTAGTTTGAGTGGCTATATTTCTTCCTTTTTTGTATTTTTCAGTTTGTGTTGTTTTATCATTTACTTTGGGGACTAATACAGTTGATTTTCCCTTTGCTACAATTTTGCAGTTTTTTTTGACTTCTCTTGCTTTTGCCAAACATTCACGCTTCTTTTCATCAATTTCCTGCTTTTTCGCATTCTCTTCTTTTAATTTTGCCCATTTTACCTCAGCAGCGTGCCTTTTTGCAACAGTTAAAGATCTTGTTTTCATCAGAAATTATAGTAAAATGATTGTGCATAGAAGTTATCGAAATCTGCATTAAAATTGGAAAAATTAAATTTATTAGCAAAAAGAGAATATAAGCTTTAAAACTAGTCTGACAGAATTCGAATCGGATCTGTAATTTTCGAGATATTGGATTTCAAAATCGGCAACCTAAAATAGAAACGAGAGTAACGCTAAAAAAGAGAGAGCAAGTAAATGAAAGAGAGGAAAAACGAGAGACTACACAATTCCCGCTATGTCCATTTGTAACCACTGTGAACCCGCCGTGTATTTAGAGCTAGGAATTTTGAAAAAACCGGGACCGGGTCCGGGAAACGGGTTCTGAAAAATGGACCGGGCGGGAACCTGGTCCGGGAAACCGGGAAAACCCGTTCCCTGTTTCATCCCGGTTGCTTCAAAAAAACCGGGAAAAAGGACCCGGAAACCGGGAAACGGGTCCGGGTCCCGGACCCGTTCCTAGCTCTACGTGTATTGGGGGTTCCCTTGTTTTCTTTCACAATTTTTTTTGTTTGTTACTTTATTTAAGAATTCTTTCGAATAGAGGTTCTCTCACTCTTAACTATTTTCTAAAATTATTATTTTGTTTAAAATAATTTGTTTCCAAAAATTATAAAATATCAGTATTATCTTATTCAGATTTAAATTTACTTTTCAGAGTTCAATAGCACTTGGTCCAACATTTATCAATACTTCATCAAAAATTGTGTTAACGGTCCCCCAAAATACCCATAAATGGATTTCTTGGCTTACAGGCTCTTCCTTTGTTTTACAACCAACAATTCAATATAATACTATTCGTGGCGATTTTGATTTTATTTTAACTCCATGTTTGTTTTAATTTATTTTTTAATAGAAAAATTATTTATTTTCTTTAATTTTGTATAAATATTTAGTCCGTTTCCTTAATTAAAATTAAAATTAATTAAAATTTAATAATTATTTTAGTTGTTGGTTTTCCTCTTGGTGGTGGAAATCAAGGAATGATTGTATTAAATATTGGAATTAATAGGCATCCATCTCTTATACTTTCTTATGTGAAAAATAAATTTGACCATCCACAATTTGCTTGCAATTTAACTGTAAGAAAATTTTATAAATTTATTTTTGATTTTTGTGATTGTGCTCGATTTATTTTATTTCAATAATAAATTTCTTACAGATTTCTCCAGTCCAACCATCACTTCGGCTTACATATCATTTGAGATATCCACAAAATGAATTACATTATGAAGCAAGCTGCGTTCTTGCTCTTAGTGAATTTACCCCTTCTCTATTAATTGAGAAACGTCTTACAAAATTTTCAAAGATTGGTGTTAATTTACTTTTCTCATTTCCTTCTTTTATGCTACAGGCGAGTTTTCGGTTCGTTTTCTAAAATTGTTTGAATTTTTTAAAATTTTAAAACATTTTTTTCTATTCCTTTTACACGAGAATTTGAAGCATTCTCTCAATTCCTTATTTGAAATTTCTTTATTTTTCAGAATTCGGACAGGATTAAATAATTACGAATTTCGTGTTATGCTTTGTGAACAACAAGAGGATATTGTTACTTCATGTTTATATGGTATAATATTGCCTGCTGTTTTTTTGAATGTTTCGAGATTATTATTTAGAAAACAAATTTCTTGGATTTTTGAAGTTTTGACAGGAAATCAATTAAATGGAGATGAAGTGGTAAGGAAATTTATTGCCATATTAAAGGGCAGTAAAAAAAAGATTAAGTCAAAATCAACTAATTAATATGGGCACGATTAAATTTAATTTAAATAGATTTTTACTGACAAGCCTCTTACAATCATAAACAATATAAACAAATTTTTGAAATGAGAAATTGCTATTTTTGAAAGAAAAAAATAATGAATAACTTGTTGGATTCTAAATAGTCTCCCTTTCGTCCTAGTAGTTTCTACAATTTTAATAAAATGATACAATTATTTTTCAAGTTAATTGAAATAAAAAAAGAACAAGCACAAAAAGCCGTTGAATTAATGCGTGCAAATGCTGAAAAAGTAGCAAACGAAGAAAAACGTAAAAATGGACTTGTAATAATTGAAGCTTTTTATGGGCAAATGCAGAATGATAGACCTGCTTCGGAATTATATCCTTTACTTGGAGATAAAGTTGTTGATGTTACTATTCCATTACAGGCATATGTACATGATTCACAATTACGTATTTATAGTGGAAAGGTAAAAAAATTTTAAAATATAAAAATTTAGTAAAATACATAATTGTAAATGCTTTCTGAAAATTTTTTCTTTAATTGTGTTATTCTTAAAAGTTCTCTTTTAAAATAATTTTTTTGGATTATTTATAAAAACATTTTTAAACAGTATTTTAAGGATCAAATGCCTGGATTCTTTGATCCTTGCCCAGGCGAACCAAAAATGTTAAAGGTTCTTTACCGTTTTGGTGGACATCTGCATTCTGTCGCTGTTTTAGAAGACCAACCATTAATGTTGCCGATGAAAGCACACAGAGTTTTACAAGAAAATGAAAATAAATAGTAAAAAAATAGTTTTTATTTTTTCTTATTTTTAGTTATTTCCATTCCCTTTTGTTAGTGATGGAATTTCAAAAAAAGGGGGAGAGTAAAGATTTTATTTAATTTTTTTTGAATAATTTGGGGAAATTTTATTAAGGACAAATATTTAATTATTCTATTTTTGAAATTAATTTTATAGTTTTTTTTATCTAAACCTTAAAAATTCAAAAATATTTTTAACTAACATAAGCATTTTATCACTTCCTTTAAAATATTATTTAACATTTATTTAATATAAGAATTACAATGACTCATTCTCTCTCTTTTAAGCATATTTATTCTTTTAGTTATTCACATTGGGTGTGAATATTTATTTATTTTCTCTGCTTTTTTTTGTTTAAAAAAGCATTTGATTGATCATTCTAAACAAAAATTGGGGACAACACTTAACATATAGCTTCTACATTTTATGTATATAGCAAAAATATTTTTTGCAGAGAGGGGTGGGGAGGGGAAATAAAAATTGTAAAAAAGGTTAATCGGTCTATTTATTTTGTAACAAAGAGAATATTTATTTATTACAAAATTGAGAAAATAAATATTTTTTTCAAAAATTACTGATTTTTTTCTGAGTTAATTTAAAAGAAATTTTTTTTAATTTTTCTTAAAATTCCAAAGAATTTTTTTTTGACATCATAGTATAAAATCAAAAGTGAATCATTTTTTTAATTAAATGATTTTAAATATTAAAATTATTTATTTTTTGATTTTCCATCACCTACAAATTTGTTTTAGTCATTTACACAATTTTGTCTTATCCTTCTACTCAAAATTAATTTTTTTTGAATTCTTGTTAAAGTTTTGCTCAAACTTTATTGTTAAACAATTGTTTTTTTTGTTGATTTATTTTTTTGAATAAAAATAAATAAAAATATATTTAAATAATTTGTTGACCTAAAAAATTAAAAAAATTATTTTTTAAATATTTTTTTTTGTTTTTTCTTTCTTTAAAAATAAATTTAGGTATTTTATTAAATTTATTTAAAATAAAAAATGGGAAAACAAGACAGTCAAAATAATCCAATTCCTTCGGCTCCTCCAAGTGAAGCACCACCATATCCTCAGGTAATCTTTAAAAAAATGGTTTTTTAAATTCTATTTTTAAAGGTCCAACGTGAAAATCAATTGCCTTTGCAAACGGGTGCCAATGGACGTGAGACTAATCCAGACCCTCCACCTTACCAGGTTAAAACTTTAAATACAAAAATATTTAAACAATTTATTCTCTGGCTATAAACATTTAACAAAACTTTCACATAAAATTCTCAAAAAGAAAATTTTTAAAGGAGACTTTCAACTATCCACAAGCTCCGCCATACCCCGTTTATGCACCGACTACAACAATGCCAACTTCAGTACAACCTCCAATGCCTATGCCGACTCAGCCACCTCCGCATTATGTTTATCCGCCAGCTCCGGCTCCTCAAATTATTTATAATGGTATTTAAAAAAATTATTTTTAATAAAAATTTTTTGAATTAATTAAAAATTAATTTTTGTTTAAATTTATTTAAAAAAATATTTTTCCAGTCAATCCACAACCTCCACCGCAACCTACCACAAATACTCATACATCAACTAATGTTACTGTTGTTACTGCGACTGGACCTTTGCGAGTTGATCCGTGTCCAGCTTGTATGGTAATACTTTTATTTTTTGTTATTTCCCTTTTTCCTTTCGTAATTTCTGTTTTATTTTTAAATTTTTTCTTTCAAAAAAATATTTTTTTAATTACAAAAAGGGCTCTTTTGTCAACTATACTGATTGTTGTTATCTGACCATCCTCATCATTATTGCAATTTGCACACTTCCATTTGGACTTCTTTTAGTGCCTTTCTTTTTCTGTGCCTGTCGCAAACGCTGTAATGGTTGTGGACGTCCTAAATAATAATGACTGGATTGGTGGAAGGGGTAATTATTTTTGGTTGATTATGAAGGAAGGGGGGATTATTTGGAAATTTGTATTTAAATGATTTTGTTTAATTTTTTGACATTTTTTTAATTTTAAAGAGAGAATTTAAAATTCTCTTTAATTCTTTGCTTTATTTACTTTTGAGTGCCAATTAATTATTTTTATACATTTAAAATATCAAGTTTTAAATTTTTTTTGTAGTCACTAGAATATTCACTCAATTACATATAAATTTTGGGAAAAATATTTTTTGTGACATTTTATTTAATTCTTGACTAATCTAGTGACTAATATATTTATTTTGACTATTTCACTTTAAATATTTTTGTTATTTTAATAGTATTTTAACGAGTTTGCCTACATCTATTTAAAAATATTTGAATAAAAATATTCTTTTGCTTTAAAAATTTAATTAATGAGAACAATTTCTTTTAATTCTTAAATTCTTTAAAAATAATTACAAAAATAATAACAAATACTTTACATAATTGAATATATTACAAAAACAAAATTCTCTGTTATCTTTTAATTAACAATTTAGTTTTATTTGAATAACTTTTTTTAATTTTCAAAAGGGAAAATAAGGTTACCTAACCCTCCTACTACTTTAAATTATCCATTAAAGAATTTTTGGAAAATGTTTTTTGACAAATTTAAAAATAATTAAATCAGATTTTATTTAAAAAATTCAAATAAATATTCTTCATCCCAACAAAACTTTTTTCATCTTTTCTTTAGCATAAGTTGAAGACATTGGCCGTTGATCATCATCAGATTCTGATGAAGAGGAAGAAGTATAGGCGTAGGCTGGCTCTATTGTTGAGCATTTTGAAGAACTTTTAAAAATTGTTTTTTTAAATAAAAATTAAAATGATTAAACCAAAGATAGTGAAGAAGGGGAACTCTGTATTTTCCACAAAAATCAACAAATTTGACTAATTCAGAACAAGATTCGAAATAAACACCCTTACATTTTGGATTTACACATTGATTGGCTAAAATAATATATTAATTTATTTATAAAACATATTTTTTTAATTTGTCAGTTTTTACTAAATATTTAAAAAGTCAAAGAAAGTAAAATCGTTTCCTTCTATATAGGGTACCCTCGGTTTTCGGTTATGGCCGGTTTTCGACCCCCGGTTTTCGGTTCCGGTTAATTCACCAAAAACGCCGGTTAACGGTTCCCTAATTTTATATTTTATTTAAGAAATCCTTTTCATAATCTATATTTAAATTTACCAGTATTTAAATAATTAACCAATTCTAAAGGAATTAAATTTCTGTAAATATTTATTGGAAAACGAATTTTAACAATTCTCGCTGCTAATTCTTTTAATGTTGGCGGTTCTAATAAAATTTCATTAACAAAATCAGTAACTAAAGGATTATTTCGAAGACTTAATTGTTCCAAATTTTTGAGACGAGCAATGCCTGGGGGCAAAACCTAAAAAATATTTTTGATACAAAGTTGATAAAGAATTGAAAATTGAAATTTAGCCTCCCCCTTCCCCCACAATTTCTTTTATTTTTTTAAATTAAATATTTATTTAATTCCCAAACACACCTTTATTTTATTATTATGCAAAGATAATGTTGTTAATTTATGTAAATTTGCAATACTTGATGGAATACTTTCCAACCGATTATCAGCCAAACCCAAAGAAGTTAATTCAGAAAGAGCACCTATAGAATCTGGAACTGCAATTAAACGGTTACCACCAACATACAAAATTTTGAGACTTGAAAAAAAGGAAGGAAAATATTTTTTAGAAATTTCTAAAGTATATTTTTAGGATAAACTTTACGTCTTAATAAATTAAAAATTAATTACTATCCAGTTATTCCATCCCTCATTTTCCTTTTCTCGTTGTGGGAGTCATTTGGGGATAGCGAAGTTTCAACTACCCAGTACTTTGTTCAGAATCACAGAGTCAGTAAGAACAGAAAAGTAGGGTGGAGAGAGATAACTGGAATGGTAGAGCTGTCCAAGACTTCTTGGTCTTAAGTTTAGAATTAAAACTTTACTATTTTTGGTCTTGATTTTTAGAAAAATTTCTTCCTTGGACAGCTCTAAAGATATGTATTACCAAAGAAAATTTTATTTAAAAACTCCAACTTTTTTAATTTAGCAATAGCTGCCGGAATATATTCAATTAAATTTCCACCCATATAAAGTATTCTTAATTGTTTCAATTGTAATAATTCAAAAGGAAATTGCTCTAATAGATTTCCAGAAATATTTAATTCTTCTAATAATTTTAATTGTTGAAATTCAAAAGGTAAACATTCGAGAAGATTATTTCGAAGACTTAATTGGGTTAGGCATTTTAATGAAGAAAAATCTTTTGGAAGAGAGGCCAATTGATTATTTGAAATATCTAATCTAAGAAAAAAAAATTTAAAAAAATATGTATTTTAATAAAAATACCTTCTTAAATTTTTAAATTGACAAACAAGTAAAGGAAAATGAATAAAACGATTAGTTGATAAATTTAAAGAAATAATTCTGTCATATTCTTTGTAAGGAGCACAATCTCCGACAAAAGGAGTTAGAGGAATTGTTTCTACATATCTTTGAGATAAATCAACTTCTAAGTTGACAAAACTGCGAAAATTGAAAATATTATTAGATTGGTTTGGTTAATAAGTAGAGAGGAGTTATTTAGGAGGGTATTCCATTTTTAGGAGGGTATTTCTGCCCTATCTCTATAGTCTTCAATTTTGTTAACCTATTAGAAGATTCTCCTTCCTCCATTTGTTTTTCATTGTAATTATCCAAGTCGAAATTAGAATCCCTTTGCTCCATAGATAAAATTTAAAGAAAATTCAGTCTAAAAAATAATTTAAAAATAAAAAAATATTTTCCTTTAAAAATATTTATTTAAAAAATATAATTAAATAAAAATATAAAAATTGTTTAAAAATTAAATATGTATGCGAACAAAATTAATAAAAAAAATTCTTGTGACAGTTTTATTTTAGATTTTTTTTTATAATAAAAGTTTACTGTGGAGTCTTTTCAATTATCTTTGTGCTCAAATTTATATTACTAGAAAATATAAAATAAAATTTATAAAAATATATTTTAACAAAAATTTAGAAAAATACAAAAATGATGTCAATAAAATACAAAAAAAAGGAAAAGAAAAAATGAAGTAAAATTAGTAATTTATTAGAAAATTTATTTTAGAGCACATGACAAATGGCAGACGGTTTCCTATTAGGTATATTTATTTCATTACAATTAAATATATTTTGTATTTTAATTCTTTTTTTCTGTCCAATATATTTTAAATTTTTAAAAAATAATTTTTAAATGCTTAAAATTATAATAACAATAGATAAATGAAGTTAAAGTACACATTATTTAGAATATAATATTTGTAGTCAACACAAAATGATAGAGGAATTCCCTTAAACTTGCTCTTTCCTCTCTCTTTTTATTAATTAAATGGACTGATTGAAATATATATTATGATGTAATTTTATATATAAATTAAATCATTAAAAAGAAAATAAGGAAAGAAAAAAAACTTTACAAAATTAAATAGTAAAGGAAACTCTTAAATATCACATAAAGCACAAGAATATGTAGATGTAATTTTAATAAAATTAAAGCTCTACTTATTTTATTAGTCTAAAATATCCAATACTTTTAACATCTTGTGACAGGATAGTTTCGAGTAATTTAGAAATATTTTAAGTAGGAGCATCAACTGTGCTCTTTTCCGTTTATGGTGACAAAAGTAAAGGAATCTCTCTTTATAAATAAAAAAGGAAAATAACTAACTATCTTTACTCGCTGATAAAAGTATCAGACTTTTGTCACCAAAACTCAAAGGAACCTAAAAGAGTATTTAAAAAGAGAAGAGTTTTTCAATGATTTATGATCATTTATAGATAACAAATAAATATACTAAATTCACTTGTTATTTCCCTGTATTCCCCCTTTTGTAGTTGTTATAATTGTGGCAAACATATTATGCATTGTTGATTCAAGAGCGGGCAATGCTCTTCCAGTTTTTGAAGTTAAACCTGGTTTAGACATCTGAAAGAGTTTTTGAGCATCCTGATCTCCTTTAGGGTGATATCGAGCATTGTTGACTGCCTCCTCGGCAATATTTCTAAAAAATTATTTTTATTCACCAAATTACCAATTAATTAATTACTTAGCCTCAGCTCGTCCAATATCTTCACGTATTTGTATTAAAGAAGTGAGATATTCAACAGGAATGTCTGGATATTTTCGAACAAGTGAAGAGGCTTCAAGTCCCAAAAGTGTTTTATCTCTTAAATCTAGCACTTCTCCAATAGCAGGAAGAATATTAACTATTGCTGGCATCTTAAATTAAAACAATACATTTGAACCTTGTTAAAGTTTACGCCATTGGGACCAAAAATCGTACCTTAAATGAGTTGTACGCACTAGTTAAGGTATAAAGAGATTTGACCTAGTAGATATTTAAAAAATAATTGCCTGAAATTCGGGATCGTCGAAGAATTTAGAAAAAAGTTGCTGAATTCGTTTAGCGTCTGTCTTTAATCGTTCAACAGCCAAATGGCGTTCCTCATATTTATTGAAAGTTAATCGACTGAATTTATAAAAATAAATTTCAAACAAAATATTTTTTTCAATTACCGAACATCAATTCCAATCATAAATTCAGCAACAAGTTTAAAAAGTAATTCTCTCATTAACATACTTCTAATATGTCCACGTAAATGTTTATAATCATTAAAATAATCAGCAATTGTTATACAAATAGTTTCCAAATCATTAGATCCCATTAACCAACTACGTGTCATTATTTGTTCTAAATGTCTAATAATATCTTCTAAAACTTCTTCCAGAAGAGCAGAAATTCTTAAAAAAAGAAACAAAAATTATCCTCTTCCCCCTCCAAATAACTAACGTAAATTGTATTCCAACATCAAATTTCTTTTTTAATTGTTCCATTTTGTCAATTAATTCTTGTCTATTAACAACAGAAAATCCACCAGCGGTGGAACGTGTAGTTAAAGACCCATTTCCATTTAAATCTCCCAATTGTTCTGTTGGTGATAATGCACCTCCACTGCCATTAGATTCCATTGTTAAACGAATATTTTTTTCAAGTTTATCTGTAGAATCGAGACAAATATCCAAATTGTTTGCAATTGCAATCTTTTTGAGAAATATTGAAAAATTAAAAAAAATTCTTCTTACAATTGTAGCTGTATAATGCTGAAAAAGAGAACGATCTTCAAAATGTTTCCCTTTATAAGCCATTGCAGCATCTTTATATTTCCCAGAGAAAATAGCAAATTCATCCACAGCGATATCAATAACACGAGGGATAATATCTTGAGAAATTTCTTTCGAAAGAGCTACCTAAAAATATTTTAAAATTAAAAATAATTTATAAATCACCGTGTCTTCCACCATTCCAAACAAAATACTTGGTAATTGGGTATAATAATGTTTATCATTGTCAGTTTCAGGCAAAACATGTTTGTACCAATCCTAACAAAATTTATAAAAAAAATATTTTCTATCATTTTAATTTTTACATCTTTCTCTTGAATTAATGTTTTATTAAGCCAATCATGCATATCCCTTCTTGTAATCTCAATGAAACTTTAAAAAAAGATTTTTCGTTTTTATTGAATATTTACCGATCACACAAATGATTTTTTGTGGAACGAGGCAAAAGTGGCTGTTCTTGTACAAGAGATTGTGCTTGGATGCCCAAATGTGGATCACCAAGCATTTGTTTACCGCTAAAAAATTAGTTAAGTTCTTTTAGAAAAATAAAAACATACGGATATGCCTGGATCCAACTTAAAAGTTGTACAAGTTCATTCTTTTCTAAAGGGCTGGATGCAATATTTTTGATCTAAATATTTTGTAATAACAATAAACGTTAAATTACTTACTTGAAAAGAAATGCTGTCATGATAATATTTAATATAACGATCATAAATATTATAATCAGGTGGAAAACAAGCAGCAAGACAAGTTTTTACAAGTTTTAAATCAGAAACAACTTTACGTCTACAAGCTTCTAAATATCTATAAAAATATTTTCTTAAATTCAAACAACATATTCAACAAAATACCTTGCCAACCATTGCCTATTTATTGCTTTATCTTCTAATTGATTGCCTTCTAGTCTGTCCCGTACATTTTTAGCCAAAACTTCGAAAAGTTGTCGTCGCCATTGTCGTGGTCGACCGGGAGGCATAAAATCGTTGGAAACTGGTCTTTGGTCCAAGTAATATGTAGGTGTCAATCCTTTTTTAAAAATTACAAAAATATTTTTAAATTAAAAATCTTTTTCGAGTAAAGACTACGAAAAATCAAAGGTTCCCAATAAAAAGTCCAAATCTATACAAAATTAACAAAAACTCCAAACCTCTCTTCCCTTTCAATAATCCTTAATGCTGAAACTAATTGTTGAAGTGCACTATCATTCCCTTGAACGGCTTCTAATGCTCTCGAACAAATATACCAAACTTGTTTAGCAAGATCATTTACAAGTTTGTCAAGATCGGTAAAATAATTTTTGAGCAACTAAATTAAATAAAATTATTTTTAAATAAAGTCCCCAATATTTTTAACAAATAATTTAAAAATATATTCAAAAACTACCAACATTTTTGTCATATTCCCTCCGCTCAGAGTTCAATTTATGTACTTCAAACATTAAATCATCTCTCGCATTCTCCAATTCCATAATATTTTTATGTGCATGTAAAAGTTTATTTTCTAAAATGTATCTAAAAAATTTAATATAGTCAAAAATAAAATAAATTTTTACTCGTGTGTTTTCTCTACTGTATCCACTAAATTAAAGATATGTTTAAAATTTTCCACAGCAATCGCATATTGACTATGTTGACTGTTTGCCTTTGATAACATACTTAAACGATTGCGAGTTTCTGGTATAGATTGCAATTTTTCGCCAATTTCTTGCATACTAAAATTTAAAATAACAAGAAATTCAAAAACATTAACCTTTTTCCAATTTGCAAAACTTCTTCAGCGGTTACTTGCATATGAGAAATAGCTGATCGAATACCCTCTAGCTGTGATTGAACACCAGTTCTCAACATTGCCTCTACAGCTGCCTAAAATAATTGAAAAGGGTAATTTTAAGCATTCATAAATAGGAAAGAATTTTAAAATAAAAACTAAGTTCTACAACAAATATTTACAAAATGAGATTTATTACCACACAAAAGGGTTTCGTTTGTCTATTTTAAGTAAAGAATGCTTGTAAGAGTTACGGCCTTGCCTTTTTTATAAATAATTATTTGACTAATTCATAAAAATAAAACCTTTTTCCTTTCAGCTTTCTTAAGTAATTCATCTATTTTCTCAACTTGCGACGGTCTTTGAAACATTGTAGCAATTTGATTGTATGTTGCCTCATCAATTTCATTTTTGCTAGAATTTTGTTTTTTACCATCCATTAATTTCTACAAATTTAACATTTTTACGAGAAAATAAAATTTAAAAATATTTAAGAATTTCTCATGAGAATAAGAATAAATCTTTACAAAATAAACAATTTTTACACATTTTATTTAATTTGAAAATACAAATAATATATTAAAAATGATGGGACAAAAAATTTTCAAATTAAAAGAAAATCAAATTTTAAATAGTATTTTTATTATCACTCTCAATTCTTTTTTTGTCGAATTTTTTCTGTCAATTAAAATAATTATAAAATCGCCGGTACTTTTTTCTTTACTTCTATCGTTGATGTATCTTCATTCTAAATAATTTAAAAAAATAATAAAATAATTCAATAAATTACCGCTGCTCTCCTAACTGCAATTCTAATTTCTGGTTTAATGTATTTGCCTATCCCTGAAGAGTATGATTTTGGCTTTTGAATTTCTGTTTGTTGTTGTCTATTTCGATTAGTTTCTTCTTCTGATGAGATAGAATTTGCTAAAAAAAATAAAATTTTAAATAATTCCATTTTCTTTTTACCTTTAATAGACAAAGCTTTTCTTTCCATCCTGACTGCTTCGGCCGCCGCTTCAAATGGATCAACAAAAACTTCAGCAGCCATAATTTTTACATCTTCTAACGGTCGATCTTCTTTATCAGTTTCGACATTTTCTATGGCACATAATGTTGTTGCCCCACCAACTAAACGTCCAAAAACTGTATGTTTACCATCTAAATTTGGACAGGCAGCAAATGTTATGAAACTAAATAAAAATTTATAAATTTAGACATATAGTTAATTAAAAATAAATTACAATTGTGAGCGGTTAGTATCAGTTCCTCGATTAGCCATGCTGACAATACCCCTTTGGTCATGTTTGTAAGTGCCTTGAAATTCATCTTTGAATGGCCTATCCCAAATAGATTCACCGCCAGTTCCAGTGCCAGTAGGATCACCACCTTGGAGCTGAAAAACAAAAAAAGGTTAATCTTAAAACAAAAAATAATAAAAATATAAAGAAAATAAAAAAATTACCACAAATCCAGAAACAATTCTATGAAATATTGTATTATTATAATATCCATTTCTACAGTGAACAATAAAATTTTCACAAGCACGTGGAGCGTGTTTACAAAAAAGCTCCAAATTTAAAGGTCCAAAATTTGTTACAATACGAACATAACCATTACGAGTCACTCGAGAATATCTTTAATTTAATCAAGTAAAAATAAATAAATTAAATAAAAACTATTTACTTAACATCATCTTCATCCAAAATTGCTGCTTTATTATTTGTTACAGGCTCCATTGTCGTTGAAGTCAATCCAGCAGCTACTTTTCCTTGGGAAAAATGTGCAGCATTTACAGAATCAGCAATTTGTTCTTTTGGTTTTTCTTCAGTCTATTTTTGATTTTTTTCAGAGAAATTAAGGAGAAAGAAAAAAACCTTTTGAACATATTGTTTTTCCAATTGTGAAAGTGCTTCTTTTGCTTCATTATTTAAAGAATTTAAAAAATATTCTGGACTTTGCATAGCTAATTTTTCTTCTAAAAGAGTTTCTTTTGTTTTCGTGTCAAACTGAACATGATAAAAATGTTCGATATTAAATTTATCCAAATTTTGAGGGTCTTGAAGAATTATAATATCCTAAAAATATAATTTTAAATTAAAAAATAAATTTAAAAAACTTTTCGTTGAAATGGTGTATCAGTTAATAAATCTTTTAAATGATTCCTTTTCAAATTAAGCTCATCAATTGCTTCCATAGAGTAAACATTTCCTGTTGTGCGAATTGCAGCAATAATACTTGTTTGAGTAAAAATTTTATAAGTAACTGGGCAACGAAAACTTCCTTAAAAAAGATTAATAAAAATTAAAATAAAATTTTTATTTACCATCCTTGTCTTTAGCAAAAGTAAGTACAGTCAAGTCCTTATTTGACAATTTTTTCCCAGAAACAGGACACAATCCATGTTTTTTAATATAAGGAGTAATATGACTAGAAATAACTTAAACAAAATAAATTAAAAAACCTTAAATCGTAAATAATTCCATCTGGAGTGCAGACGGGGTCTTCAAAAGGAAGAAAAGAAAGAGCACAATGGGTGAAAGGAAGACGTTTGAATTGTGCTCTTTGAATCTTTGTAGCAGTATCTTAAAATTATTTTTGATAAAAAAAAATTGTAAATTTTATTTTTACCATCTTTGTGGCCTCCATATATATCTTTCCATTCTTTTGTTGTCAAATACCTTTAAAAAATAAAAGAAAAAATTATTTAGATTAAAAACTTACAATTTATCACTTTGATGTTGTTTTTTGCCCATTGAAAATTAAATCCAATAAATAAGTATAAAAGATTAAAAATCAAACGTAAAAAATTTTAATAGAAAATTTTTAGACAGGACTAAAAGTTTAAATTAGGTTAATCGTAATTTAATCTAGGTTTTAGTGTTAATATGGTAACTAATAATTTAAATGTCGTTTTGGTAAAAATATAAAATATCTAATTTGCATATCGTCATTACAATACATTGCCAAGTAACTATTTTCTCAAAGGACATATAATCTAAAAGAACAACTATTGCCATTTAAATGTACTGAATCTCATAAAAAATTTGAAAAATTAAACTAATTTATTTATTTATAATCTTTAGTAAATCACAAAAATATTTAGTAAAATTTGACACGTTTTTTTATTTTTTCATCATATTTCATGTGCGCATTAAATTGTGAGGATATTCGCCTTTTGTTTTTGGAGACCATAATAGATTAGATCGGTGTGGAATTGGGTGATGAGGTCCTAAAAATAAATTAATTAAAAATCAAAATTACTTCTATAAACTAACCAGGTGTCGGTACATGGCCTGCACAATATACCTTTGAAATAGACAAAATCAAGATTTACAACTTACCGTATTTTCTCGATTAATTCCCCTGGGGAATTATATTTTCAACCCATCCTTTGCATGGGGAATTAATCGAGGGAGGGGAATTAATCGAGAAAATACGGTAAGTGAGATTTAGAGCTTTTTCTATGTCTTAACCCTTTAGAAAGTTAATTGCTAATTAAATAGTAATAATATCTCTTTATAAGCGCCATTTTTTGTTCTTATTTTTGTCACTACTTTCGAGTACATATTTTTCTGATTTAAATAATACCTCTAAATCTTGTGTATCATTTCTATTATTATAATAAGTGTTGAGAGAAAGGCGGCTAAAATAATTTAATTTTAAAATTAATTTTAATAAAATTAAAAACCTTCCACAAATCCAACATTTAAAACATCCTTAAAAAGTTTAGGATTTTTAAAGATTAATTTATATTTAATTAAAAACCTTTATGGAAAAGTGTTCCATCTTTTAATGGGCCTATTTTATCGTTGAAATAAGTTGGCCGTTTACATCGAAAACATGGCTCCTTCATAAGAATTTTTATAAAAAATGTTTTTGAATTGAGATTATAAAAAAATAATAAAAATAATTATTATTTAAATATTAACTAAAAATATTTTCTTTTTTTGTTAATAGTAAAAATAAAATTGAAAATAAAAAAATAAAGGAATAGAGAGATTAGAGAGATTTGTTTGAATTAGTGTTAGGCAAATGGATTTTTCCGGTACCGGTAGTACCGGAAAGTACCGGTACCGGACGAGTACCGAAAATCCTAAAATCTGACCGGTACGGTACCGGTACCGGTAGTACCGAAAAGTACCGGTACCGGTTAGTACCGGTGAAAAATTTCCGGTACTACCGCGGTACTCCGGTACTCACGCTAAAATGACATAATATCAAAATATGGACTTATAGATGTACTAAATGATGTGAAACTGTTCGATATAACACTATAGGATCGTTGTTAGTAGGAATATCAATTGATCTTAGGGGATTAAGAGGATCTTCTGATATCCCTGCCAAAATCTCAGGGGATTTCGATGGATTTTAGCGGATTAAGAATGATTTATGAGATGTATAGCCTTCTAACTTCTTTATCCCTCAAAAACACATATCTCTAAATCCACGATATCTACTTTATTCTTTCGATATCACCCAAATCTTCTGATATCCCTGCCAAAATCTCCGATATCCTTCCTAATCCCCTTATATATTAATAATGACAAATCAACTGGTATCTCACTTAATCCTAATATCCTTAAAATCTTCCTAATCCCTCTATGTATATACTTTTAAACCTAACAAATCCTCTGGTATACTTCTTAATCCTCGCAAATCCATTTTCTACCTGTTAATCCGCAAATATCCTCTTAAGAGCTTTTAATTTCGCGGGATATATGTATGCGGGATATCAAAGGATGTGAGTATTCTTAGTATTCTTAACTTTAAATTTCGATTTTTGATAGGGGATATCAGGAATTTGAGGAGCTGGACCCTGAAATTCCAAAAACAATAAGATTTTGGAAGGCCAATAAGCCAGATTTCTTCTTGTTATAGCGCCGCAGGCAAAAATTTTCTATTTTTGATTGGCCTCCGGCGAAAATTCTAGGAATTTTGGAAGTCCATATGATAATATTTTCCATTTTTCTTAAAATTTTCCAGTACCGCAAAACCGGTAGTACCGCGGTACTGGAAAGCTGACCGGTACGGTTCCGGTACCGGTAGTACCGAAAAGTACCGGTACCGGTCATTACCGAAAATCCAAAAATCTTACCGGTACGGTACCGGTACCGGTAGTACCGAAAAGTACCGGTCCGGTACTGACGGTAGTACCGCGGTAGTACCGAACCGTGCCTAACACTAGTTTGAATATATTTATTTAACAAAGTAATTAAATTTCTTATTATTTTTTTAAATTTTATTGAACCTCTTACTTTAAAATATTTCTATCAATAGATTTTTAATAATTTAAATTAAATTAAAATTATATTTTTAATTAAAAAAAGGTAATTTTAAAATTCTTTTCAAGAAACTATTGACAAAAGAAATTAGTTTTGTTTAAAATTTTAATTTAAAATTCCGATATCGCCAAATTAGAATATCAAAAAGATTATAATCTAATAAATTTATTTATCAATAAAGCATTTGTAGTATAGCAAAAGAAAAATTATTAAAGGCGTTTATTTCAAACACTTTTAAAATAAATATAGACATAATAATGTCGCGCACTTTCACTCTTGTATTTCTTCTTTCTTTTACAAAAGACAAATTTTTACGTATGGGGGCGTTTTCCAAGAATTTTTGTTTGTCTTTTTTCTTTATATTTTTTTTCAGTTTTTCTACCTTCTCAATATCTTTTCTAAAATATTTTTTTATCTTCTTACCTTCGGTATTGACTGCGTGTTCTCGTTACTTTCTCTTTTTTTGTGATTTTTTCTTTCAAGAAAACGTTGGCAGTTGGGATTAATCGAAAAAAGTAAAAAAAGCTAAATAAACAAAGAAAATAAAAATGAAAAAATAAATCGACTAAAAATATTAAATGAGAAGGCATTTGGGTACAATAATAAAGATTGTTTGTTATAATTTTTTTGTTAAAGTTGGACATAAAAATTAAATTATAATTTTCTAAATATTAATAATAAATTAAACTTCAATTCTAAATATTTTTACTCTCTAAAGGTTTAAGGGGGCCTTTTGCTCATCTAGGTACTGCTGAATAAATTCAAGCACTGATTATTCTCTAGAATTTTCATTTCATGTTTTGTTCTCCATATAGGTGAAAGGTGAAGCAATTTTTCATATGTGGAGATGTTGATGGTGGACGATGTGTTTCGTTTCCACTCTAGCAGATAAGCGATCCATGGGTGCGATGAGGACTGGAGCAATACTTATAAATTATTAAAGTGCTTTGTTGTCCATATGCAGCAATAGCCCCAGAAGGGCTACTATTTTTTTAAGTAAACAACTTAAAGGTAAATATAAATATTCAAAACAAAGTCTCATTCGAGTATCATCATCGTTGTGCATCTGTTCCTGGATCAGTCCTTCCAGATATGATTAAAAATGTATGATTTGGATAATATCTAACAGAATTGATTAGATTCGAATTAATAAACTTATAGAGGATTTACAAACTCTTAATTAATTAATTAATTTACATAATACTAATTATTTAAAATAAATCTAAATTTTTTTTCAAATATTTATAAAAATTAAATATTTTTTTTTAATTTTTAATTTAAAAAAATTTTAAATTGGCTATTTAAAATTAAAAAATATAATATACAATTATCAAGAATTCTTCAAATTTAAGAATGATAATTTAAAAAAAAATAATTTTTATTTACACTTTTTATTTTCTTTTCATTTTATTAAATATTTAAATATTATTAATGATATTTATTAAATTAAAATTAATTTACATATTAAAGTAGATAATGCCAAAATAGGTTAAATAAATTGATTTGATTAAATAAAAATATTTTTTGAATAAAATAATTTTTTTTTAAAAATAATGTGGGTGGGGGATTGAAAAATAAATAAATATTATTTTTAAGTCCATTTTTAGACAATAATAACACAAAAAATTTGTTTACACATTTCTTTATTTCCTTATTCAAGTACTTTTTAAATTTAATAAAAAAAGTTTAAGTTTATTTTTGTTTTTTATAAAAGTTCTTCTTTACTTTTAAATTAAAATATATTTTCTCTATCATTCTTCTTCTCCAAAAATACTTTTTGTGGGTGTTACATATAATTAAAAGGGGGGCTAGTAATTTCCTAAAAAACTTTCTTTCTTCTTTTCTTTTTTTCAACCAGATGAGTGTCTCTTTTTTTAAATTAAATTTAGATTTGCAAAAAATATAAACTGACGTTGATATTTTTTGTATCTATTTTTGAACATATAAAAATGTTCAAATAAATTATAAAAAGAATTTAAAATATTTTTTATTGCCAAATTCTTCCGGAAAAATTTTTTATTTTTTGGTAATTAAAAAATAAAATAAATTTATTTTTGGACAAATTTTGTTATTTTAATATCCAGTTTTGGACAAAAATCTGTTACCCCCTAGTCCAACCAGAAGGAAATTCTGTCTTCTATTTTGAAAAAACTTTATTTTATTTTAATATTTATTTAAAAAAATTGTTTTAATTTAGAATTATTTTTTTTTCTTATTAAAATAACGTCAATTTTCCTTTATTCTTTTAACAAGAACTTTTAAGCTTTGAACTTAAAAAAATTAAAAAGAAAGAGAATTGACACTTATTAAAAAAAGTAAAATAATTTTTGTTCAAAATTCTCTTCTACACTAATAAAGGAAATAAAAAATAATTTCTAAGAAATAAATATTTGCAAAATTTAAATTAAATATTTCTTCATATTTGTAACAATTTTTTAAATATTAAAAAGTTTTCTTAAAATTTAAATTCAAAATAAGAAAATAGCTAAGAAGAGAGGGGGGAATGGCCGGGGAAGGGGGACTATATCGAAGTATTATAATGACATTCCCTTCTTTTCTCCAAATTTCTGGATACCTTTCTAGCAGGGGTGTGCGGGTTTCGCCTTTCATCTTTCGCCGATTTTCGGCTTTTTTGGACTTTCGTTTTTCGCCGTTCGCTTTTTAAAATCAATTTCGCCAAACCCGGCCTTCTAGGTACCGATTTTATAATTTCCAAAATGTCATTGTACTACAGTTTTTACAATAAATTAATTATTTATTAATTTTTCTAAAAATATATTCTTAGAATTATTGCTTGAATTGTTCTAAAAATATTAATTGAAAAAATGATGCTTTTAGGAAAAAAAAAAACAGAAAATTATATAGAAAATTGTCTTTTAAAAATAGAAAAAAATTAAAAAAAAGGAGGCGGAAATTTATATATTAATTTTTTTATTCCTTTATTGTAAAATAATAAATTAAATTATAATATTCTTTTACTAAATTAATTAATTAAAATATAGTAAAAAATAATTTTTTAAAAATAAATTATAGAGAATAAATTACTTTGTTTAAATTTAGAAAATGAAATTATTTAATAATAATTTTCTGTTATTTTTGTTTATTTCTTCAGTTATTTTTCTTCAAATTTTGGCACGGCCATCATCTAAATTAAAAAGGGTAAATAATTTTAAAATTAAAAATTAAGTTAAATTTTTAAAAAAAAGTTCTTCATTAGAGCTATCTTTTACAAAAAAATTAATTCAAGAATTTTTAGAAAAATATATTTCCTTTTTATTTTAAAATTTTAAATAAAATTCCTATATTTTTTTTTAATTTCTAAATTTTATTTTTCTCAGAGTTCATTAGGAGGTGTCGATCTTCGATTGCCATATCGTTTTATTCCAAATAATTTACTAATAGAAAACAATAGATTTCGACGTTCACAGCCGTTATTACCGCCATTAATTGCTGACCAATCGACAGTAATTAATGATGATTTTTCTTTAGAACCTTTTATTGTTTCGACTTGGGAAGATGGAAAAAGATGAAAAAAATTGAAAGAAAAAATTGAAAAGTTATTTTTTTTTATTTTTGTAAATTTAAGATGGAAATTGTGAATAAATTTTAAATAAATTTTGTTTTTAACTTTTTAATTTCTGAATCTAGCGAAACAATCTTGTAAATTAGAAAAAATTGCGCGAGATTTTTCTTACTATTTTCTACTACAAGACGCGTGCATTTTTAGAAGAGGAGTATTTAAATAAATTTTTTACTATATTTCCAATATTTTAATTTATATAAAGATTGTATTTTAAGTAAAATTTTAATTAAAAATGAACTAAATATTTTTAGGAAAAATTAAAAAAATAAAATAAAAATCTAAAAGAAGGCAGATATTAAAAATATTTATTTGAGCCAATTGTAAAACAAAATTCTACAAATTTAAATTTAAAATTGTTTAAAATTAAAGAATTAAAACATATATTTATAAAAATTTAATAATTATTATTGCAAAATTAATGGGAAAACAAATAAAAATGAAGGCACCGAATATATTGGCATTTAATTGTATTTACATTTATTTATTTTTAATTAAAATTAAAAACGTCTAACAATTCTTACAATAGCTTTCCTTTCTGGATTAGTATCTAAATCTACAGCAAATTTGAATTGAGTTCGAAGAGTTTCCCAGTCTGGTGGAGACTCCAAAGGAGGGGGAGAACAAGTTGGTAGAGGTGGAGGTTCTGGGGACTTTAAATAGAAATAAATTATTTTTTAATTTGTCTCGGTTAATTTTCAAAAAAATATAATTTTGTCAAAAATTATCAAGTATGGCGCCGACATTAAAAATTTCGAATAATTTAATAATTAAATAAATTACTTTTTGTCCAAAAAGTTTATTAAATTTTTGTTGTTTTCTTTCAATTGTTGAAGTTTTCCAAAAATTATAAACTCCTCCATTTTCTTCTTCCTTTTCTTCCTCATTTTCTTCATTAAAATTAATTTGTTTTTGTTGTTCTTCTTCTTTAAAATTTTTTTGTTTAAAAGAATTTAGAGAAGTAGATGAAGAAGGAAATGAATTGTTAATTATTGTTTTTTGATTATTATTATTTTGTTTTTCATTTATTTTAATTATTGTTGTATTTAATTGAGAATTAATTAAATTATTTTTTGTTGAGTTTGTTATTAAATTATTATTTTCGTTTGGAGTAAAACGATCTCTTAAAAATTAAAAAAATTTTAAATTAATAAAAAGTAAGATGGTATAAACGAGATATTTAAATATTTTTAAAAAAGATTTTGTCTAAAATCTAAAAAGTTTATCGGATTATTTGGAGCTAGAATAAAGATAATTTTTTTAATTATCCACTAAAATAATTTAAAAATTACCTAATTTTCTGAAAATATTTATTATGTTCATCATTATTAATATTTTCTCGGGGAGTATATGTTCTAACAAGTGCTGCAGAGACTGGCACAATTGTTGGAAATTCTGGTAGAGGGTTGTGGGGATGGGGGTGAGGATGGTGATGAGGATGTATTGTTTGTCTGTTTTTTGAAAGAAAAGCAAAGTTTTTTTGTTGTCCATTTTGAAATGGATGGGAAGATGTGCTAAAAAAGGGGGAAGGGAAATTAAATGAATTAAAATATTTTTTTACCTTTTCTCTAATAAAAATAAAAGAAAAAATAAAACTAAACTTTCCTTAAAATTAGAAAAAATCTTAAGAAAAAGGAAAAAAGGAATATTACCTAATTTGGTTTTTTAGAAAATTCTGAAAATTTTGTAATTATTTTTATTTTAATCCAGAAATTTAAAATAATTAATTTAAAATTTAATTAATTTATTTGAGTATACTAGCGGGGTAGGGCGGCCTTCGGCCGCCCCACCTCGCTAGCAAAGCAAATCAAAATCCTCTCAACCTCTTAGATGAATTCTTTCCTTTCTTAAACAATCTAATTATATAATTGAGAAGGGTTTGTGTGTTTGTCTGTCCTTTTATAGACAAGTGGGTTTTTATAGTAAAATGATTTGAGGGAGTGAGGAAAAGGGGGGTTTTTATAGTAAAGCTTTGACAGTTGAAGGGTAAGAAGATACTATAAAAGCAGGGTATTTTGGTCATTCTTCAACTGCTTTCAACACTTCTCAACATTGCTGTGCTCTTTTCTTCGTCAACGTTTGCTGGAGTCCTGTGTCCTCTTGAGCCAGATAACGTTCATGTGTCAAGTGCTAGACGTCAACGATCATTTGTCAAGTGTTAGACGTCAACGTTCATGTGTCAAGTGCTAGACGTCAACGATCATTTGTCAAGTGTTAGACGTCAACGTTCATGTGTCAAGTGCTAGACGTCAACGATCATTTGTCAAGTGCTAGACGTCGACGTTCATGTGTCAAGTGCTAGACGTCAACGTTCTGTGTCAAGTCTTAGACGTCAACGTTCATGTGTCAAGTGCTAGACGTCAACGCTGTGTCAAGTGCTAGACGTCAACGTTCATGTGTCAAGTGCTAGACGTCAACGTTCTGTGTTAAGTCCTAGACGTCAACGTTCATGTGTCAAGTGCTAGACGTCGACGTTCATGTGTCAAGTGCTAGACGTCAACGTTCTGTGTTAAGTCCTAGACGTCAACGTTCATGTGTCAAGTGCTAGACGTCGACGTTCATGTGTCAAGTGCTAGACGTCAACGTTCTGTGTTAAGTCCTAGACGTCAACGTTCATGTGTTAAGTGCTAGACGTCGACGTTCATGTGTCAAGTGCTAGACGTCAACGTTCTGTGTCAAGTCTTAGACGTCAACGTTCATGTGTCAAGTGCTAGACGTCAACGCTGTGTCAAGTGCTAGACGTCAACGTTCATGTGTCAAGTGCTAGACGTCAACGTTCTGTGTTAAGTCCTAGACGTCAACGTTCATGTGTCAAGTGCTAGACGTCGACGTTCATGTGTCAAGTGCTAGACGTCAACGTTCTGTGTTAAGTCCTAGACGTCAACGTTCATGTGTCAAGTGCTAGACGTCGACGTTCATGTGTCAAGTGCTAGACGTCAACGTTCATGTGTCAAGTGCTAGACGTCGACGTTCATGTGTCAAGTGCTAGACGTCAACGTTCTGTGTCAAGTGCTAGACGTCAACGTTCATGTGTCAAGTGCTAGACGTCAACGTTCTGTGTTAAGTCCTAGACGTCAACGTTCATGTGTCAAGTGCTAGACGTCAAAGTTCATGTGTCAAGTGCTAGACGTCGACGTTCATGTGTCAAGTGTTAGACGTCAACGTTCTGTGTCAAGTCTTAGACGTCAACGTTCATGTGTCAAGTGCTAGACGTCGACGTTCATGTGTCAAGTGCTAGACGTCAACGTTCTGTGTCAAGTCTTAGACGTCAACGTTCATGTGTCAAGTGCTAGACGTCAACGTTCTGTGTCAAGTGCTAGACGTCAACGTTCATGTGTCAAGTGCTAGACGTCAACGTTCTGTGTTAAGTCCTAGACGTCAACGTTCATGTGTCAAGTGCTAGACGTCAACGTTCTGTGTCAAGTCTTAGACGTCAACGTTCATGTGTCAAGTGCTAGACGTCAACGCTGTGTCAAGTGCTAGACGTCAACGTTCATGTGTCAAGTGCTAGACGTCAACGTTCTGTGTTAAGTCCTAGACGTCAACGTTCATGTGTCAAGTGCTAGACGTCGACGTTCATGTGTCAAATGCTAGACGTCAACGTTCTGTGTTAAGTCCTAGACGTCAACGTTCATGTGTCAAGTGCTAGACGTCGACGTTCATGTGTCAAGTGCTAGACGTCAACGTTCATGTGTCAAGTGCTAGACGTCGACGTTCATGTGTCAAGTGCTAGACGTCAACGTTCTGTGTCAAGTGCTAGACGTCAACGTTCATGTGTCAAGTGCTAGACGTCAACGTTCTGTGTTAAGTCCTAGACGTCAACGTTCATGTGTCAAGTGCTAGACGTCAAAGTTCATGTGTCAAGTGCTAGACGTCGACGTTCATGTGTCAAGTGTTAGACGTCAACGTTCTGTGTCAAGTGCTAGATGTCAACGTTCATGTGTCAAGTGCTAGACGTCAACGTTCTGTGTTAAGTCCTAGACGTCAACGTTCATGTGTCAAGTGCTAGACGTCGACGTTCATGTGTCAAATGCTAGACGTCAACGTTCTGTGTTAAGTCCTAGACGTCAACGTTCATGTGTCAAGTGCTAGACGTCGACGTTCATGTGTCAAGTGCTAGACGTCAACGTTCATGTGTCAAGTGCTAGACGTCGACGTTCATGTGTCAAGTGCTAGACGTCAACGTTCTGTGTCAAGTGCTAGACGTCAACGTTCATGCGTCAAGTGCTAGACGTCAACGTTCTGTGTTAAGTCCTAGACGTCAACGTTCATGTGTCAAGTGCTAGACGTCAAAGTTCATGTGTCAAGTGCTAGACGTCGACGTTCATGTGTCAAGTGTTAGACGTCAACGTTCTGTGTCAAGTCTTAGACGTCAACGTTCATGTGTCAAGTGCTAGACGTCGACGTTCATGTGTCAAGTGCTAGACGTCAACGTTCTGTGTCAAGTCTTAGACGTCAACGTTCATGTGTCAAGTGCTAGACGTCAACGTTCTGTGTCAAGTGCTAGACGTCAACGTTCATGTGTCAAGTGCTAGACGTCAACGTTCTGTGTTAAGTCCTAGACGTCAACGTTCATGTGTCAAGTGCTAGACGTCAACGTTCTGTGTCAAGTCCTAGACGTCAACGTTCTGTGTCAAGTGCTAGACGTCAACGTTCATGTGTCAAGTGCTAGATGTCAACGTTCATGTGTCAAGTGCTAGACGTCAACGTTGTGAAACAGGTTGAATATGAAGCAGACGGAATATTGAAACAGGCGGAAATTGAAACAGTCGTGTTTAGTAGCTAGCCGAGAGGAACTCCTTAGTAGAAGGCTTCCTCTTCGCTAGCCCGCTATTTTAGCTCCTATTGCAATGAAGCTTTCTACCTGTAATGAGTTGGAAGTACAGCCGCCAGGAACTTTTATGGGGTGAGTTTTTTTATGTCTTTTGAAATGAAAAATACTTTTAGGCATTGTTGCGGGATTGTGGCTAAGGTTTGTAAATCAAAAGCAAAAACTACAGTTTTAATGAAATGCAGCACTGGTCAGATTTTTGTGGTCACTGCTTTTGCAACTGTAGTTGGGAAGTATGGTGTTTTTGTAGAGCTGTGTCAGGAAGGAAGTGTGAGTCTAACAATCAGAAGTTTTATTTTTCGATTTAGGTCGTCGATTTAAACCTGTTAAAGATACAAGCGTTTGATGTAAAGCGCTTTGATGGGAAAAAGATTTACAGTACGTTTTTGGATTATGAATTTGTTGTTACGTCGGCAACGATTATTAAATCTCAAGGAATTCCAGTCAAAAAAGTTGCGACGTTTAAAGAAATGGATTCAGGAGGGACTTATAGTTAGTTATGCGATAATTCAAGTTAAATTATTACTTTTAGGTTTTAATTGTGTGCTGGCCTCTACTTTTTTTAATATTGAAGAGAATTTCTGTGCAATTATTGCGGATGATGACAACAAGCGGGCAGATCTTAATGTGTTAGGGAATAAAGAAAAAGACAAATTCATCGAGTTTGCACCTGGTGAGGAGATTGAAATCAAAAAAGGCTTTGTTGTGATTGAAGGTAAAGTTAATTTAATTACTTTTCTTATATATTTTTTTTAATTTAGATCAATGCATGCATGTAAAAGTTCAAGCTGATGATATGGAATTCATGAATAATAAGAAACCAGTTTCAAAACTCCTCACAACACCAGTTAAACATAAGAAGGATACAGTGAAAAAAGATTAATGTTTTGTGATATCCAAATGATAATTAGTAAGTTAATGTAATATTGTATTTTGAAATTGTTCTTTTTAATAGGAATTGTTTGCTTATTGATTAAACTGTTAGCCCATTGTTTTAAGAAAGGGTTAGGGTAACGAAAAATAAGAAAAGGGCTATGATAACAAAATCATGCTTTAATGTTTTCTCTGATTAGCCCGATAATTTTCATATTTGAGTAAATGGCTTTAGATGTTTTGATAATTGTTTAAGAAAGGAAAGAATTCATCTAAGAGGTTGAGAGGATTTTGATTTGCTTTGCTAGCGAGGTGGGGCGGCCGAAGGCCGCCCTACCCCGCTAGTTATCAAAACATCTAAAGCCATTACGTCTAAGACTTGACACAGAACGTTGACGTCTAACACTTGACACATGAACGTCGTGGGGCGGCCTTCGGCCGCCCCACCTCGCTAGCAAAGCAAATCAAAATCCTCTCAACCTCTTAGATGAATTCTTTCCTTTCTTAAACAATCTAATTATATAATTGAGAAGGGTTTGTGTGTTTGTCTGTCCTTTTATAGACAAGTGGGTTTTTATAGTAAAATGATTTGAGGGAGTGAGGAAAAGGGGGGTTTTTATAGTAAAGCTTTGACAGTTGAAGGGTAAGAAGATACTATAAAAGCAGGGTATTTTGGTCATTCTTCAACTGCTTTCAACACTTCTCAACATTGCTGTGCTCTTTTCTTCGTCAACGTTTGCTGGAGTCCTGTGTCCTCTTGAGCCAGATAACGTTCATGTGTCAAGTGCTAGACGTCAACGATCATTTGTCAAGTGTTAGACGTCAACGTTCATGTGTCAAGTGCTAGACGTCAACGATCATTTGTCAAGTGTTAGACGTCAACGTTCATGTGTCAAGTGCTAGACGTCAACGATCATTTGTCAAGTGCTAGACGTCGACGTTCATGTGTCAAGTGCTAGACGTCAACGTTCTGTGTCAAGTCTTAGACGTCAACGTTCATGTGTCAAGTGCTAGACGTCAACGCTGTGTCAAGTGCTAGACGTCAACGTTCATGTGTCAAGTGCTAGACGTCAACGTTCTGTGTTAAGTCCTAGACGTCAACGTTCATGTGTCAAGTGCTAGACGTCGACGTTCATGTGTCAAGTGCTAGACGTCAACGTTCTGTGTTAAGTCCTAGACGTCAACGTTCATGTGTCAAGTGCTAGACGTCGACGTTCATGTGTCAAGTGCTAGACGTCAACGTTCTGTGTTAAGTCCTAGACGTCAACGTTCATGTGTTAAGTGCTAGACGTCGACGTTCATGTGTCAAGTGCTAGACGTCAACGTTCTGTGTCAAGTCTTAGACGTCAACGTTCATGTGTCAAGTGCTAGACGTCAACGCTGTGTCAAGTGCTAGACGTCAACGTTCATGTGTCAAGTGCTAGACGTCAACGTTCTGTGTTAAGTCCTAGACGTCAACGTTCATGTGTCAAGTGCTAGACGTCGACGTTCATGTGTCAAGTGCTAGATGTCAACGTTCTGTGTTAAGTCCTAGACGTCAACGTTCATGTGTCAAGTGCTAGACGTCGACGTTCATGTGTCAAGTGCTAGACGTCAACGTTCATGTGTCAAGTGCTAGACGTCGACGTTCATGTGTCAAGTGCTAGACGTCAACGTTCTGTGTCAAGTGCTAGACGTCAACGTTCATGTGTCAAGTGCTAGACGTCAACGTTCTGTGTTAAGTCCTAGACGTCAACGTTCATGTGTCAAGTGCTAGACGTCAAAGTTCATGTGTCAAGTGCTAGACGTCGACGTTCATGTGTCAAGTGTTAGACGTCAACGTTCTGTGTCAAGTCTTAGACGTCAACGTTCATGTGTCAAGTGCTAGACGTCGACGTTCATGTGTCAAGTGCTAGACGTCAACGTTCTGTGTCAAGTCTTAGACGTCAACGTTCATGTGTCAAGTGCTAGACGTCAACGTTCTGTGTCAAGTCTTAGACGTCAACGTTCATGTGTCAAGTGCTAGACGTCAACGCTGTGTCAAGTGCTAGACGTCAACGTTCATGTGTCAAGTGCTAGACGTCAACGTTCTGTGTTAAGTCCTAGACGTCAACGTTCATGTGTCAAGTGCTAGACGTCGACGTTCATGTGTCAAATGCTAGACGTCAACGTTCTGTGTTAAGTCCTAGACGTCAACGTTCATGTGTCAAGTGCTAGACGTCGACGTTCATGTGTCAAGTGCTAGACGTCAACGTTCATGTGTCAAGTGCTAGACGTCAACGTTCATGTGTCAAGTGCTAGACGTCGACGTTCATGTGTCAAGTGCTAGACGTCAACGTTCTGTGTCAAGTGCTAGACGTCAACGTTCTGTGTCAAGTGCTAGACGTCAACGTTCATGTGTCAAGTGCTAGACGTCAACGTTCTGTGTTAAGTCCTAGACGTCAACGTTCATGTGTCAAGTGCTAGACGTCAAAGTTCATGTGTCAAGTGCTAGACGTCAACGTTCATGTGTCAAGTGCTAGACGTCGACGTTCATGTGTCAAGTGCTAGACGTCAACGTTCCGTGTCAAGTGCTAGACGTCAACGTTCATGTGTCAAGTGCTAGACGTCAACGTTCTGTGTTAAGTCCTAGACGTCAACGTTCATGTGTCAAGTGCTAGACGTCAAAGTTCATGTGTCAAGTGCTAGACGTCGACGTTCATGTGTCAAGTGTTAGACGTCAACGTTCTGTGTCAAGTCTTAGACGTCAACGTTCATGTGTCAAGTGCTAGACGTCGACGTTCATGTGTCAAGTGCTAGACGTCAACGTTCTGTGTCAAGTCTTAGACGTCAACGTTCATGTGTCAAGTGCTAGACGTCGACGTTCATGTGTCAAGTGCTAGACGTCAACGTTCATGTGTCAAGTGCTAGACGTCGACGTTCATGTGTCAAGTGCTAGACGTCAACGTTCTGTGTCAAGTGCTAGACGTCAACGTTCATGTGTCAAGTGCTAGACGTCAACGTTCTGTGTTAAGTCCTAGACGTCAACGTTCATGTGTCAAGTGCTAGACGTCAACGTTCTGTGTTAAGTCCTAGACGTCAACGTTCATGTGTCAAGTGCTAGACGTCGACGTTCATGTGTCAAATGCTAGACGTCAACGTTCTGTGTTAAGTCCTAGACGTCAACGTTCATGTGTCAAGTGCTAGACGTCGACGTTCATGTGTCAAGTGCTAGACGTCAACGTTCTGTGTCAAGTGCTAGACGTCAACGTTCTGTGTCAAGTGCTAGACGTCAACGTTCATGTGTCAAGTGCTAGACGTCAACGTTCTGTGTTAAGTCCTAGACGTCAACGTTCATGTGTCAAGTGCTAGACGTCAAAGTTCATGTGTCAAGTGCTAGACGTCAACGTTCATGTGTCAAGTGCTAGACGTCGACGTTCATGTGTCAAGTGCTAGACGTCAACGTTCTGTGTCAAGTGCTAGACGTCAACGTTCCGTGTCAAGTGCTAGACGTCAACGTTCATGTGTCAAGTGCTAGACGTCAACGTTCTGTGTTAAGTCCTAGACGTCAACGTTCATGTGTCAAGTGCTAGACGTCAAAGTTCATGTGTCAAGTGCTAGACGTCGACGTTCATGTGTCAAGTGTTAGACGTCAACGTTCTGTGTCAAGTCTTAGACGTCAACGTTCATGTGTCAAGTGCTAGACGTCGACGTTCATGTGTCAAGTGCTAGACGTCAACGTTCTGTGTCAAGTCTTAGACGTCAACGTTCATGTGTCAAGTGCTAGACGTCGACGTTCATGTGTCAAGTGCTAGACGTCAACGTTCATGTGTCAAGTGCTAGACGTCGACGTTCATGTGTCAAGTGCTAGACGTCAACGTTCTGTGTCAAGTCTTAGACGTCAACGTTCATGTGTCAAGTGCTAGACGTCGACGTTCATGTGTCAAGTGCTAGACGTCAACGTTCTGTGTCAAGTCTTAGACGTCAACGTTCATGTGTCAAGTGCTAGACGTCAACGTTCTGTGTCAAGTGCTAGACGTCAACGTTCATGTGTCAAGTGCTAGACGTCAACGTTCTGTGTTAAGTCCTAGACGTCAACGTTCATGTGTCAAGTGCTAGACGTCAACGTTCTGTGTCAAGTCCTAGACGTCAACGTTCTGTGTCAAGTGCTAGACGTCAACGTTCATGTGTCAAGTGCTAGATGTCAACGTTCATGTGTCAAGTGCTAGACGTCAACGTTGTGAAACAGGTTGAATATGAAGCAGACGGAATATTGAAACAGGCGGAAATTGAAACAGTCGTGTTTAGTAGCTAGCCGAGAGGAACTCCTTAGTAGAAGGCTTCCTCTTCGCTAGCCCGCTATTTTAGCTCCTATTGCAATGAAGCTTTCTACCTGTAATGAGTTGGAAGTACAGCCGCCAGGAACTTTTATGGGGTGAGTTTTTTTATGTCTTTTGAAATGAAAAATACTTTTAGGCATTGTTGCGGGATTGTGGCTAAGGTTTGTAAATCAAAAGCAAAAACTACAGTTTTAATGAAATGCAGCACTGGTCAGATTTTTGTGGTCACTGCTTTTGCAACTGTAGTTGGGAAGTATGGTGTTTTTGTAGAGCTGTGTCAGGAAGGAAGTGTGAGTCTAACAATCAGAAGTTTTATTTTTCGATTTAGGTCGTCGATTTAAACCTGTTAAAGATACAAGCGTTTGATGTAAAGCGCTTTGATGGGAAAAAGATTTACAGTACGTTTTTGGATTATGAATTTGTTGTTACGTCGGCAACGATTATTAAATCTCAAGGAATTCCAGTCAAAAAAGTTGCGACGTTTAAAGAAATGGATTCAGGAGGGACTTATAGTTAGTTATGCGATAATTCAAGTTAAATTATTACTTTTAGGTTTTAATTGTGTGCTGGCCTCTACTTTTTTTAATATTGAAGAGAATTTCTGTGCAATTATTGCGGATGATGACAACAAGCGGGCAGATCTTAATGTGTTAGGGAATAAAGAAAAAGACAAATTCATCGAGTTTGCACCTGGTGAGGAGATTGAAATCAAAAAAGGCTTTGTTGTGATTGAAGGTAAAGTTAATTTAATTACTTTTCTTATATATTTTTTTTAATTTAGATCAATGCATGCATGTAAAAGTTCAAGCTGATGATATGGAATTCATGAATAATAAGAAACCAGTTTCAAAACTCCTCACAACACCAGTTAAACATAAGAAGGATACAGTGAAAAAAGATTAATGTTTTGTGATATCCAAATGATAATTAGTAAGTTAATGTAATATTGTATTTTGAAATTGTTCTTTTTAATAGGAATTGTTTGCTTATTGATTAAACTGTTAGCCCATTGTTTTAAGAAAGGGTTAGGGTAACGAAAAATAAGAAAAGGGCTATGATAACAAAATCATGCTTTAATGTTTTCTCTGATTAGCCCGATAATTTTCATATTTGAGTAAATGGCTTTAGATGTTTTGATAATTGTTTAAGAAAGGAAAGAATTCATCTAAGAGGTTGAGAGGATTTTGATTTGCTTTGCTAGCGAGGTGGGGCGGCCGAAGGCCGCCCTACCCCGCTAGTTATCAAAACATCTAAAGCCATTACGTCTAAGACTTGACACAGAACGTTGACGTCTAACACTTGACACATGAACGTCGACGTCTAGCACTTGACACGTGAACTTTGACGTCTAGCACTTGACACATGAACGTTGACGTCTAGGACTTAACACAGAACGTTGACGTCTAGCACTTGACACATGAACGTTGACGTCTAGCACTTGACACAGAACGTTGACGTCTAGCACTTGACACATGAACGTCGACGTCTAGCACTTGACACATGAACGTTGACGTCTAGGACTTAACACAGAACGTTGACGTCTAGCACTTGACACATGAACGTTGACGTCTAGCACTTGACACAGCGTTGACGTCTAGCACTTGACACATGAACGTTGACGTCTAAGACTTGACACAGAACGTTGACGTCTAGCACTTGACACATGAACGTTGACGTCTAGGACTTAACACAGAACGTTGACGTCTAGCACTTGACACATGAACGTTGACGTCTAGCACTTGACACAGCGTTGACGTCTAGCACTTGACACATGAACGTTGACGTCTAAGACTTGACACAGAACGTTGACGTCTAGCACTTGACACATGAACGTCGACGTCTAGCACTTGACAAATGATCGTTGACGTCTAGCACTTGACACATGAACGTTGACGTCTAACACTTGACAAATGATCGTTGACGTCTAGCACTTGACACATGAACGTTGACGTCTAACACTTGACAAATGATCGTTGACGTCTAGCACTTGACACATGAACGTTATCTGGCTCAAGAGGACACATGACTCCAGCAAACGTTGACGAAGAAAAGAGCACAGCAATGTTGAGAAGTGTTGAAAGCAGTTGAAGAATGACCAAAATACCCTGCTTTTATAGTATCTTCTTACCCTTCAACTGTCAAAGCTTTACTATAAAAACCCCCCTTTTCCTCACTCCCCCAAATCATTTTACTATAAAAACCCACTTGTCTATAAAAGGACAAACAGACACACACACCCTTCTCAATTATATAATTAGATATTTGAAAATCTTCAAAGCCGTGTAACTCTGTGAATTTAGGGACCCTCCTCATAAGCTATAGCTTATTCGAAAGATCATCAAAAACTGTATCTAAAACCTTGGGGCAATTTTGTTTATAAAAACTTTCTCAAAGATAAAATAGATGGAATTGTAAATGTTAATTTATATTTGAAAATCTTCAAAGCTGTGTAACTCTGTGAATTTGGGAACCTCCTCATAATCTATAGCTTATTCGAAAGAGCATCAAAAACTGTATCTAAAACCTTGAGGCAATTTTGTCTACGTCAACCTTCTCAAAAGAAAATAGATATTTTCATTTCCTCGCTCCCCAAATCATTTTACTATAAAAGCTCCCATTTCCTCACTCCCAGAATCATTTACTATAAAAGCCCCCATTTTTTCACTCCCAAAATCATTTACTATAAAAGCAGTAGCCGTGTGACAAACACTCAAACAATTTCCACCGATTCACAAATTATATATAGGATATTTATTATTTAAAAGTATTTAAATTGATATTAATTAATTAATTAGAATTTAAACCCCCCAAAAATATATTCTAAACAATAAATTTAAAGAAATTTAAATTCTAATTAAAATAATTTGACAAATATTCTAAAAAAAGGGTCTGTAATAAAAATATTTTTGGGTTTTTAAAGTAAAAAAAAAACACAGCAAACACACAGAGGAAGTTAATTAGAGAGATTAATCTCTCTCTTTTTTCTAAAACTAAATTTTGTTAAAAAAATATATTTTCTAAACAAATCTAAAAAAAATAAAATTTTTCTAGACATCTACTAATACTTTGAAATATATATTTTGGTTAAAAGAGTGAATTTAAGTAGTAATTATTTAATTAATTATTGTATTACAAATTACTTTAAGAAAGGGAAGAAATTAATTTTAAAATTTCTTTTAACCAAAAAATATTCTTTTAAATAAACATACATTTAATTATTTATTTTCGTTTATTTTTTCAAAATTTATTTCCATTTAGAATTTTTATTCTCTTCCTCTGTATATTTTGTGGGAACACACCAAAAACATCTCTTTTTTCTTTTCTTTACCTGTTAGACCTTTGTAATGTTTGGCATTGAATAAATGCAGGTTTATTTATTTTGGGTTTCTGGGTTTCTTGTTGTTTTTGCCATTTTTCTGCTAAACTCGAAGTTTTGGAAATATTATTTTCGTTTGTTTTTGTTTGTTGCTGTTGTTGTTGAACTTGTTTTTTTAAATTTTGGGGGGTAATTTTTTGAGGTTGTTTATTTTGTTGTTGTTGGAGGGAAGGAGGAGGAGGAGGAGGGTGGTGGCCGTTTGTTTTAGATATTCCATTAGAATTTAAATTATAATTATTTTTTGTTGTTGTTGTTGAACTAGAAATTAATTAGTGAAAAATAATTTGTTAAATTAACCAAATTTATGATAGATTTTAATTTAATATTAATTTTTAATTTAATTTTAATATTGCTTTAAATTCAATTTTTGATTTTAATTCATAGCAAAGTGTCAAGTATAGTATTTATTTTTATCAGAGAATGACAGAGGTAATTAGTGTAGTGGTCCTTTGGATAATTATTTATTATTTACCAAAAACATACCCATTAATTGTCTTTGTACCGTCAACTTTTCCATTTTCTTGTTTTTGTTCCCATTTTGCCCCAACTCCATTTTTTGATATTCTAGGTAATGTACAATATGCCGAAGAAGGGCTACTAGAAGCCTGTAACTGCTTAAAAGCGGCAATTTTTGATTGAGCCCCTCCAGTGCCAGAAAGGGCAGCAACTTCTTTTTGTCGTTCTTCTATTTGCTTTAAAAAACAATTTTTTAAAAATATTTTTTAAACGACAAAAAAACTTTTTTATCATCAAATTGGTAGTCACTATTTTGCCTTCCATGTGTAATTGCTTCTTCTCTTTTTTCTGCTTCTGTTTTAACTTCAGCCCATTTCCATTGTTTTTTAGGTTGTTGTTGATTAATAAGAGGTGAAGGTGAACGTGAATTTTGTTGATTTTGTCCATTAATATTTGGTTGTAAATATTGGGAAGGAGAAGAGGAATTGCTACTTGATGTTGTTGTAGTTAGGGAAGAAGGACTTGGACTTTTACTTTAATGAAATATATTTAGAATATTTAGGTAAATGTCCAGTTCGAGGCCCACATGTCAGCAAAAGGAATTCTCCAAAAATTCATATTTTTCTGTGTTCAACTCCTTTCCCTCACTCCATTAATTTTCCTTAGGTTATCAAATGATAGGACATGCGGGCCTCAAGCTAGATATTTATTAAATACCCTTGGCTATCAAGAGAATCATTAGGTGTTGTAGCTCTCAATAATTGTTGACGTTCATTTTCGTCCAATTCAATTGCTGGTGCTCCTTTATCAACAGTATCTACATGTCTAAAAAAATAAAAAATATTTAAATTTTATTTTTAAAATTACCTTAAAGCTACTCCAAGACGAATTTCTGCTAACATCTTTTTTCGGTTATCTTCTCCTTTATTTGGAGAGGGAGTAGGGGTTGAAGGGTTCTTTACTAAAAATAAAAATTAAAGTTAAAGTTAACGAGGAAATTTAAAAAAACAAACAAGAATTATTGTTGACTGGAGGTATTTTAGGCATATTAACAGGTGGAGGTGGTGGAGGAGGGGGAAGAAGAACACAAGAATTATTGTTATTATTTTCTTCTTCATTATTTATTTGAGAATTATTATTCGAAGAAGAAGGCCCTCTAATAACATTACTAAAAGAAGGCATATTCTCTCCATCAGCTTTGAAAAAGGGTTTTGATTTGTCGATTGTTTTTGTTGGTTTTAATTTAATACCTTTTCTGATATCCTTTAAAAGAAAATTAAAAGAGAATTTAAAAAGGAGTTATTTTTAAATATTTTGTTTAAAAATTATTTAAAAAATTACCTCTAAAATTGGATGGCCAACAAATGCCATTTTTGGTCATTAAAATTAAAAAGAATTATTTTATGTTATTTTTTGGAATTAATTAGAATTTAATTGAATAATTCTAAAAATATTTGTGAAAAATTTAAAAGAAAAAGTAATGAGTCATTTAGTTAATAAATTAATTAAATTAAAATTAATTTTCAATTAAAAACAAAAAAAAGAAATATTTAATAAACATTCATAGATTTTTAGGTAAAAATAAAAATAAATTTATTTTTATTTTTCAATAAATTACTCAAAAATATATATTTACGTAATTTATTTTTAAAGAGAATTTTGTTGAATTTATTTAAAAATTAATTTAAAAAAGAGAAAAGAAGGTGTTGATTGAATCAGCAAAAATATACGAAAACAAACACAAACAAACTAATTATCTAGTATTTTTTTTTAAATTTGCAAAAAAGGAAAGGAAATTAAAAATAAATTTTTAATTAAAAATAGAAGAAGAAAAAACAAATTAAAAATACAAAACTTTTTTTTTTCAAATACAGCCCTCCTACAAAACTTTATTAAAATAAATTAATTTCCTTGACACAATTTAATAAATAATTTTTAAATTAAAACAAAAATTATCTCGAAAATAATTTTAGAAAAAATAAATATATTTAACTTTAAATTAAAAAAAAATTTTTTCTAATTAACGTCATCAAAAACTACATACATAAAATTATTTTATAAATTTTCACTCATTTTTCAAAAAAACTTCCCACGTTTAAATTCTTTAAAATTTTTTGTTATTTTTGTTTAAAAATATATTAATTTCTTTTATTTTTAAAATTAAAAAAAATCGGAAGAAGAACTGGTGAGAGAATTGAAAATCGAAAATTTGCTGATAAAATGATAAAAAAAAATTAATAAATTTTGTTTTTAAAATTTTTTGATATTTCTCTTTTAATTTAAATTATTAAATGATTATATTTTTCTGAAATTTTATAGTAGAAAAAAGTGGGTAATTTAAAGTTTATTTTATTAAATTTTTAGTGTTTTTGGAAAGAAAAATTTAAATTTTGTTTAATCAAATTAAGAAGGATTTGGACAATTTAAAATTTAAAATTCACACAAATTATCGGAATTTGAAATGGAATTACTTTATAAAGTAGTTTAGAAAAAATAAGATTTTTTATTTAGGTAAATATTTTTATTGATCAAATATTTTGGCCGTTTATTCAATTTCGTGTAAAAAAAATTTTTTTTATGTTTTGAGAGAAGGAAAAGCAAAGTAGAAAAATGAAGGAATCAAGAATAGAAGGAGGAGGAGGAGGAATGAGCGCGCGCCAAAATTTGCATTCTTTTACTTAAAAAGAGAGGGGAAATACAAAACAATTTTTGGGGTTTTAAATAATTTTGTGGAATTTAAAAAAGAATTTCTTTTTAAGGATTTTTGCGAAAAATTTTTCTTTTTTTTTTTTATTTTTAAACTTCTCTCAGACATTAAAAACATCGATCGGGGGTTATAGAGAATGTTGATGCTTTTAAGTGTTTCTTTTAATGTTTTTGTGTGTGTGATTGGTGGTGAGGAGGGAGGGGGGGGGGTGGAAGGGGTGGTAGGGGTGGTGGTCAGTCATCGCGATCCATACAAAATAAATATAACCCAAGTGGGTGGTTGTAGAAGAAATTGGATCGGGGAGAGAATATAAATAAATATATTTAAGTGGGGGGATATGTCCAGATGTTTAAGTATTTTAGACAAAAATGGAAAAAATGTAAAAATGGTCGAGAAGTTGTAAATAATATTTTTTTTAGAATTTTCAAATAAAATATTTTTTTATTATTTTTGGGTACTTTTGTTTTAATCCAAATGAATCGTATATCGAAAGCCCTCGATAAGCACTATCTATTTTGGATCAAGTCTGATCATCATTAAAAAGTTACAAGTCGATAAGTTTAAAAAAAAGTTTTGTGGGTTTGTGTTTATATAAATGTAAAAGAACCAATCGACCGACAAAAATGATGTTGGAACAATATAATCTGTGGAAGAAAAAAAAATAACAAATAAATACTAGATTAGTAAATAGTTTTGGACGACAAGTCAATGCTTTTGTGCTTTATTAAAGAAAATAAATATTTAAATAAATAAATTATTTTTTTGTTTGTTTGAATGAATAAGAGAGATAATAATTAAATAATTATTTTTTTTTAAATTATTTAAATTTTAAAGATTTTTGTGGTATGTTTGGTGGACATTTGCAAACGTGTAAATTATGCAAGGCTTTTAAATTTCTTAAAAATTTTTTTAATTATTTAGGGTTTATTTAAAAATATTAAAATTTAAAAGAATTTCCTAAAAAAATTCCCAGAAACTTGTTAAATTTTGTTATTGTAAATAAACAAAAATTTTGTTTTTACTTTTAATTTTCTTGCAAAATTTTCTTTCAAATAAATAAATAATTAAATGTTCGCGCTGCAAAATGTGCAATTTAATATTTTCTTTTAAAATATTTTGTTTATTGTTGGGAGTTAATTACAAAATAAAATTAAAATTATTAGTTATATTAATTGTTTATTTCTTTGACCAATTAAATATATTAAATTAAATTAAATTTTGTTTTTAATTTAATAAAAATATTTTCCCAAAAAATAATATTCTTCGAAAGGTATTTATAATTATATATTTATACTTTACCCATTTAAAATCCAGGAAATCCTTCTAGCCCTAAAGCGATAAATCAAAATAATTTACTTGAATAAATAAAAGTGACTAGAGAAAAAATAAGTTAATAATTAATTACCTTTATTTAAAAAATGACAATTAATATGTATAATTGTGTGGATATTTAGAAGAGATAACCTTTTGTGCGGGCGATCAATTCCTGTATTTTTTATATAAATAAAAAAATATTTATAAACTAAAAATGTTCAAAGGCCTTCAACTTTTAAATTAAATTAATATTTCGCGTGAAAGGTGAAGGAGGGGATCTACAGATATAGCTAAAATGGAGCTAAAACCATAACCGTAAACAGGCTTGGTTTCCATAATATTACAGCGGATATTGTTCCTTCTTCATAAATAATGGCCGTCATTAGGGGCTGTAAAAAGCAGGGCCCGTACAATAAAATCGGGGTTTGGGTTATTTAACCCCTACCCGGGGGTTAAATAACCCTCAACCCGCACAATAAATGAAAACCCCGAGTTAACGGTTAAATGACCGGGTTATTTAACCCGCAACCCGGGGTTGTTTAACCGGCCGGTACAATAAAAGAGCTACCCGGGGTTAAATAACCCGCAGCTCCGGGTAAAATGACGACCCTGCTAAGAAAATATTTTTAAACCAAAAAAAATTTATTTCAAAAATGAAAAAAATATTATCTGTTCCAATAAAAAAATATAAAAGACGTTAATAAGAAATATATAAAGATAAAACAAAGAATGTGTATATGTTCTCTTTTTTTAAATCTCTTTTACTATTTACTTGACCCGAATAATTTTTAAAAAAACTTTTAAAGTTTAGGAAACAGTTGTTTTTAAATATATTAAATGTTCTTTTACGTAATAATTGAAGAAAAATTATGAAAAATAGAGGGGGTGACCCCAACCTTTTATTGAATAAAAATTCGACAAATATGTACTACATACAATCTCGACAAAACCCGACAACAGACCTTTGGCCCCCGGCGGATCGGGGCCCAGCCCTAGTGAAAAATATTAAATTTGAAAGAATTGCTGACTTTAAATTGATTATATTAATTATGGGATATTCATTTATTTAGCAAAAAAATAAATATATTGAACAATTAATTTACTTCAAAATAATTTCAAGCAATTGGTCGATAAAATAATCAAATAAAATCAAAACTTTGATTTTAAATATTTTTAAACAGCCTTTTTTAAAAAAAATTAAAAGTAATATCCATGGAATGTCTTTAAAAAAGGAAAAGTTGTTTGGAAATTAAATTCTCTTAAAAATCCTATATATAATTTGTGAATCGGTGGAAATTGTTTGAGTGTTTGTCACACGGCTACTGCTTTTATAGTAAATGATTTTGGGAGTGAAAAAATGGGGGCTTTTATAGTAAATGATTCTGGGAGTGAGGAAATGGGGGCTTTTATAGTAAAATGGTTTTGGGAGTCTTCTGAGAAAGTTCTTATAAACAAAATTGCCCCAAGGTTTTAGATACAGTTTTTGATGCTCTTTCTAATAAGCTATAGCTTATGAGGAGGGTCCCTAAATTCATAGTTACACGGCTTTGAAGATTTGCAAATATAAATTACAATTTATAATTTCATCTGTTTTATCTTCTGAGAAAGTTCTTAAACAAAATTGCCCCAAGGTTTTAGATACAGTTTTTGATGCTCTTTCGAATAAGCTATAGCTTATGAGGAGGGTCCCTAAATTCATAGAGTTACACTCAGAATATAAGGAGTTATCATTTTACTATAAAAGACCCATTTCTTCACCTCCCAAATCATTTTACTATAAAAGCCCCCATTTTATTCACTTCATATCACTCCATACTTCATCTCTACGACTGTAGTAATGTTGTTAGTTATAGACTCGGACGGATGGATGTAGAGTGTACCTATTGTGGTGCTCTGCATTTTCCAGAAGAGAAGATTAGTAATAAGGGTAGTACGTTTAAGGACTGTTGCCATTATGGCAAAGTTCATTTACCAATGCTACCAGAAGCCCAGTTTCCAGATTTGTTGAAGAATTTGTTTATGAGATTAGATGAAAGGCATAAGAACTTTTTTGATTGTATAAGAAATTTGAATAGTAGCGTTTCCATGGCTTCCATGAATCCGTTAAGATATAGATATCCAAGTAATAGAGGCCCATACTGCTTTCGCATATGTGGTCAGA